TGTCTCATATTAGTGATTGCTCGCCCAACTTCGATATGCGAGTTTTGTTCGCAGCTTCAAGAGACAATTTGCTGGATGTTATTGATGGTCGCCGTGAAAGTGAGGGCGGAATAACACTAACTTCTGCACCTGTGTTGACTTAAAACTGGGAGCCTGAAGTTTTATCCCTCACATAAAGGAGGCGATTGGAATGGTTTTTAGTAACAGCTGTCACCATCACTGTCTGGCTGCCAAGTTTCCTTAATCTGACAGTGGGATTTTTCAAAGTTGAAGTGTCTAGTACACTGGTTGGTTTTGTGACCAAACTGTCTGTGGTACCAACAAATCTCGTGTGCGGCTCCAGGTGTCCGAGGTGGATTCCTGTCAGTTGAGTATCTATGCAATATGGACCTCGGGCGACCAATGTCTATATTCGTCACTTTTGCTGCCAACGCTTCAAACCTGGAAGTTAATTATGCTAACCGTTACTCAATACTAGAGGAGTGTGTAGAAATAGACGGAAGGTTATGCTAGAGGCTAATTGTTTTTTGGGGTTGTCATTGTGGTTAGTAGAAAGGTTATCTGGGTGGACTTCCACTATTTTATCAGCCATATTAACTGAGCTGTCTAGTTTGATAGTTGTTGCAGAGATCCTGAGTATTTGCCGAACGTTAAATGGAATCCTTGGAAGCCACAGCTGCTTAAGTACAGCTTCATCTAATTGATATGGACCAGTGAGATGTTTCAAGTATCGTAGCAGTTGCGAGGGCTTCTTATCACCTAGTTCACAAGCGATTAGTAGATGCTGCAGCTGTTTTTCATTCAGTATAGATGTCCGTTATATAACCGGTGACTTCAACTTATCGTTATCGTTTAAGTCTGCGACCTCAGTGGTGACCTCAATGGGTAAGGCTCCTACCACATAAGCGTATTTAGATGCTTGGGAGTGAATGCTGCGAGCCATAAAAAGAGCTTCAACTTGAGCAAACTATGTGCGAGGGTTGTGAGAAACATGCGGTGGAAGTCTTATGTCTGATATGGCATGTAATGAGCGTGTCTGCAAATCGCAATCATTCTGGTCATTTTGTAAGGTTGGTCAACCAACTCGTGGAGAAGTCATATGAATGGCCAAAAAATTAACAAAATTGCGAGGATATATACAAAACTAAACGCTAAATATAAGAATTGAGTAAAGTGAGTTCGCTTGATCGGGCTCATCAATAAATATGTGGTAGACCCAAATAAATGTCAAGTAAACCAAAATGTTAAACTACTTATAATTCACAAAAATGTATTCACTGACACAGAAATATGAAAAGTTATGATCTATAAAACCAAATAGAAATTTTGATTTTATGGATAATAATGGGTTACTTGAATGTTATCTCTTCGGTACTGTCCATCACAATTTAGTGTACTCCAGAGTTCAGAAGGCAATACTTGTTACCTCTCCACAGTTGACGTTGGTTTGTTTGGTTGTCATGATATTTGGAAGTAGGATGAGCGGTCCTGTAAAATCCAAGGACAACTGATGCCTATTCACGTCAGAAAATAGTCAGTGGAGGCAGAGGCTAGACTGGATAGAAGCACACTATATTTTCCCGTTTAACAGTAGAAGCAAAGTCAGTAATACCACCACAACCAAAAACAGTTTACAGATAAACAATATTCGTTTTTACAAGTTTCAGGAAGAATGTACAAAATGTGTAAAAAGCGATGAGAAGGAAACATTTTTTTTTTAATTTATGTGGTTTACACGTAATTCCGTGCAGTCTTCACATGCCTCTGTATATGTTTTGACTGCTTTTTCTACTGGTTCGTGTTTTTCTGGAAATCTTCCGAGGGGCCAAACTCTTTGGGTGCGCGTTGAAATTTTTGGGCAAATACGGCAGTAAAATTCTGAACTACTAACAACAATGTATTGTAGCGTCCGAAATTGTGAAAAATTCCCCCAGAGATTTGATATTTGTCAAACTGCTCCCAAAGTTTCGTCCAAAATTTACAAATGTTCCAAAGGGTGAATGAACGTTTTTACCGAAAAACCTAAAAGCCCCATACTCTATCGAAAACGTTTCCCTGAAAAACCCAAAATCCGGCTTCAACTGTTCTTCAACAAAAATCCATGGACCTGTATGCAGTCAATATTCAATCGAAGCATGTAACTGCGTTATCGTAAGAATGGTAAGTGGTTAAAAAATCCAGACGCGTGGGATGAACAGATCTATGCTAAAAATACAGAATTATTTGCACATATAGGTCTTCAGCCTCTTTTCTACTAATTACACCTTGGTTTTCGTTATTCATATTCTCAGGTGAAGACAATACTCGGGTGCTTTCAGCGTACTCCAATGTAGAAACATGAGTGTCCGCATCAAGTAACTAAGGAAGTTCAATGGGTTTGAAAAGTAAACCTATCGGCGCCTCATGGCAAAGCATCTTTTCCTGAATGCAAAACCTATCACAGCTGTTGTGAAACCATTTCTGGATGATGGAAACAATTCTTCTAGCAATGATGTCTTCATCAATGCTGCTGTGTCTGTGGTAGTTGAAGATGACCCCTTAAGTAGTAAAAGAAACTGAAAGGCAACCGGCGAAGGCAATTATTAGTTTTTTAAATGGTCTTTTCATAGCAGTCGATGACCATGAAAAAAAGCTGCTGTAATTCGGGGTGAGCAGTAGGGTCGCCTAACTGACACTGCGATATCGGAATCAACTAATGGTGCCAGCTCACCAGCCGCGGTCTCTAGAAACAGCGGGTCTGTTAACTGCTTCTCAAGCTGTTCCAGCTTGGCATCTTTATCGAGCTGGCATCGATAAGATAACTTCGTCTTCACTAAGGCACTGATGACTTCTAGGTCCCTCTGGACATTTATTGCTTCAACATGCATGTTCACAGTCCCCTCCAGCTTATTCCGACTTCCTCAAAGACAAAGGGGTTACCAGACCTAACGGCTTACCCTCTATCTTTACTTGTTTTCTTCAATTAATCCTGAAAATAATTACTTCAGAATACGTTAATGCTTACCCTCCATTTCTGTCAGTCGTGCAAGAATTAATACTGAAAAACAAATACTGACAAAACGCTACGACATACCCTGTATCGATGGTGTACTTGAAGCATTTTATCTCCCTGTATTTTGTTGATATATGTAACAACTCATTGAAGATTTTCTGTTTAGTTGTGCTGATAAAGACTTTTGCTCGCTCGTTGACCAATACAACATCCTGATATATACTTCGCGTTAACTCCTGATATTTACACTGTCTGACGCAGGTGGATCAGCAGTGTCGGGAATTATAAATAGGCGATAGTGTATCTGGACACGTATATAAATTTGGAGTCAGATTTCAGAGCTCGACATACTATTAGAAGTACTTGCTTCAACTACGGTTTGTAACCTTGGAGACTGTGAGAAACTCGTTTAAGAATCTATGGACGATGAATTACTGGAAAGTGACAAATAAAAGGTGAATGTTGCCTCATTATCCGTGAATTCAGGATAGGTTTACGGAAGGTGGGCATACTGTGCTGGAAGGATGGATCTTCTAGTATTCAAGCAGGATCATTCATTGGTGCATTATCGTCCGAACCTTTTATTTTTCCGGCGTTTTTATTGAAAATCCCAAGAAATTCTTGCAACTAACCTGTTCACAAGCTGCACACTGACAGGTTCAGTATCGTCAGTTGATAAAGATTTTAAATAACCTTCATACTGGCTCTTTATTTTAGGGCAGGTTTTTTGAGGGTTTCTATTTCTTGAATAAGTGTTTCCTCGGTCCATACATTTCTTATTCTTGATGAGAGTGGGAACAAAAAATTCCTCCCCATATTCAATCTTGATAGTCAATTAGTTGTCCGTCCCAAGTAGACTAGATTCAAATGGATCTTGAATGGAATTATCTGGTCCTTTGCGAAATGTGAAACTTCGAGTTCGATTCAGCTGTTGAAATGTTGGGCCAGGTCTAGTTGCGTTCTTAAAGGATATGATTCCATGTCTATGCAGAAAATAATGCTGAATATGAACATGGACTTAAACGATAATTCAGATGCTGGTATGCTAGAAAAAAGGATCTTAAAATCCCTGAGAAGAATATTTCGAGCAGTAAATTTGAAGGGAGCGTTTGATAGTTCTCTCTTAGTTTCTAGCAACCTGGAAAACATAGGTCTTGAATCTGACCATATCTTTAAGTATACCAGTTTTGTATTTCTTTGAAGCAAGGCATATTTGCAGTTCAAATCGTCCACTGTCCAGAATAATTCAAGAACTAAATAGTAACACTTATATTAGATCCATGAGAAGTGTGACTGTAGAATACCTTGATGATACTGGATATTCCATTTTAGTGAGTAGCTCGTTTAAAGTCACCTATAAGTTGATAGATAACGAGTAGAGTAAGTATTTCTTCATATACAGAATCCATAGTATTGTGTGTCAAAAAGACTTCGTCAATTTCTTTTCCTTTCATGGATTTAATCTCCAGATTTTCAAAACTTCCCATCTCCCTTAACTTATCTTGTCAATCTCTTATTCTGCTAACAATTCTTTTGTGTTTCGATGCTTATTTTGGTAAATTTCAACCGTGAGAATACATAGTTATGCTTTCATATGGAGGTGGTCAAGGATGAACACCTTAGATCCCGACCAACAGCAAGTTGCGTTATCTCTTACAATCAGGAATTTCCGTTACCTCAAAATTTATCCTACCTAGGATATTTAAACTTGTATCACTCAACATCTATCAGAGTTGAAATTTCCACTGTAACTACTAACCGACTGGTTCCCTTGAAGTGCGTTCCTAATCATGCTTCAAATAGAACCTTGTTATAGTAAGTTTATATTCAGTTGATTACCAACTCAGACCGTTGAGACCACTGCCCTCTGCTTCGGTTTAAACACTTGTGATTGAACCACATCCTGAAATCTGTATTGTAATCGATCGGAGAAAACGACAGTCTTCCAATTACTTGAAAGTTACTTCAAATCTATGCAATATCCTTTCTGTATGCATACTGAAAGGTTAATCGCACCACAAAAATATATACTTGTAAGTTTCATTCAGTAAAAATTTAGGCTTTGTTTGGAAATATCATTTTAAACGAGTGTACCAGTGATAGTATGCTTGACAGAGAAGAACATATATATGCATACATGCAGCCGAACTTAAAGAAAGGCTTGAAATAAATGTCCGCTAGTTTCGGTAAAAGTAAACGGAAATCAGGATATGCTGTGGACAGAAAAATCTCCAAAATTACCGACATAAATTAGTAACAAAAGAAATAGTACCGTCCTTCATTCATTTATATATTTTCTTCTAAAATATCATGCTTTAATGTGACAAATGATTTTGCTGGAACAATAAGTCTCCAATTAGTGAGATAAAGTGAATATAGAGAGTAATAACAGGTGAGTTCACGCAACAGGTTGTTTTGCATTTTAATTTCCACTACTAATAATTAATGAACAGTATAATATTTATTGGTGAAGGTATCCTCGATTTCTATACAGTTGATTTGTTTTCGAAAGAGGAAAATTTTTATGTAGAGTATCGCAATTGTTAGGCCAAATTTCTAATCATATAAACTTGGAGAACAGTGTTATAGGAGAAAGGGAACAATGAGGCAAAGAAAAATATAGTGGTTCATGAGAAATGTTAGTCTATTTGTGCTAGAACAATGCACTGGAATTTCCACTTCATCATCACCAGCAACTGATGTCCACTTTTGTGATTGCCTGCGGTAACGTGGAGCACGCGAAGCTTCACAAACATCTGGACCAGGATCTGAAACAAGACAAGAAGATGAAAGATGAATTAAAGGGAAATATACTGTACGTAATTTTTTTGAAAACACGATGGATTTGTGAAATATCTTGTAGGAAACAGAAGAAAGAAGTACTCAAGAGATGAAGTATTCGCTAAAATCAAATAAAACTAAATGGCTGTACTACTAGTTTCATGGCGTGAATGTTTGTTGTTTCAGAACTGATCTATAGTTTGTTATGCATGCTAATCAGTTAGTTCGATTACCATGGACGATGAGTAGCAATCACTTGCAAATATAGACGTCATATAAAACAGTTGGTCGTAGGATTCAAATTTATTTTCATTACCACATACTTCGCCGCATATCTATCTACCTATATCTTGAATACAGGTAAGTGAGAGTATAAGATTCAACATATCACTATAATTTTGCCTGTCTTTTCTTAGTTGCCCGCTTTGTATAAGAGAATTAGGCTTGTGAAGTCATGTGATGACTAAACTGGGGCACTGTAGCAAAATATTCTCCTGAAAGAAGTCGTTCCATTACTGGGTAATTTCTCTATCCGTTTGATCCACACTCATTGTACCTACAGTGACCTTCTTTACAGGCTTTATGGTGTCAAAATGATCATTAAATGTGATGTAAACACTTCTTGCTTGCTTGAAAACAATTTCAAACGTTTTCAAATGGACCGTTTCTAGCTGTAATTTTTTCTAAAACAATGACTCTCAGACATAGGCTTTCATTCTCTGATGAAGTTTTAAACTTAAGTGTGAATTATCATCCATCAATGCACCAGAGAAACACTATCTTGTAGTTTCGTTTGGTAAAGTGACTTTTGACTTTTAACGCAACATTAAAGTCTAGATCATTGAAACAGCTATTTATTCACGAAGCTGAAAAACCTTGATTCTAGTTGAACTTGAGACAGCTTGAGTGTAGGATTTAAGAGACAGATGAAGTACGAAAATCGAGTTACCAATCCCTTATGTGCAAACGCAATTGCCTAAGTTTTCTGATTCTTTTTTTCATCAGTAAATAGTCTGTTAAAAAGAACATCTCAGTAGGCTTGGGAACCCCGTAGTATCATATATGGAAGGCACATATGAATGGAAGGAGTTAGGAATAAGTGAAGCCACTGAGACACTACTTCAAATTTCTAATTGAGCTAACTAGATGCCTTGAATGGAATAGGCTACGAACTTAGCTTACCTTTTACAGGATCACGTTGCAACTTTACTGCAGATTTGTCGCATTCATCAAATATTGGATCTGTGATTATCAACTGTAAATTTGTTCCACTAATAGACTGCACAGACCAATCTCGATTGCGTTGTAGGGAACAAGATATAAAACCTCGAAATATACGACTAGAGTGCAGATTTCTTGGTGAACTCGTTTCATATATTTCACTGTTGAGTGAATAATAACGGTTAATTAATTCAATACATTGATATGGTTTGTTTTGAGGATCTACATCGTCCTTCGTGTTGCCTGAAACTTGAAATTTAATGATGAAAATTGTTGATAAATAAGAATTTGGCAATAAAACTAGCATCTGAGGAATGGCCAACTGGGATACAAAAACTCTATTTGGTATTTCCGAATCCCGGTGTAGGTGAGATATTCCATTATCCATTGAAGGGTGAGTTCACTCACTGTACAACAATCTGTTCTATTATATAGTTGTGAGACATGTCTGACAAAAGCAGGTGACATGGGCATGAAGAATTTATAGGTTTCTGCTTATGGGTGTCTCTGTATCATTGCTTTTGTCTGGTGACAGCACCAAATTAACATTGTTGAAGTTAGATATACAGCACTAAATGTAGAAATAAGCCAGTTGATAGGGTTATGCAGCTATACTAATTTAGGTGGTTAAGACATATGGGAGCTTCGAAGACTCATTGTGCACCCAAATGCTGTATGTCAGCTAAATTGGGATAATGTCCAACGAAAGCTGGGATTGGTCAAACCAAGATATGGTAGTAATCTGTGAAGCTTCTTTATTCGTGTGATTGGTCCAAGGTAGTGTGAACACATGAATTTCATCCATGTGATGTTAGGAATGAAAAACCGAAGACTATTCATGATATGGCTCAAAACTGAGCACAATGACCTGGTTGCATTTTTTATTTATCATTTTTAGAATTCTCCATGTCATAAGAATCATTGTGTCTCTATTGATTTCCTCTGTTTTTGCTATTGGGAAGTGTAACAACTTAAATCTATACTTTTGTTCACAAGGTTACTGACTGGGTCCTATATTTCATAAGAGTTTTTGTTTTCAGCTATCAATAAATGTCTGCTACTATTGGGGATATTGGTCACTTCATAAGAACTCATTCCGTTCTATGGTATGTTTTCTTTGGAAACTTTAAAAGTGACAAGTCAAAAACAATTGTGCTACAAGCATGATTTATCTAATCGTTACTTTGCTTCTTAAAGTCATATACTGGTCAGGGTTGCACACATTCCCAAATGCCATATCATTTAGGACACACACTAGTGCAGAGACTGATTACATCAAAGCTAATCATCTTTTCATCATTTTCAACAGAGAGATACTAGATTTTGGACGATTTTTATTGAACCTATTGTTATCCCTAAATATCTAGACAGTTTATAGGTTAGGGATGTTTCTGAAGTGGAACAGAAAAACCTGGTTTATGAAACTAAGTAGTATCTTACATCTTGTTAGGTTTTAAGCCTTGAATCAAACCACTTAGACTCACCAATAAATAGCCTTATTCGGTGTAATACGTTCAATGTGAATTTGCTATTCTTATTCAAAATAGTTTCAACTTACATTTAAATTCACTGCATGATCGTGTTACTGTATGTCGATTAACCTAATGAATGTCGAATACCACTGATTTAGTAATTACAATATTGTTATCATTTCAAAGGCTTTTTAGAGCATCTATTTCCTGGTTTTTACCACATTTCTGTTAACCTTCTTCTTTCGTTTCAGTACTAGCAAACATTATGTTTGCATCTCTTCTGCAGTCATTTATATACTGAACTTAATCCTGTTTCTATCTTAGGAATGAAGTCTTCAAGTTTCAGTTCATTTACAGCAGCATTGGAGTTGTTCCGTTCCTCTAACATATTCTACCGATTTGAGAGTAACGGCAAGAAACCCAAATAGATATGCTACTTCAGAGATGATTACAGACAGTTAGCATCATAGAATAAGAATAGATTGTTTAATAACCAGTAAAGATCCAACTGGTCCTAATTTTGAATGAAGTCAACTGGATGTGTCAGTTAGTTGATCAGTGAACTACGGCAGAAGACCTAGCTTTCATCCATAACGTCCCAGTTTGCTAAATCTCACTTCAATACATGATACAAGGAGACAACACAGAAGTTAAAGACTTAAAATGCATTACTTGTTTTAAAAACGCTTTTAGTACAGACATTTACAATTACTTATTCAAACGAAAACTCAACTTTATTAAAATGAAATCTTTATTTAATTGGGCTGTTGAAGAAAGATGTCCGAACAGCCACTTTTTTCTAGAATGGTTATAAATTTTCAACATTGAGTGGCGTGAATAGCTAGGAATGACTCACACTGATATCTAAATTTTCTAGTACGGTCACAGTAATTTAAACACTTGAGGCAAAAGTCATCAGTGGTGTGTCCGAAAATAGTCAGCTCACAGAGCTGATCTGGCCGGTGATGTGTACATATCAGTCTCAGTGATTTCTAAATACTCACGTCATCCAGTAGTATGTGTCAATGGTTCGTGACACTTCTGTGTCAGAGATTACATATTTTTATATTGGTTGCGTGGTTTCCAACAGATTACACGTTGATACCATAGTTGGTCAGTTGAAAGGACAACGTGGACTGTGCACTTTGTAAATCATTTTCAAGTTCATACACTTCACTATTTCCAGATATTAAATTTGTTAAGAGCTCAATCAGGAATGAACAAAAATGCGGTATAATTATCAACAACATAACTTACCTACTGCTGTGATCAGACCGGTAATAAATGTTCTAAAATAAAAGGAAAACAATTCAAAACGTTGGCCACTGTTCGGAATAAAGTGAACGGTAATAGTTGAAGGTAGAAGAGCTTATTATAACAGATAACTTATTGTGAAACAAAGTACCATAAAAATGATGTTGAACATTAAAGTGAATATGAATACAAAATGTGAAAACGGATTTAGAAAACGAGGTAATCTTTCACAGTGAAGAAATTGTATTTCCCAAGAACTCTACTATCCGTTTTTTCAGTTTCATCAATATACGATCAAAAGTACACTAGCTATATTTAAAAATGTTAAGTTAATCGATACAAATGTGCTACACTGACCAAGATGATGAGGCAATGGAGATAGAAACGCCATCTAAAGGGATAAAACAACAAAGGAGAATTGATCTTACTAGAATTGTGAAATAATAACGATGATAATGATGGGACAACTAATTGATAGAGAATAAAAGTAACTTGAAAAAGTATTATCTCCAAAGGTATGAAATCAGTCTGACAGATCACTTTAAAATGCCAGTTCCGGCTTTTGATTGTTATTCAACTTTTTACTTGCAAACAGGTGGTGTTCTTTGTGTCGTCTCCCTAGTTTTCCAATCGCAGTTGCCAGGTTGTAAAGTATTCTTTCGTTTGTATCCCTTGGAGCCTCCTCTTTTAGCTCTCTATTGTCTGTTGTTGTTTCCGGATTCTATAATGTACATCCGTGATCATCAGTTGTAAGAAGTGTCTTCCACTCCTTGCCACTATTTTCCAGAACATTGGACAGTCGATAGTTGGTCTACATCTGATACTAGCTGGTAGAATATGCTGACGTAGACACTCATGGAAAAAGTATAGTTGTCCTCTTGTGGAGGCCTATCTATTGGCGAATTTCTCCCGTTTCAGAGCAATAAGAAGCGTTTGACGTTCGTAGGATTTTGCGATGATGGAAAGTATTTGTAGCTCAGGAGGAAAGTTTTGATCGTGTTTTGTTCTCTGGACTGGATGGCAACCCTCTTCGAGTTCGTCCACATGAACAGCAATTAGTAATGGAGCGTCATGACATAACTTCGCTCACGTCAATGCATATGGACAACTGTGGACATGAATTTGACCGGGAAAATGTGAAAATTCTGAATGTCCGAAATAAAAGACCTAAACAATTTTTAGAAACGTGGTATTCAGGTCACTCAGCAATCAATAGACACTAAAATAGACTCAATCTATCAACTAATAAGAAGCAGCAAGAAGGTCAAAGTCCATGTCAGGAGGACAACCAATCGAAATTATTATGAAGACAATAACAAGACTTTGGTAGAAAAACCGATAACACACAAGGCTATCAGGACAAGCTACTAAACCACTTGTGGAGAAATCTCTATATCTCACTTCTTTTTGAAGTTTGTACTGATGACATTATGTAGAATGACAATGAAAGCTTAACGATTAAACCATCCAGCTCAGAGAAAACAACACCATCAAGACTTCAACTTAACGTGAGAGATTACTATGAAGAATGGTTCAGGAGATACTGAATAATCTGAATCCTTATGGTACTTATAGATGCGTAATTCTGTTGTAATAAACTGAAAATCCTGCAGTCACTTCATACCATGCAAGGAGGTTGTGAATCTTCACTGAATGAAGTAGCTGAGATGGGTGTTGCCTATTTCAAGCCTCCAGTTAACTGAAAGTAAGATATTGGGCGATTTTAATAGTGTATAAAACAGGTTAAAGCAGGCCAGACTAAGATATGGTATCAGTTCATGCAGTTCCTGATTGTTGATCTGAGCCACGTTGGGTGTGTGGATGTGATCATTAAGTTGATGGGAATCAGTGACTGTGGGCTGTCCTTGACACGGCTCAAAACAGGTCACAATGAAGAAAATGTATACATTCTTTGTCATCTTCAGTCTTGAGTAATTTCATTAACCTCAAAGTGAATGTGGGCAATAAATTGCTTCCAAAATGTTATACAGTAAGTGATACTGTTGCCCTCTCATATGTTAATTAGAAAAATAAAATGAAATAAACCGGTGGCTATTTATTTTCTCTCTCCTCTCTTTTTCTTTCGTCTTCTTTTATGCCATCTATCTTCCATTCACTTTGTCGTTGCGCGCTACAGTAAAGGGTATCAGATTGAACTAATACCATTCTGTGCCAAGTTTTAATTTAGTTTCTTTGTGTAACTAACTCTCTCAGAACAAAAGGGATGCTTGGGATAACCTCCTTTTATTATCTATCAAACAAATAAACGTGACAGCCTTATTGACTGTATTGCTAAGGTCATTCTTCTAATGTGAATTAATAAGGAATTGATGCAAACTGGATGACCATATGAAGCAACCTTAAAGCTTTCCCTAATGAGTACTTGGATACCAAGAAACTGCAGACATACATGAATAGCTGGCAACTACGCTCGATACTGAATATCAGCTGGCTAGAAAGAATAAGCAACAAGGAACTTTGACCTGCTAACAAACCAACCAAGAACCCATCGCCCAAATGTATGCAGAGGAAGGTGGAGATGTATTGGACTGGGCATACACTGAGAAGACCATCTGGGGACATCACATGCCAGGCCTTCGAGTGGAACCCAAATGGGAAACGATGAGTTGGGCATCCGAGGGTGATATGGAGGAGGTTGTGTGGGGAAGAAATGAAAGCTTCTGGGTAGTCGTTGAACCAGGTTGAAAAGATTGCAGAGAACAGAGTGAAATGGTGACGTGCTATTGAAGACCTATATTCCATTAGGAACCCAAAAGATAAATGATAAAAAACAAAAACACGCTCAGTTGTTCGACATTCATTCTGGACTTCCACATAGTCACCAGTCGATTGCTGTTCATTAAATATATCAGGCCATGAACAAGAGTGACACGTTTGGCCACGTAGTGGATGGATAAGTAAGTATTACTGTGATAAATTACCCCGTCACACAGGTTACAGTTGCAATCATAGTTCATGATAGTTTTTCCTTTGATAGGTGAGATTTAAGGCAAAAATATCACAGTGACGAAAATTGTCTGCTTGATTACTGTCATCGTTTTATAAAAGTTTACTAAGAATTATCATCTAGTGCTTTTCCAATATATGTTTACTGAAATTTAATCATTGGCATTAACTCAGAAGAAATGTAATTAAGTACTTAATAAATCTGTTAGACCTACCTTGTAACAATTACACTTAAGGAGCCAAAAGTTAGTAACCAATCGAGCCATAAACGCATACTGAATATATTTCTTGTATGTATAAGAATAGACTGGAAAAAGTAACGGAATAAAAAAGTATCATGAGATGGGAATAAAGCTTTATGGTAGTAAAATGTGATAATAATTATTTTGAGCTGAAAGGATATATTAATCAATGTCATCATCAATATACGTAGAAGCACTATCTAATTCTTCACTATCTCTAGCTTCTAATCACTTGTGAGCTGCACAACAACCGAATGTTTCAGCTAACAATAAACTTCATCCACTCACTTGTGTGTGAGGCCTTACATTGATTTCGCCAGCCAGTCAGTGATTTAGCATTCTTTATTGTTCACAGGGCATAGGAGACTTTTGGCTGTTGTAAGAAGTGGGCAGATGTGAACAGGTAAACTCACGTATTGTTTTTCTGCTCGCCAGATATTATCAACAAAGTATGCGTGCAGACTCGACGAAACTTATTTCTCATTGAAGACCCTAACTTGAGTAACTTTACACCAAATAATGATGTGTCAAAAATCTTAAAAATATTTTATATCAGAATACAATTTGAACAAGGCAATCACATCTCGCCTAGTTTATTAGTTCACTTGTTTACTAAGCAGTCCTAAACTCGGATAAAGAGGGAAGGTTGGGCATAGGGCTGACAACCTTATCCCAGAAAACAAATCCAAATGCTAAAAAAACTTCAAAGCACAAACAAAATATAAAAGGAAAACAAACTTATTCCTCACTGGAATCGGAGAGGCAAAGTGACACCAGTTGGTGAAAGCCAATGGGAAGCCAATTGGCCAGTGTATCTTCTCTTCTCTCGATAAAAGCGAAAGTAAGAATGAGGACGTAGAATGTCCACACAATCTAGCAAGGTTGCCCAAATTGCGAAAGAGATGAGAAGGTGAAGCATAGAAGGGTTAGGAATCTGCAGATGGAATGGAAGTGGACTCTCCGAACTGTCAACTGCAGAGTAAATAATCTGCTCCGATATTGTTACCCAGACGACAACCACGAGCACACTGGTTGCCATGATGTCCCCAACAGCATCGAAGGCTCTCTCCCATGCAGTGCGAACTAGTCTCTTCCTGCAGGATCAGGAGCACGACAGCAAGATTCAGGTCAAAAGAAAGGAAAGTCACAATCATACAATGCTACGCTACGCTCCCACAAATGATGCAGGTGAAGAGAAGAAGAAGGAATTTTACAGACAACTGCAATCTATAATGGACAAGACTCCAGTTGGCAACATCAAAATTCTAATGGGCGATATGAATGCCAAACTGGGAGCGGACAACACAGGAAGAGAATTTATCATAGGTCGAGAAGCTGTCGGTGAAATGAACGAGAATGAAAAACTATTTGCAGACTACTCTGCATTTCATGATCTGCTGATTGGAGGTGAGGCAGTGTATGCAAACACAAGGATATTCACAAGGCAGCGACATGGATTTCATTTCACCAAACACCAGAACACACTACACCAAAAATCAGATCTACTTCTTCTCAATCTCAAGAAAGTCGAGACACAGTCTACTACACACAACATCAAGAAGAGGAACAGATGTAGGTTCACACCACTCACTATCTACTGCAAGGAACCCAACTTCAAAATCAAGTTGCAAGCCATCAAAGAAGATGGTGATAGACGACCACACTTCAAGTTCTACACCCAGAACTCAAACTAAACTCAAGGACGAAACGACATGCGACATCTTCACCTCAGTCATCAGGAAAAAGTGTGGGAGACACTAAGCAACATCGCTGAAGAAACCTGCGAAGAACAACACTGCCACTCTGTGAAAGCAACGTCGAAGGCAACCTGCATGACCGTGTTAGGAAAGAGAAAGAAAGAAGACAAGGAATGCATCTCGATGGACACATGGAAGCTGATAGAGCAGGGAGAGGATGATGGTGATGGTGAAGCAGAAGCAGAAGATGAACCAGTGCAGTGCAGTGTAGTTCAGTACAGTGCGGGGATGAACAACAAAAAGAGGAACTCAACACAACCTATAAAACACTACACTGGACAAAAGTGAAGAAGAATGTGCACAAGGACTAAAGACACTTACTTCTACGACACACACTTGCAAGTGAAGCACAAAAGTCTGCAGGCTGCAGGATAGACAGACACCTGACAACACCATATCAAATAACCAGATTATTATCTGGACAGCTGAGTAATGCCTTCGAAGTGAAGGTAAAAGTAAGACTAGGTTGCGTTATATCTTCCTGATTGTGGTTGACTGGACTGGATTATGCAACAAACTGTGAGGAGCGACATGGCCATACCTTATTTGACCGATGAAAAGACCCTGGACGTTTTGAATTTCGCCGATAATGATTTATATCTAATGTCTTGTTGCACAAACTCGAGGATATGCAGGCAAAAATCAAGAAGTTGACAGAAGAGGTAGCAAAAACGTGACTTCAAGTTAATGTAGAGAGGACGGAGGCGATGAAGATACCCAACCAACAACAACTAGTACCTGTCACCATCAACGGGAGAAATGTAAAGGAGGTTGTCTCTTACACCTACCTACCTACCTAGGCAGCATCTTTTCAACTACAGGCGGCAGCGTGAGCACAAATGCGGATGTCAAAGCAGCCAGGATAGGAAAAGCAAGACAGGCCTTCATCAATATGAAATCTGAGATCTACTGGATGCAGATGCAAGTAAACCTATGAAATAAATAAAATTCATTTTATCCTATGGATGCCTGCGTAATTAGTTTGTCCAGTGAACTGTTTTAATGTTTCATATTAGCTATGCGTTTTTTCTTATACGTGAGTGATTAGCAGTCTTAACTAACTGAGTTTTCTTTTTTATATGGGACTAGTTAGGTTACCCTAAAAATGGGCAGAGTTCCAATTTGAACAACGTTGATCATTTCTCATGAAATGACCACTTTTCACTATGCACATTTAGTATGCCTTAAAATGTATGTATAATTTTGAGTAACTTAATCCTCAGCAGTGAATCTGTATGTTGCTCATGGAGAATCAGAATTTGAAAATAATTCATCTATATGCAATATTTAAGTAGTATATTATTTCGTATTTTTATTGTTACTACTATTATTATTATTACCCAAATGTAAGTAGTCACAAACAATGGAACAAGGAGATATGATGATAAGGATTTGAAGCTTTGGTTATCGTTTTTATACTACCATCAAGTTTCAGTCGGTAAAGTTTCTAACGTCATCATCAATGGAGCGTCATCAATTAGTAAGGTCTACATACTTGTGTACCTCGGTGGTTGTAAGAGTTTAAAAGTAACTAGTGTTTGCAGCTGAGGTGGTCATTTTCCTGTCTTTCTGATAGATGCGTTGATGATAATGTCATCTGCCTAACATTTAAGTGGACCGCATATATTTATCTTATCAGTTCATCGGAAAATGGATACAGGACTAAACGGTTCTACCTTTTATAGTAGTCCATCAGAATGAATACTGTCAAAAAACTTATAAGTAAAGACATCGAGAAGAATAAGAATGATATAATAACCAAACAAACAAACGAAACTGGAATATTTCACCGGTACCATCGTTTCACCCCATTTAGGATTCTTTAGCTGTTTGTTTACTTTTCGGTATTCTCACTGGCAATCTAAATCGGCATTTGTATCAGTAACCAGCATGCCAGTACTGAATCATCACCTCAGTTCTTCAGACAAGCAGAATAAAAGGTTAGCAGTTCCAATAACCGAATGATACTTAATAAGAAACCTGTAGCTATCACAACTCAGTAACCTAGTGAATGAAGCCCAGGTATTTTAAATCTTGGGATCTTGAACTATATTTCAGTGGGAATATTAAGACATATTTATATCCAGATAGTGAGTCTCAAATATGAATTCCACCTGAGGACAGTACCAACGGAGATAAATAGAGAATAGGTGGGTTTAAAAACAATAAACTACACTGCTATATCTCCGAGGTAGACAAAGTTAAAAGCCGCATTTCAACCAATGTAATATCTTAATAGTGTAGCCAGTGCAAAAATTCAATAGCTTACCGGTATTGGATGTATACCAGGTGAGGCCGATTCAGATTTGTCCTCCCTTGGATAACAGGTTCCTTCGAAATCATAATCCTTTAAACTAAAAGAAGAAATGAACAGAGAAGCAGGTAGAAAACTGGTAATTAGGCTTCAAAAGACAAAAATAACAATTTCCTCGAGTTCTCAGCTCATAGATGGTTGAAATTATTACTTATTGCGGCATCAACTAATGCACTTCAATACCACGTACTCAATAATACGCTTTGTCTATGAGTGCCAGTTAGTATCAAATTCAGGTCAAGGAGGAACTTCTTAAAGATGTCAATGTATTACATTTTTAATTCACAGCATCGTGAATTTTTAAAAATAGTAAATCACTATCCACTCGACAATTCGTATACTGTTTTTGAACGCAGATGTCATCCTGCTCACTTAGCAACAAAGACAGCATATTTCTGTCACTTAAAAATGGTGAAATGTGGTACTTTCAACGAAGTAAGACAATGTTAAACTGTTTAAGGTGCTTATAGAGCTTCTGGAATCAAAATGGTCTTGCACGAGTAATCAGAAGCCACATTTAGTCTTGATTAAAAGAGGTGAATAGATGTTTGTTAGAGTGCTACAACCTTATTAATTGGATGCCTTAAACTACTGGAAACAGATGATAGCATTCATAGTCACCTACATTGCTTCCAGGAATCGAGAAGGATTCTATGCCTCAAGTTCACTTATCTTGCTGTATTTTCCTCTGAAATTTGACCACACACCACTGAAAAATTAAGGCTACTGATTTACACACAACTGTGTTATTTTACCACCTTAACTTGTCTAGTGGAGCAGTCCATAGGAAATAGTGCCACCTAAAGATTTCACCTCGAGTGTTCAGCGTTTTATGTTTCTGTGAGGAAATATATAAGTAGTCGATTAGCTGGTTGAGCTTGCGTAACGTGATTGTTACTAGTGAACTTTATTTACGAATATTTTTAAAGTTGAATTTTCCTCATTTGAGGATTCATATAAATAGCATCGACTTTAAGATGTTAACATTCAACAATCGAACACTGAGGGTAGATGATATAAGTAGTACATAGGAAGCTATCAGGCTAAAAAAGGAGTTTACGAAACCTAATATTCACTTAACACTTACACCACTGGGGCTGATGTGTCGATTTCGTCAGCCAACTAGCTAGTCAGATCACAGTGGTTTTAACACGCGACGGTTATGTCGCTTGTTCAGGGCCGAGCTTATCAGAGGTGTTCCCGGCCGAATTCGGCCGCATTACTTCAGATCCCATGCATCTGACTAGCTGACTTGCATGGACCGGTATTCCTAAAATAGGATAAATAATTTGCAGGTCAGCTAGCCATACTCAGGCGATCTAAACTAATCGACTCCATGAACTGAATTCGTCCAACTACACCGCTGATGAGCTCAGTGACAAACAAGCGAAACAGCCACTTGGTGTGTTGGTTACATTGATCTAACTGGCGAAATACTACAAATCAGCCTAAGTGGTTTCTTACTACTCCATTTACTCAGTATCTTTTAATATTTACACTGTTTAAACCAACTATTTGATCAGACTATTCCCATCAGAAATGCAAGGCAGTAAATGTGAAACAATAAAATACAAACCACTAAAAACTTACACTCCATAAACATGATTTTGGATCAAAGAATTCATCAGCTGAGGATCGACGTGTCCCAGGAATTGACCTATCTGTAATAGATAAGAATGTGCATGTTAGTAATAAGGTTTACAATTAGTTAAAAAACGAGGTCTATGCGATACATTGCATATGAAATCAACCGCTGGTATGTCTTAGAAAGCACTTCTGAAAACAGTCAAGATTTCACTAATATGTATTCAAGATCGCTTATTGTACTTCAGATATTTTGGTTTTTTAAAGGGATCACGATAAAGTTTTGCAATCGAACCTCATTTTGTTGTATCATTCTTAATGCCAGCTGTGTAGTTAATAAAAATCCGAACCAACAGAATTCTCTTTACTACAGATTGACTCTGTAAATTGAACGAATTTGATTATTACAAGCAAAGTTGAAGATTTAGAAATTTTGCACAATTCCACGCATACTACACTGAAACTTATGGTGAATTTATTTGAATCGTCTAAGAAGTAAGAGAAGTAGCTAGGAGCACAACAGAATTGATATATTTGAACACCGAATATCAGGTTTCTGCATGTATACCCTGAAACTTATTTTTAGAATAAAAGCTAGGAAAAACGATTTTTTTTTAAATGGTACTGGTGGCTTGTCTTGTCGTTACACTACTTTATGAAAAAGATTGTCTGAAATATCCCCATGTCTATAGTGATAAGTCATCAACCATAGAGGCTTGTTGTGTAAGAAGTTCGTTACCAAAAATAGATCCTATATATTTTCAAAAAGTAATACTTTTAGTGTCTATACGTCCTGAATTGAACTTCTTAAGACCTTTCACCTACGTAATTGGATTAGGTATATTCAGTACTCTTGGCAATAATCCTAGTGTTCTTACATTTTTGTTGCTTTTGAGTTTTGGTTTTCTTACTCTGAGTTTTCACCATCTCCAATGTTCCTTCATACAAGGAACAAACTTCGACATTTTGTCAGATATATTTGATGGATTTGTTCTGGAGTTTGAAACATTTACCATTGACTGGTCTGTTGTTGCAGCCCAAGCTTCTTTGACTATCGGTCATTGTACTGACTTAACTATTTCCTGACGATCATTATCGTTGATATGGTATTACCATATTAACCACAATCATTTATATGCAGGTTAAGTTCAAGCACTACTTATTTGAACATTGCAAATAATTCAACTAATTTGAATTGTCAGACTCTGTGCATAATTCAAGTTCATTTTAGTTTTCGGATCATCCACAAAATTCTCATAGGTTTATTCATTGAGGTTTGAAGTTAAATTTGGGCACTTTTGTGGAATGTAATTAACTCTAAGTTGATTCACTAGATGAATCACTTAGTGCGACAGTATTATTTACTGTAGATCCATTGGTATGACGTTGAATGGTAGAATGTGTGCGAAACGCAATCAAATTAAACAGAATTACATTTATGTTCAAGATTCAATTTTGCATATAGTTTTATTTATACCGATCTACCGTATTTCCAGCAGCTGGAATCCTAATGAAGTAAAATGTTAAACAAAATGAGCAGTTAGAGATCACTGATACTGATTGTTATACTGTGGATTAACGTTACCAAAATCTTCGGAAAAAGCCGTAAACCCCTGAAGCCTTTTACAACCAATGCTTATGTTCCCAAGTTTAGAGAAAACACACGATAACCAACGTGTAAATGTCAGATTCGGTGAAAAGACAAAAATCAACGCCATGTTCCCATCTAGAAAGGACTGCAAATAACTAAAGCCATTGTGGATACATACAATCCATTGTATTTTGGATATGTTTTTGATGTTGCATGACTCCTGTTATCTTCCCTCTTTTTCAGTTATCAAGGAACCAAACAACCAACAAAGGTGGAATCTGAAATTTTTTGTCCAAGCGTCGGTATACCACTTCTACGTCTGGCCAATTTGAAACCTCTTCCAACCTGATCCAACATCCCCTAGCATGGCACGTAGAGATAGACGGTTGCTTGGCATTCACGGTACATGTTCAAGACATCTCAGTCGACCAAGGTTCACAACCTCATCAACCAACTTGTCAGCCTTGCCTAGAACCACTTAACTGACATCAACATTACTCACACGGTGATTCCAGCAAACGCAAGCTATGCTACGAAGATATCTGTGATCAAAACCCTATAATGTCTTCATGTCTTCTACATTGAACAGCCATGTTTCTCAACCGTGTAACACCACAGATCAAACTGCAGAGCATTATAATCGTATTTTAATAGATAGTCGGATATGTTGTCAGTGGATGAGATGTACTCAAGGTTATGTCCACTAGTACATCTAAAACGAAAGTGAACGCGAACGGCGACAGTGGGCGTCCCTGTTGACACCAACGGTTGTCGTTGATTCTGATGACATCTCATCATAACCCTTACACTACTGTGCGAGTGCGATTAGAAAGCTTTGATAAGTAATATACACTTACTCGGTACTCTTTTTGCAGTCAGACACTGCTGCAACACCACACAGTTTACAGAGTGGAATGTCACCTTCAAGTCAAAAACATTGCAAGTGTTGCCCACCGTTGAAATTGTGCACCGATTCTGTCTAACAATGACAGCAAAATAATCTAGCTATTTTCGTCGTCTGTTTTATTTTGGATGTTATATGAGTCAGTAATTATCTTTATTTTTAACGCTGGCCAGAAATAAGTGACTATCTTAACAAAATTACAATACACGATCACCGTTGTTGCTTTACCATAGAAATGATAGTTTTCGGTCCCATGATCAAAATTCGTAGGTCATTTTCCTATTACTGTAGTCAAATTATTATTTTGCACGACTATTTTCCAATTTGATAAGGAGGCATAAGTCTACAGTAGTATATTGGCCAATATTCAATCTCAGAATTGAGAAAATAATTTCAATAACTATAGCTTTACTTCTGTATCAGTTATACACGCTGAAAGTTTGCTTTTATTTTGGTGAAGCCTGCTATGGTTCAAAGTACTTATAAAGCAGACAGAAGAAACGTAGATGTCCAAATGTGGTTCTTAAGAAGAAGCAGCTTTGAAACCAAGTAGTGGTAATAAACCAGTAATATTAAAGGTCGCTCTAGGGAAAACAGAAATAACCAGTTTTTGTTTATATTTTGCCTAAACAGGTAGATTATTGAAAGCTTACCGGTTATCTAAGTATGTGTTCGAAATACCCTATTAAGTCAATTTGTTTAATCAAATTTTAGTTCGAATTATGTCCATTAACACTCCATTTTTGATGGAGTATGAACGGAAGAGTCAGTTTTTGTGGATACTTTTGGTCTGATTACTAGACTTACCTTGATACTGATGATCTCTTTCCATATTCAAATCTCATTAACAATATACACTTACCTTTCTAAAGGATCTAAACATGGAATTACATAAAATCTGGCACCTATTGCCCTAAATCAACAGTACATCCTCCCAATAATAGATAATGCAAATCAGGTATTGTAATTCACTGTGAGTTGTATTTCAGGTTCAAATAATCTTTCTACTATAATACAAACTACAAAACGTCAGTGGTCTAGTAATACTTGGTTTTCAAAAGTGCTTAGAATTGTGATAAGCTTTCGAAATCAGTGGTTTAAATAGCACTATATTACTAATAAGCAGTTAGCTACACTAATGAAAACTCATTAGAAATCAGTGACCTATACGGTTAGTAGAGTAAAGCATGACAAGGTAAAACTCCTTTTATGGTCATCAATAATCAGATGAAGTCACAAAATGATGACTATTGAATCCCAATATAAAGGGATGAATGATAGAGTATAAATCATGATGTATCCAAAACTTGTTCATTCATTGATTATGCCGAGGGTGCGCACTTCTTAGTAGCCTCCTAAATGAGGATAAGACAACTACTCAGTTCTCAAAGATTTTCAGTCTATAGTGAAAATTATCGAAAACAATTTCTTTGACTATAGCATTAGTGCTAACGATAACAGGTAACAAAAGCATACTATTGATAATGAAATAAATGTTTTACCTGGTAATATAGTGACTGATTATTCACTGCAATAATATTAGCCGCATCCTCTAATAAATAACATAGTTTGCTTGATGAGTCTACACATTCTGAGATTAAATTAAGTTGTTTGGAAAGATGTTCTGGTTCCAACGTAATGCCCAAAACTGAAATAAGGTACAAGAATAGAAAATAAATTCGGAAACATGGTATACCACAATCGGTGGAAGTGTTTATCGCGCATATTACAAGATTTCGTTTAGTTAAAAAAACAATCACCACCAAAATATATTTGGAAAATATAAAAAATGTTCATACACCAACAAATTAGTCCACGGACAATGATTACATTCTCCCAAAGGTTCCTAAGCGAGATGTATAGCTGATTTGAACGGTAAACTTAAATACTTGCAGAAAGTTTAAACAAAAATTAACTAACAAGCAATGTCCATAGAGTTACAGCATAAAAAGGTGGCACAGTTTACCTAGTAATCTATAGCCTATCCGTCCTTTGAAACTGATCCCACAATTTTCAAGCCATCTGGCTATCAGTTATTGTAGCAGATATGTACAATAAGCGTAGAGTGATAACGGACACTGTTGTTTGGGAGAAACGAGGGATATCCATTGAACTAAACAAGTAAACAAACTAAACATACTTAAGCAAAGCAAAGAAGGAGTGAAAAATCTTTTCGTAGTAATTCCAAATGTCTAGATAAACTAACAGGCATCTTCACAAAACAGTTGTATTATTTCAGCGTCAGAACTGAAATGCAACAGAAATTTGCATAATTTGTTGTCTAGAAATGCATGATGCGAAAAAGTAATCATCAACTTTACAACAAACACATAACGAGAAGAAAACAAACAAACCAAGTTTTACTCTGAATACTCTAAAATACAGAATACTAATGGCGTTTTGAACTTATTGTCATGAAGTCGGAGGATGACTGTATTCCCAAAACATTTTTTTGTCTTCAAGAAACGATTTCACATTAAAGGGTACTCAAATTGACCATAATCTTACTTTGATTGTTAACGGTGTTGACATAGTGAAGTGGTTCAGGACCGCAGTTGTGTCTGTATGAGAATGCTACCATTAAATCTATTAAATTCCCTACATACTTTGACTAAATTTTTATGATACAAAATATGAGTAGGTATTTGTCAGTTTATTACCCGCTACCTGAGCAGAACAGTTGTTTATTGGGTTATCAAGCCATGGTGAACGGTATTGCAAGGTATTTTTTTAAAAAAAAAACATAAGTGGATTCGGAGCAACTAGAGCAAGACTATGTGTAAAGCAATTAATTCTTATAGTAGCAGTTTTCATGTAGCAAGGATCAATTCACTGAGAAGTAAGTACGGCAGTAAAGTTATTCAGTTGATGAAAGTTAAAGCGGTTTACAACGGTACAGCTGTAGTCACAATTTGTCAGTAGTGTTTACAAGTTATATATGTTTCTTCACATTTTCAGCTTCTTACAGTTATTCCTGTTTCTTCTGTGAGGTTTTGCAGTAGTTTCAGTTTGATGGTATATATGTCAGGTGTTAAATTAACTAAATTAATCATGAGCAACAATAAAAATTAGGTAATTTTAGTGTATCCTTTGTTTGTAATTGTTTGTTGATTGCAAATTAGAGCACATTGGAGAAACAGATGCTTTTCTATGAACAAGTTTATTATAACGAAAAGACAGTAACGGTAGTTCATTTTGTGTCTTATATTAATGATAATATGCAATGTCTAATCATTAAGATTTTCCTGTAACCCAAGCAATAAATAGTTTTGTGAATTAGACTATATGATATAGTTTTGATGCAATTACTGAGTGAAGCCTCTAAAATTATAAGCTTCACTACGTTTGCTCTAGATCACTCCCAAGTTTATATCATAAATATATTGTTATGTTTATAACTGTCCATTAAACTACAACCAACTGACCTCAAAAAGTGCATACCGACTACATAAACATACCAGTGGTTTCAGTGCTATGCAAATTTAAAAATTACCCTATAGTTATTACTAATGTAGTAAGTTTACGATAGCAGACCAGGGTATGAACACAAAAGTGGTTAAATTTCCTTTCATATTTACATTCACTAGGGGGAAAACAACAGAGTGTTCAATATTCTGAAGCTTTCTGAAGACTATTTTTAGCACTACCCATATGGGCTGGTCAAGTGACAAAATCGAATGAAGAAGAGGTTTGAAGATCTATTCAATATCTAGCCTTATCTCCCCTTACGAATGGTTATCCATAATTTATTATCGTCTCTTATGGACACACATTTGTGTTTACTCATTAAACCAGTTTAAATGCTTATCAGATAAATTCATTAACATAGCATTTGTGGACGTTTATCAGGTGGATCAAAGGTCAGAATCTAGCTTCATCTACTAAAGAATAGGCATTTCAGTTTCGATAGTAACATAGCGGAAGGATCTCGTCATTATGACAGACCAAAAACTGAAGTAAGTAAGTAGTAAGTACTAATACACTCCGATCGCTGGAACTCATCTGGTTATTTTAATGAAGGAATATGTGCTAGCAACTATACTAGACGAAGGGAGACATGTTGACATCATACTCGTTATAGCCCATTTCAATACATAAACTGCGCTCAGTGCGCTAATTTATATATCATCTGATTGCCACACCTTTCAATAATTCTGATTCCCAAAAGTATTACTGACGAATCTGGAAAACAGCGTTTGATGATATGAATTTGGATAATAGAAGGGATCACCAAATAACAATCACAACTGTAAAACTTCCACATATATGTGGATAACGTCTTCTTAAAATGTTTCGCATCAGCATTAAGAATAAGATCCGGATTTTCAACACCAATGTCAAGTCAGTGCTGCTATATGGTTCAGAGACTTGACGCGTTATGAAAAGCATTTCCAACAAATCACAGATACTCATCAACAACTGCCTACACCCACTGGATACTGAAGAGCAGATGGATAGCCACAAAGAATAAGCAACAAGCAAATCTGGCTAGCAACAAACCAACCAAGAACCTATCAACCAACAAACATGCAGAAGGAAGTAGAGATGGATTGGGCATGCACTGAGAAGACCATTCGGGGACATCACACTCCAGGCCAGATCTCCGGGTGGTACCCTGATGGGAAACGGTGAGTTGGACGTCTGAGCAAGGGTGATATGGAGGAGATTGTGTGAGGAATAAATGAGAGCTTGTGGGCAGTCGTGGAGCCAGGTTCAAAAGATTGCAGAGAACAGAGTGTAATGGAGACGTGCTACTGAAGCCTTATATTCCACTAGGAACCCAAGGGACAAACAGTATAATATATGATAGAATAAACAGGAAACAAACATGAAAATGAGTCACTTAAATAGAATTACCTCCGGCTTTGTATACATCTTGTCCTTGTGTAATTGTTATAGGTGTAAATATTGTTACTGGTAACGGTGTATTATCTATATTGTCCTTTTCTTCTTCATCATTGTTTATCATTTGACTCAACTCTTGATCTTCCATAATCACATCATTTTCATCTATTTCAATAAAAGGCTCTTCAAAAGTTTCCTTCTGAATAATATCAAGTTCGGAATATTTTTGATTATCACTATCTTGTTTTCCTCCTCCTCCTGATTCTGTGGATGTTTCTTCTCCTTCTCCTTCTGCTCCTTTTTCATGGGAATTAAGCTTTTCAGTTTGTGCCTCTGGACTTCCTTCTGTTCGTAACAAGTCCTCTATATCATGGGTAAATGTGATTTGATCCTTGAAAGGTGTTGCAGTTATATTTGATTTGCTACCTTTTACTGAAGAATTATGGTTATCATCTGACTTATCTGATGATTTTATAGAATTTATCAAAGAAAAAGTAACAAAACCATTTTAAATCACAATCATGGTGAGGAGCGTTAGCATAACTTGATTTATAAATAAATAGTCTGTTGTAACTTAGAGCTGTGTAAAAAATTCTCTCACTTAAGATACAAGCGAATTCTCCCCCTTCATGAATGGTATTTGGTTTATTCTTAATTTCTTGGTTTCCCCTTAGGACTTGTGTAAAATCAGATTAGTGCCCATTATTAATGAGTACAAAATCCATTCGCAGCTGATGGGATTGCGGAAAGCCATGTAGTTTGCAAACAGTTTTCACCATAGATGTGCACTTCTAAAGAGTAGCAGGATAGGAAGAAACAGCTGTACAATTATTCCTAAAGTTCAGTTTTTTCTTAAGGTTTGCCAAGTCATGATGAAAGCTACTTTCAAATCATTCGTCTCCCTGATAAAGCACTCCAGTGATTATGTAATAGGTTAAAAAGATATGGAGCGCCGAAAGCGAATATAGAATATGTGCCTTAAATTTACTCACCACTGTTCTTTATAAATTAAAGATTCTAATGAAATGGAAAGATAAGTGAAGTATGACTGGATGACGTGAACAAGTGAACCAGTGTTTTCCCTAAAGAAGCCATCCAAACACTTGACCAGAATCGAGGAACAAGCAGAATAAAACTCGTTACAATCTGTCATTGAACGATAAAAGGTGAAGTGAAAGTTTGCAGAGCAATAGGATTTGAACTAGCAGTGTCTTGAACCCCATGTCAGTAACATGAAGGTCACTGTTTTGAATCCCACTGGCATCTAGGTTTTCGCTTCACTTTTAGTCCTCTTGTCATACCATATATACAACGGCATCTTAGACGGTCTCATCAGTAGTTAGTCATTTATATTTGAACGTTCTTATAAACTTGACTGCTATTGTTGGTGGTTAGAACGAACTGAAATAAGTAGTCATTTGACAAAATAAAAGAAAGCTACGGAAGATAAGACAATTGGTGGAAACTAATATGGGCTAAGTAATTTACAGTACTTACATATAACAACATCAAGATGCCAGGGAAATGTAAACGGAACACTGGTGGATAGTCGCCCTATATCGAAAACTGATGGGAGTATGAAACGATAGACCACTGAACTTCGGCCGAGTGACTAAATACTTATCTTTTTCGCCGCGGAACGTGAAGGCTGTGGGTTCAGCCTCTGACGAGGTGGCGAGTAATGCTGATGAGCCCAATACCAGGACAAAACAAATGTCCAGTTCTTTCAGGTTTTCAATGGTTTTCCAACCGGTCCATAATATATACTACTTTGAAAACAAAATCCTTAAGGCTTCCATTTGGCAACTGCCTCATTCTGATGGTAGTCATATCGTCAGGTTATAGCGCAATTGATTTATTATTTTATTTAACAGAAAAATGTATTTGGAGATAGCGTCTCCATGATGCGAGACTGTGGAATTCAGATTATTATTATTATTAGTCCCTTGGGTTCCTAGTGGAACATAGGGCTTCAGTAGCACGTCTCCATTTCATCCTGTTCTCTGAGATCTTTTGAACCTGGTTCCACGACTGCCCACAAGCTCTCATTTCTTCCTCGCACGACTTCCTCCATGTCACCCTCGGACGTCCAACTCGTCGCTTCCCATGGGGATTCCACTCGAGCAACTGGCCTGACGCGTGATGTCCTCAGTCGGCCTTCTCAGTGCATGGCCAATCCATCTCCACTTCTTCCTGCATATTTGTTGCGTGATAGGTTCTTGGTTGGTTCGTTCTCAGAGTTCCTTGTTGCTTATTCTTTCTGGCCATCTAAACTGATCTTCAGTATGGAGTCAGCGTCAGCAGTTGTTGATGAATGTCTGTAGTTAATTGGAAATGCCTTTCGTGACGCGCCAAGTCTCTGAACCATACAGAAGCACTGACTTGACGTTGGTGTTGAAGATCCGTATCTTGTTCCGCATGCTGAGTGCAGAAGATCTCCACACTGGTTTCAGGCTAATGAATGCCTGTCTTGCTTTTCCGATTCTGACTTTGACGTCTTCGTCCGTCCCGCTTGTAGTTGAAACAGTGCTTCCTAGATAAGTGAAGGAGGTTACTTCCTTTAAGTTTCTCCCGTTGACGGTGATTGGAGTTTGTTGTTGTTGTTGGAGTTGTTGATGCGGTATCTTCATCACCTCTGTCTTCAGATAGATAAATAAAAAATCTGCTACTATAGTTCCCTACATTCCGTAGAATTCAGCCAATAAATATGAAGTGTTTAGTACAATCTAACCTTGATTTCTTCTTAAAGATATCCAAAATATTAAGCCATGTGAATCGAATACACGTTGAAAAATAGGTGAGTTGGGCCAGTGTTTCAGTTCGTCATAAAAGTCTTCAGTGGAACTACATAGAACATAAATCAAAGAAAACAGAAGAGTTAAGTTAAAATAAGCTTTAGTATTATATTGAATCGGTCATTTGGTAGACAATCAAATGAAAAAACCCTTGTATTTACAAAAGTCTATCAAACTCATATCATAAATCAGATCTTTGGATCCAGGCGGAAATGCTGTCTACTTGAACCTGTCATGATTCTGTTTGGATAGAATCTGGATTCTATTTGAATGGAAACCTTTTTCGTATATGTCTTCAGTATCAACATCAGTCGTGTGTCGACATGCCATTGTATACATGGCAACTGGCAATCACTTTTTTAGATTTTTGAGTTCATTTTGATTCTGCAGGGAACATTTAGTACATGACATGAATTTTTATGGGTTTAAAGCTTCCTGAATATATCCTCTTGTCATATTATTTACCCTCGTGCATTTTCCGAACGGTTTCAACCTGTAGCAGGGTACAAGGTAAAAGTAAGCAAAAGAACCATGGTGGATGGTAGCAAGCTCTTAAACATATAACATTGGATAAAATGACCATTTCTGAAAACATTTTTATCATGAACTGCAGATCTTTACCAAGAAGTGTTGCCTACCTTTAGTCAGTCATATATAAATATTTACTTTTATATTGCCAGGAAACTGGCTTCCTAATATGTATGATGATGATTTGGTTTTTTAAATGGTTCACATTATTTCAACAAGATCAATGTATTTCCAGGAAGTGTGTTGGAGATTTGGATGCATTTTTCGGTGTCGACTGATCTACTTTCGTTTGTGTGTGATTCAGATTCCCTGATGACAATATTATTAAGTGTCACCGTAAACATATATTATACACGGAACATTTAAGTTATACGTAATTTTAATTTTTCCAATTTATCTATTTCTTTTGATAAAATGTCTGGATTTACTGCTCCTACAATAGGTAACTATATGGTTCAGAGACTTGACGCGTTATGAAAAGCATTTCCAACAAATCACAGATACTCATCAACAACTGCCTACACCCACTGGATACTGAAGAGCAGATGGATAGCTACAAAGAATAAGCAACAAGCAAATCTGGCTAGCAACAAACCAACCAAGAACCTATCAACCAACAAACATGCAGAAGGAAGTAGAGATGGATTGGGCATGCACTGAGAAGACCATTCGGGGACATCACACTCCAGGCCAGATCTCCGGGTGGTACCCTGATGGGAAACGGTGAGTTGGACGTCTGAGCAAGGGTGATATGGAGGAGATTGTGTGAGGAATAAATGAGAGCTTGTGGGCAGTCGTGGAGCCAGGTTCAAAAGATTGCAGAGAACAGAGTGTAATGGAGACGTGCTACTGAAGCCTTATATTCCACTAGGAACCCAAGGGACAAACAACAACACTAAGTAACTATTTGTCCATAGTCTGTAAAGATTTTGCTCCATGTGACTGTGGTTTTGTTTTATCGCTGGGTTACGAGAACCTCCTTAACGTTGCAACTCATCTTCAAACTACGGAAGATTAAGTATTCATTAACGGCAATGATATTTATAAAGCCCTCAAATGTTTTACGTACTGAGAATTCCAAACTGGTCTAACATTCTTTACATTTAATGTTGTATACGCAGTTGTTGTTTATCATTTTATAAAAAATCTAATTTTTCACGTTAAGCAAAACCTTTTCCAATTTATTCGGAGATTGTAAATAGACTATAAAAACATTATATCCAAACTTTTTGAGTCTGCTCACAAAAACGTTTTCGATATGGCATTGTTACAAATGACGGTTATGATATCGTTGTCATCTTACTATATTTTGCATTTGCTGCTTGAATATTCCTCGGATTGACTTTGTTTCCAGTTTATTTTTGCTTCAACTTTACCCACATTTATCCTTTCGATGAGACAATTTAGGAAATTTAGGTGCAGAAGCATCCTGTTCAATTTTCTGAGGATACACGCTATACACTAAACGGTATTCGTAAAATGATTAAATCAGACTCGTGAACAGTCGTAGCAACTATGGTTTGGTTATTCCGACGGATAATTACTCATCTACTAAGCGAATGTCTTATTTTGACTTCCTTATCACTAGCTATTTTTCACATCCCTGTTCAATTTTTGTTTTAGTCAATCAAGGAATACAGACTGCATAGCAGTCCAGGTTGCCTTATTTTACATCACTACAGCAAGATACAAAGTAGTAACGTTAAAGCGACCGGACAACAACAAACTCATTTGTTCAACTGCTTAGTGTAGAAACTCAAACACTGTAAAGAATAAAATCAATAATGATAAAAACACTCAGTTATCTGCATTTGGTTTATAGTATTTTTTAACAGGAAATGCCACTAAGCTGACTCTTTTTGACAAGATTAATTTTTAAAAATTAGTTGTTATGAAATATACTACTTGTCCTAACTTCTAGAGTTAAAAAGAGAGTTTGAAGCTATTGCTTCTGTTAATTTATAGTTTAATACGATATTAAGTATTTTTCTACTTATCTTATAACTCACCAACTTGGTGATAGCATATGCAATAGGAATTCTGTAAGCTACACTTTTTAGCATGAAATAGCTTACAACAGCACCAGGTTGCTCGGATTAGAGTGAATATAGTTACGTTTGATGTATGAAACAATGGGTGCTAAATGGATGAACCGTACGACGCAGTTGAATACTCACCAAAATGTTTAAATTGCATTATAAACTAACTTGATTGGTAATGTCCATATTAAACCAGTGTTTAAAGCTATTGTTCGGGAGCGTATATCACCATCGAATTTTACTGATTCAGCTGATTCTGTAACATCTTTTTCAGCGACAATAATCTCCAGTAGTATCTGCAATAACAATTCCGATTGACCTAGAAAAGACAAATAACGAAGATACAATCGTATAGAAACTGTAGATTTAAGTAACACAACGAATTATTAATAACACCAAGGTTTCAGTGCATTCAAAGTTAAACTGAAGCACTACTAAGATGAGACATTATACTGTTTTGTTGGTTCGCAATTAGAAAGAAATTTCGATGATATGAGTAGCTGAGGACACCAAATTACGATTGAACTGTAGGAGTACCGTGTCCAGGAAATAATACGATAATACCCCGTAAATTTAGCTGTTCACCTCAGTGAATTAGTAACCATATTTTCAGGAGTTTATTTATAATCACAAGATTGCATGAAACACAGTTAACATTTCCTAGGAAAAAGATAAAACACTAGAGTTTTATTTCATAAAGCACCTTTCAAATACTTAAACCTATCGGAACTGTTACCCCTACACTTTAAGGTCTGCAAAAACTGCATAAAAACGGATTGCCCCTTCGATCAATTCTTGATATGTTAAACTCTCCGTTTCATTCAACCACACAGCAGAGGGGATTGCAAATCTACCATCACAAACCTAAGCTTTGCATTCAAAAGAAGTTTATTCGATCATTTTAAAGGTCATGGCTGTCTATTTTAGTATTATTTTGTTCAACTCTTCCTCCTCTAGTTCTATCAATATTCATTTGCTTTCTCATACTCAGGAAATTATTTATTATGACCGACTTTTCAACAAAAACCACTTCATTTCCTCTACCAGCTACTATCCAATAAATGCAAAAAATAACCTCGCCTGGTTAACTAGTTCACTAGTTACTAGCCGGTCCTATGCCCCGTAAAGAGGGAAGGTTGGGCATAGGGCTAGCAACCCTACCCCGTAAAACAAATCTAACCACTAAAGAAACTTCAAAGCACAAACAAAATATAGAAAATGAAAACAAAATTATTCCTCGCTGGAATCGGAGAGGCGAAATGACACCAGTTGGTGAAAGCCTTCGGGAAGCCAATTGGCCGATGTGTCTTCTCTCCCTCGATGAAAGCGAAAGTAAACGTGGGGACATGGAATGTCCGCACGATGTTTGAACCCAGTAAGGCAGCCCAGATTGCAAGGGAGATGAGAAGGTATAACATCGAAGTGCTTGGGATTTGCGAAAGCAGATGGAATGGGAGTGGACTCTCCAAACTATCAACTGGAGAATCAATAATCTACTCCGACAATGTCACCCAGACGACAACCACAAGCACACTGAGTTATGGAGTGGCTATCATGATGTCCTCAAGAGCATCAAAGGCTCTCATGCAGTGGGAACCAATCTCCTCCAGGATCATGACAGCAAGATTCAACTCAAAAGGAAGGAAAGTCACAATCATACAATGCTATGCACCTACAAATAGTGCAGAGCAAGAGAAAAAGGAGGAATTCCACAGACAACTTCAATCAACACTGGACAAGACGTCAGTTGGCGATATCAAAATTCTAATGGGTGGGGTGACATGAATGCCAAACTGGGAGGGGACAACACGGGAAGAGAACTAACCAGGGGTCAAGAAGCGCTCGGTGAGGTGATGAAAGAGAATGGAGAATTGTTTGCAGAATTCTGCGCATTCAACTATTTGGTGATTGGAGTCAGGCAGTGTGTTCAAGCACAAGGATATCCACAAAGCGACATGGATTTCACCAGATGGACACACTAAAAATCAAATCGACTTTATCTCAATCTCAAGAAAATGGAGACGCAGTCTACTTAACACAAGGTCAAGAAGAGGAGCAGATGTAGGTTCAGACCACTACCTAGTGCAAGGAACCTTCCAAATCAAGTTAAAAGCCTTCAAGGAAGCTGGTGATAGACCTCAACCCAAGTACAACACTCGGAAACTGAAGGATGAAACTACAAAGGAGATCTTCAAGGCAGCCATCAAGACAAAATGGGAGATATCGAGGAACATCCCTGAAGAAACCTGTGTGGAAGAACACTGGAAGTCTTTGAAAGCTATGTGGAAAGAAACCTGCACAACAGTATTAGGAAGGGAGAAGAAAGAAGACAAGGAATGGATCTCCACGGATACCTGGAAGCTGATAGAGGAGAGGAGGATGGTGAAGCAGAAGATAAACCAGTGCATGGATGCTCAACGACGAGAGGAACTGAGCACAATGTATAAAACACTGGATAAAGAAGTGAAGAAGAGTGCACGCAAAGACAAAAGACACTTCTACGAAACACTGGCAAGTGAAGCAGAACAGGCTGCAGGTGGAAGAGACACAGACCTGACGACATTGTATCAAATAACCAGGTTGCTATCAGGGAAGAGATCAACACAGATGAAACCAATAAAAGATGAAGAAAGAAATTTAATTACGAAAGAAGAGAAACAAAGGAAACAATGGGCCGACCACTTCAAAAAGCTCTTGAATCGACCACCACCACCACCTGCACTTCGTCCAGAAATACCACCTGCAGCCGCTGAACTACAAGTGAACATAAATCCTCTAACGAAAATGGAAGTTCTGAACGCCATAAAGCTACTGAAATGTAGGAAAGCAGCAGAACCAGATGGGATCCCCCCAGAAGCACTGAGAACAGACGCAGAGACAACAGCGGACATGCTCACACCACACGACTGTTGCAGAAGGTGTGGAAGCAAGAGAAGGTACCTGACGATTGGAAGAAGGGTTACCTTGTCAAACTGCCGAAGAAGGGAGACCTCAGTGTTTGCAAGAACTGGCAAGGAATCACTCTCCAGTCCACCCCAAGTAAAATATTAAGCCGTATCATCCTGGAGAGACTTAAAAATGCACTGGATTCGAAACTACGACCTGAACAGGCAGGCTTCAGGAAGTAAAAATCATGTGCGGACCAAATTGCAAAGCTTCGCATCATCATAGAACAGAGCATAGAATGGCAATCACCTCTCCACCTCAACTTTATCGACTTTGAGAAGGCCTTTGACAGCGTCGACCGACAAGTAATTTGGAAGCTGCTTCAATACTGCGAAATACCACAAACCTTTATTAGCCTCATTCAACAACTATATGAAGATGCCACATGCCAAGTAATCCACAATGGGAAGCTCAGTGATGCCTTTGCAGTGAAGTGAAGACAGGAGTGAAACAAGGTTGCCTACTATCCCCCATGATATTCCTTATTGTGGTCGACTGGATTGGATCATGCAGCAAACAGTGGGGAGCGAGAAGAGGGGGATACGCTGGCTGGACTGCGGAAAAAAACCTAGAAGACTTGGATTTCGCCGATGACTTGTGCCTGATGTCACATAAACTTGAAGATCTACAGGCAAAACTAACAAGTTGACAGAAGAGGCAGCGAAGACGGGACTTCAAGTGAATACAGAGAAGACAGAGGTGATGAAGATACCGCATCAACAACTCCAACAACAACAACAAACTCCAATCACCGTCAACGGGAGAAACTTAAAGGAAGTAACCTCCTTCACTTATCTAGGAAGCACTGTTTCAACTACAAGCGGGACGGACGAAGACGTCAAAGTCAGAATCGGAAAAGCAAGACAGGCATTCATTAGCCTGAAACCAGTGTGGAGATCTTCTGCACTCAGCATGCGGAACAAGATACGGATCTTCAACACCAACGTCAAGTCAGTGCTTCTGTATGGTTCAGAGACTTGGCGCGTCACGAAAGGCATTTCCAATTAACTACAGACATTCATCAACAACTGCTGACGCTGACTCCATACTGAAGATCAGTTTAGATGGCCAGAAAGAATAAGCAACAAGGAACTCTGGGAACGAACCAACCAAGAACCTATCACGCAACAAATATGCAGGAGGAAGTGGAGATGGATTGGCCATGCACTGAGAAGGCCGACTGAGGACATCACGCGTCAGGCCAGTTGCTCGAGTGGAATCCCCATGGGAAGCGACGAGTCGGACGTCCGAGGGTGACATGGAGGAAGTCGTGCGAGGAAGAAATGAGAGCTTGTGGGCTGTCGTGGAACCAGGTTCAAAAGATCTCAGAGAACAGGATGAAATGGAGACGTGCTACTGAAGCCCTATGTTCCATTAGGAACCCAAGGGACTTATAAATAAATAAATAAATAAATTACTGTGTTTGTTTTCTACATCTTGATTTGTCAAATCTGCTGTCTTCATGACTAACTTAAAATTGTTTATCCACCTCCCACCACTTGCCTGTTATGTTGATTGAATTGTAAACCTATAAACTAATGTAGAGCCAAGGACAAAGACCTAATTGAAAACATATATATATATATATACCTATGTATCTTCGCTCAGTGAGTCTTTTTCTAAATGTCTAAATGGAAAATTTCAATGTTATGAAAGTCTCCCTTTCTAGGTGAAATAGGGAAACCTAATCAGCTATTAAGTCACGAATTATTTAATTTAAGAATTAATATAATCGAATCCATTGGCATTGCCAAGAGTAATTTAACCTCCTAAACTTTTTATCACGCTTTGTACGAGTAACTAAATATGCTTCTGTAACACACCTATGATGTGACTCATTCAACTTATTGCTTTGAAAGCTAAATAGTCTTCGTGTGCATAATTGACGTCTGTCGATTTTATTTCAGAAGTAAACGGATGTGTATGCTTTTTAGAGTACTGAATAGTTTGTTCATATTTCCCCTTATTTTCTTTTCCACATCCATGTGCTAGTTGCTTAGACTACCAGTTCTAAAGTTACACAATAGCTTACGTACAGGCTAAAGGGAGTGCAATCAGCAATTGGCTGTCACGTATTTCCCTCGTTCATTTTACTCGGGTATTATTTTCAGTAAAGTTGAAGTGTATGCATTCCAGAGGATTGATCGAACGTTAGTAGAAACTAAATGGTATGCAATAATAAGATGAAATATTATATCCAATGCGTAAATAAATTTGTTGTAACTGTAAGACATTGCACCAGTATAAGTCTATTTGTTCATAATTCCACCTTCTTTCCCATTATTTCTTTTCGCTTTCTCCCATACCCTACTGAAATCTTTTAGTTAGTATGAATACACCAATCAGAGGCTTAAAATTTAAGAATTCAGGGAAAAACTTCATTTCTGTTAGCAGCTCTTAACAACTGTTTATCATTATTCCAGGACAACTCAGCGTTACTTTGTCTAACTAAAAATTAACCTAATGTAGGATTGTGCTTTACAAAGAGCATATTCACATTTAATTATTGAGTTGATATTCTAGTAGTCACTTATTATCAACAAACACTATAATATATAATACTGACAAAGTAATATAGCTCGAGTAGTAGTTCAGGAAGAAAGATCAACCTCCTACATGATGTTAATTAATGATAAAGCTGATTGCTACGCAATCATTTCTCAATGTATCAATACAATCTCTATGAATTACATCCTGTTAAATACAAAGAATGCATTTCCGATCCCAGCAAATCCTATGAAGTTTGAATATGTAGTCTATCTTACCACACATAACATTTAAATTGCACACGACTATATGCATTGTACTTACTAAAGTTAACATTTTTTATTTGATCAAGAAATCTTTTGAAATCATTCATCTGTACTTGTTCTTCAGTGTCTACCTGATTTAACTCTGAAATTTCATCCCATTTTTCATCTGTTACCATTTGTGTTACAGGTTCAAGCACTAAATTGCCAGTATTTGTTGCTTCTGTGGATACGGTAGCCGGATTATCGGTATTATTTCCTAATATATATGCTTCATTTTTTGTTAGCTGAAAATCAACAACTTCTGTCGTAAAGGCTAACGTAGGTGACGTTTGCAGTTTAGTTAATTCTGATGATAGGCTGGAAGACATAAATTCACTGTTGACCTCAAAACTATGACTGTTTGATAAATTCAAAGAAGACGTTACTAATTCACTTGGCTGTGCAACCGTTGTTTCTTTAGCGTCTTTTGATGGTAAAACTAAAAGTGGATCAGATTTCTCCATACTTGTTGTTGTTGTTTTGGTGGTGTTATCAGTATCAATATCATCAACCAGATTTCCTGATTTATCACCATTATCACCATTCATAAACTGTACACTACGAATAGACACTTTTCTGGGAAGTAATGGTTTTTCTGATAAACAATCAGTAGAATTTGTATTATCTACGCAAAGAGTATTATCCGATACAATTTCAATGTGGGCTGAAGTGGATTCATTACTCATAATTACCACTGATGGATACTTCTGTGTGCTATTTCCATCTTCAACATATTCAGTTTGTTTATCTGCATTCATATCGCCTGTTTCTTCTAAGTCTTCTGCTGTCAGTGGTTGTTGGTCATTATTTTTATCATCCTTTCCATTCAGATTCTGTGATTCCATAATTCTCCATTCTAACTCATCTTCATCTTTATGAAGCTTAGCATGTTCTTCAGCTGACTCCAGATTGAAGAAGTGATAATTTATTTTATAATATGGATCTATGGCTTTCCATGGTAGAATAACCTTTGCTTTTCTGATTAAATTTTGAATTGGAACTAAGGAAAACAGAAGAGAACAATTTTGTACAAAGAAAAACCAAAAACATTTTAAAACACGGTTTAAAAATGAACAGCATTGTTTGGAGCTAAATCCTCTTTAGGCTTCATCATAATAACAGTTCAAAATGTCATTTATGTGTAAAACGCAACACCAATCATGATGCACTTTTGAGTCAGCCATGACTGGTTATTAAGACGGGCAATGAGTAAATAAAAAATACCAATAATGCTTAGAACAATTAGTCCCTTTGGCGAATTTGTATGATGTGATGTGAGAAATGCGAAGTATTTGCTCATTACATCATGAAAAGCTAGTGGTGAATATTCTTAGTCCGGGTTGCAGATGTTCAAAGTGAGTTTTTCTTTGACCTAAGTTATTAGTTGGCAAACGTTTCCATGTCATGCTATGCATCGTCATCATGGCATCAGAGCTTCTTTGAGAAGCTTTTGCGGAGGTTGCCACATAAGTGATTAACAGGAATTTTGTCATTGCATTTTGACGCACACCGTTACCAGTAAGGGTCTATGACTTAGAAACGCCATCAAGGGACTAAACCTTGACAATGAAGATAGCATTTGTATGGTTACCCTCAGACGATAACCCAATACATAAATCTGTATGTATAAGCTGAATTGCATTATCATTATTTCATTTCAATAATCGGCTGTTCACACCCTGAAAACAGATTAAAGGTGTCTAGTGAAGTTTCTAATCGGTCATCAAGCAATCGAGAACGACTAAAGCAACATTTATCAGGAACACATAAAGTGAAAATTTAGAATCTTTTTCCTGGGACTTGGATTGCAATAAAAGTAGTAAATAGGATGATTGGAGTAAAGAGATAACACGACATACCTTGATCAATCATATAATCGCCTGATGAATGTGTACTAATCGAAAATCCAACATCTTTAGGTATGTTTAAAAATAAGTGTTGATCAGTAGGCACAACAAAAGCCACTCTAAAAAACGCAAACAAATAATCTGAGGTTTACAACGAAAAAGGAAACATAAGGCACTCTCAAAACGTTTCATTGTCCTGAAATGAATAGTTGTTCTAGTGGTTAGTTAATTGGGATATTTTCATGACGTAACCTATCACAGAAATTCATATTTTTAACGGAAATCACACTTTAAAAGTGTTTCTACTACTCACTTTGAACGATCTGTAGGTTTTCCTCCTAAACATGATTCCAGTCATCCTCATATTCATATTTTTAGATTTTTATCTGTACAAAATGAGTTACAAATGTAACGGAAGACATTGGATTCGTTTTGACTTCAAGAGTATCTGAATTAGGAAAGAATCTCCCTATCTTGCGGTCACTCAATATTTGACGATCGAATTGATTAGTGGATATTAGAGACAGGTATCAAGCAATGAATTAGGTTTCATAGTGGTTGCAGTCTCATAAACGAGATGTGTATGCAACCACGAAGACGCTTATTTATTCTAAATTTAAGGCCTGACATTAAAGTTAAGAATATTATTTCTGATATAACCAGGATATTTCATTAAATCCATATACGCTAGTGGTGGCTGTGATGAGCAGTTTGCTCATAAATTTTAGCCTAATCGTTGGTTAGTTACAGCTCAGTTGTTTGATAAATATTGTCTAAAAATAGAAAGCAGAATAAAATACCTTCGAATTTCATGAAAAGTAACCATTTCTCTGGAAATATCCAGGGCAAAGTAGCACAACACTTCACACCAAATTTCAGTCAGTAGGTTTTAGGTATGAGATACCGAAAATGACTAACTAAAAATTTAAGCCAATTAGTTTTCTGGACACCTTGCGTTATCTGATCTGATAACTTTGATCGGAACAAAAACCAAAAAATTAACTTTTGGTTAGTAATTTTTACCCACTTAACTTATTAGGCATGTTGCATAAACTTTAAAAGGCTGTAATCTGATCACATCACTAGGTAGATACAAATAGCCTTTTAACCGCTTGCCAATTATTACCATCTATATCTTCTGTGATGTACCCAGCGGCTAATCGATAGTTCATTGTCCTGTTTAACAGTTAGCATTGTTTTCATCTATATTGGTGAAATATGGTTGCCGTTGGTTGAAGATATAGAAATGCTACATTTTTCTTATCACAAATTTTTATCTTTGTGTGCAGCGAGAAAATAAAATGAGCATTACTGACGTCGACCACAGAACTCTGTGCAGTGAAAGCAAGTAAGCGGATGGGACTGTAGACCTGCACTGACTTTCGTAACTTGTGCATACTTGTCCATATCCTACTTTGATGCATCTTCGGTAACGTGGGACTGGATTTGTAGAAAACTAAAGATGAAGTGACACTAATAAGTTTCCTAACTATTGGTCTATGTAATATGTGACGCTGTAGGCTACCTGGACCACAGAGCTCAAAATCGATCACTCTGGAGTAATGTAGCCACTCTCTACCATAGTTTTAGAAATTTGCAGACTTCTTACTTTAATATCATTCTAAAAGACTAACAGCTTAAAATAATTTACCTACATATCTTTCAATTAGAGCTAACAAAAAGTGTTTGTTATAGTTACTAAATAGATAATACAAGTTCAAATGTACTATGAAGAATTTTGTTTATGCATTTACCAAGTGACCTGAGAAATACTAACCAACATGTGAAACACTGCAATAGACTTAGTGACTAACACTCCCAACATCTTTACAAAACAGTGAACCATAGAAGAGACTTACAATTCAAATTTACAGGTATTTCTGTAAGGTATCATCATGAACTAATGCAATAAATCATGAAAACAGTTTGCATGGAGGGTAAACACTAGTAAAATTCTCCCTTTTACTGTATCAAGATATATGTCAGTTTTATGCATCAGTTAAAGCAAAAAGTTAAGACTTATGTGTTGTGAATAATAATCATTGGAAAACTGGAGGTGCATTGCCAGTCGAAATAGAAGTAGTTCTCAGGAAATATCACGAAATCCAAAATAAAAGCGGTGACAGTTTATGAGTTCACCATTATTACTATTATTTTTCCCTTGGGTTCCTAGTACAACAAAGGGTTTCAGTAGCACGTCTCCATTGGACTCTGTTCTCTGCAATTTTTTCAACCTGGCTCCACGACAGCCCACAAGCTTTCATTTCCTCCTCACACGATCTCCTCCATGTCACCCTCGGAAGCCCGACTTGTCGTTTCCTATTTGGATTCTACTCGAGGGCCTGATGCGTGATGTCCCTAGTCGGCCTTCTCAGTGTATGCACAGCCCATCTCCACTTCCTTCTGCATATTTGTTGGGTGATGGGTTCTTGCTTTGTTGGTTCGTTGCCAGCTAGCCAGCCAGCCAGAGTTTCTTGTTGTTTACTCTTATTATTTTGGCCATCCACCTAATCTTCACTATCGAGTGAACATAGGTGGCAGCTGTTGATGAACGTCTGCAGTTTGTTGGAAGTGCTTTTCGTGTTGCACCAAGTTTCTGAACCATATAGCAGCACTGACTTGATTGACATTAGTGTTGAAAATCCAGATCTTGTTCTTTGTGCTGAGTGCAGTAGATCTCCACACTGATTTAAGACTAATGAAAGCCTGTCCTGCTTTTCCGATCCTGGCTTTGACATAGTCATCTGTCTGTGCCGCATGTGGTTGAAACGATGCTGCCTAGGCAGGCAGGTGAAGAGACTACTTCCTTGAGGTTTCTCTTGTTAATTGTGATTGGTGCTTGTTGTTCATGCTGTTGTTGGTTTGGTATCTTCATCACCTTCGTCTTCTCTGCATTCACTTGAAGTCCTGTTTTCTCTGCCTCTTCTGTCAACTTGTTAGTTTTTAACCACAGATCTTCGAGTTTGTGCAATAAGAAGTTAAACATAAGTCATCGGCGAAATTCAAATCTTCTAGGGTCTTTTCATCGGTCCAGTGTATGCCCATCTTCTTGGTCCTCACTGCTTAATTCATGTGGAAAAATAAACTGATAGGTTTAGCATAAGACCATGGAAATATCTTTTTGAGACACTGAAAGACATGATTAAGATGTGAATTAGTACAGTCATACAGTGTTTAGATAATCAAAACCATACTTTTTTGAACGTTTCTGTACGCTAACCATAGTAAAATATTTGGAATATTACTAACATGATAATTGCATTACACCTCTACTAGACAAAGTAAAGCTACAAAAAGGGATTTTTACAGTTATTTTATTTTAAGATAACTGTGAAATTTTAAAATAACACTCACCCGAAATCTGTATTCGGTAATCTAGTAAATGAGTAAAGTCGTGGCTTAACATACGTGTGTATCTACAAAGTAAAAGGTAAATACAGCAACTAATCTCTTCATAAATACGAGAAACAATTAATTAAATTCAAGGTTTCGGCTACCTCCTTCAAGTATGAGCTACCAATGAAACCTTTCACCAGACATACTGCATCAAATTTCTCCCTTTTAATTTGTTTGAATCTCTTAAATATGTCCTTCAGACGCATAACGTAAACTTGGGATTTTAAAATGTTCAGAACTAGTGGTTTTTCGAAGTAATAACAAAAGGAAAGGAAAATGTCATATCAGATGAAAATAATAGACTTTTGAATGCACATAAATACATCATATTTCTATTCTTCGGGTACCCGTGTCAGTTAGTATACTCTTCTATAGTCTGAGTGAACCTTCATCACTAAACACCGGACGCTGATACAGCACAAACAGCCTGCTCCATAGTATTCATTGCCTTTGATACTGTTATTATGAACTCTTTTCATCTTTTTACTTAAGACAACACGGTTTTTCACTAGAAGAAAGTCGCTGTGACACAATAAAGAAAGACGATAGATAGGAAACTTGCTATCACTTCCTCGCAAACAAGTCTCCGACAGCTATCGAAGACATTAACATGTTTTGTTATTGATAAATAGGAATAAATGTGGGAATAAGAGAGGTTAGTGGATGTACTAACTGATAACTATTAAAGAGAGTTGAGTAAATAATTGACAACTCATTCAGTTACCTTCCACTGAATTCATGGGACCAAATTACAGATGTGAATAAAAAGCGGTCATCAATTTGGATAAGTTAAATAAATAATCTTTGGACTGAAAATACTCATACATTGAAAAAGCTATGGCTTTTAGTTTTTCCAACTTAATGAATGTTTTCCATTTGTCGGCCTCACTTTAAAGGCTTCATTATTAAAAAAAAATTTACAGTTTTGAGAATATTTGATTGATTATATTTGGTTTAGACCTTTAGATAACGATAGATTAAATACATTTGTCTCAATAGATGATCTGTTCAGTTTCTCGAATTTTAATTGTCGACCAAGCAATCTGAAAATTTATTGCCTTCTAGATGTTAGCCAGTGAACATAAGTTTGTTTCCCAGTGAAATTTCTCGATCTTTTTTAGAATGTTCGTTTTCAAATTTTTGACAACTATCTTGAAATCCATGTAACCAAATGCATGAGATAATGTCACTTCAGATCAAACGGAGTATTAATTTTACACGAAAGATGAATACGAAATTAGCCGTTGAAGAAGAGATAAACGAGTGAATAGAATAATAGAAGATGAATTTCAAAGAATCATCTTGTGAAGAGAAGGTTGTCAATTACCAGTTTTATTGTTACCTCCTTCGGTAACCAATAAATATGGATGGCATGTGTAACATCTGTTTTTGACAGGTGCTATTTTCTTCAGCATTTTTTTGTCTACTCGTTGAGTACACAGCTTAACATTGTATCAGTCGTTCGTTAATAGTTACTGTCAAACCAATGGTAATCGAGTTAACACACAAAGTAAAATGTATGCAAATGTTAAGCATAACTTCAGAAAGATAAGTAACAGTAACTCGATAAATTTGAAATTTCATAAAACACTTGTTTATGTATCAGGTCCTGATATCTCTGCATACTACTAATTTCAATATATTTTATACTCATCAAATAAACATTATCAAATAAATTTTACTATCACATCAACCACCTCAAAACTTATGAAGTTGAGTAAACATTTTCACTACGTAAGCCTGAGGAACATTTAAAATGATCGACACTATGTAGTCTTAATATGGACCGAATCGAAACTCAATAAATACTTTATAACGGCATGTTTAAACTGGAAACCAACTTACATTATCTGATACTTTAATAAAATCGGTAACGTGTTCACATCCTCTAACATTATCAATTAACTTCCTTCTTATCTAAAATTAAAAAATCATATAATTCAGGTATGAAATCTTTGAAAACTCAAAAGTGACTACTACTTCTATTTTTAAGAATTGATTATGGGACAAATTTTAAAAAACGCCAAACCTCTATTCATTAGTTGAATGGATGCAATTGGCAGGAAGCTCTGGACCTAAGTTTCAAACTTTTCAGTACTTGTCAACAAGATGCATCTACAAACCCTACAGCACTGATGTCTCCCATAAGATTGAAACCCGCTTCATGCAGTACTGCAATCTGAAAGATTATCACCGAGCTATTCGGACCGCGACTGATCTCTTGTAGGACAGGGCTCATTAAATGTAATGGTCATTGGAGGTTAACCAGCATCATGTAATCTATATGTCAGAACACTCAAACCAAAAAATATGACTAACCCATGAAGAAAAAAATGTTACAAAGTTTTAAACTTTCATTGTATTGTTGCTAATACCGGAATATAATTGATGCACGTTATTGAACGTATTACATAATAGAGGGGTTCGAAACCTGACGCAAACTAATTCTACCACTATCGGTTAACCGTTCGTCTTATATCTTCCTCATAAATTATTTTCAGGAAATTAAACTGTCAAATTCTATCAATGTACCCTTTGCTAATGATAAAAATCAATTCATAAATAACTACTAGGTATCAAACGTCAGACTAGCCAGTCAAATGTTGAACTATATAGCTGATAAACATGTGTGATTCTTCCATAGTTAGCAAGGGGTTCAGCAATCATTGAAAGCTGAGAATTACTACTTAGCTTCTTCATAGAAAAGAATTCGTTGGATTAGTTCCATGGCTTTTAGGTAGTAGGTTACAAATTCAGATGTCATTTCAATTGTAAATGTTTCTTTAGACTGCGAATATGATTACTAAAATGCATTACTTTTTCATTTCAGTAAACTTTGGTAAGAATATCAATTCGGTAAAAGGAAAATTAGTTTCAACAGGCATAGATTAGACAGATAAAGTGTTCTAATTAGTGACTTTGACTTCTGAGTCAGTAGAATACTCTCGGATAGTGAGGACAAGTTTTTAAAACCGTTATCTCAAACCATTCCAAGTATGATGAGACCTAGTAGTTTGACAGTAAAATACTATTTCTTGTGTTCAGCTTAAAAACAGATTGTAAATTGGCCAAATCACATGTCAAAATTGGAAGAAATCGGTACTCAGTATTCTATGACTTGTAACTACAAGTTATGAAAAAGACCATTACATATGCCAGAAATATGTAGCCTATTAAACTGAGACTCATATTTTAATATTAGGTCATTTACGACGAAAAACCATAATTCTCACTTTGAAAAGAGAGAAGAATTCCATCTTCAGAAGTAAGTCCTTAATATTCCAATATTCACTGGTCAAGCTAAATGTACAGAAAACTGTTTACAGTGGAGATATATTTAAAGGATAAGAACTGAGACACTACTGTGGGATACATAATCACAAAAAATCTTTATGGTTTTGATTGGTCAGTAAAACTGCTCAAGTAAAAAAGATATGAAATTTCATCCCCAATGTTCTGCATGTAACTACTTTCTTGTCGAAAAGTCTTGCTGAAAAGTCTCATTTTTCTGTTGTGGTAAACTATATCAAGAGAATGTGCTACGACAATCGATTCGATCGTCTAAGTTACTCAAGGGATGACAGTTTCATGAAATTCAGATATTAAAAGACAAGACTGTTGATCAAATAACTGATTTAGGAACAGAAAGGAATTTATACAACCCATTTATTGGTAAAGATACAAATGAAGCCCGCAAAATAGAAAATGTTTCTACATTACTGGGCAACCAGCTATATCATATAATTACTTATTTAACGCAGGTGAAGTATACATTCACCACCAGTAAGTGATGGATGTAGCTATCTGTTTTTTAGTGCTTAGAAATGATCGATATCTATCGACTGGGTTTTTCAATGTGGTCGCTAAGGCAAAGATTCACAACATTACAATGCTTCGTATTTCAGTGTTTTAATCTGTTAGAGGTTGTTGGAAGGAAACAGCGGACCTGCATTTGGTACTTATTAGCACTTATCAGTTAGGGATATATGTAACCCTGAGGCTACTGATGTTTCATAGGTAATTCAAAATCGCATCATTTTTGATTCAACGTCTTCGGTAACTTATTGGAAGTAAGCTAACCCATCTTAATAGATAGAAGTAATTTTCAAAAATCATGTATAACTGATACATTGGAAACTTAAAATTAGTATTTAAAAACGTTTTCACTATTTAGATTTTTTATATTCCATTATGTAATGGCTTTAAAAAATGGAGTTCTGTCAGCCTTTAAGCGTCTTTAAATGGACACTTTTATAATTAAATTACTAAACGTATATCCCAAATTCCACTACCAGCTAGAACTTCACAAACAACAACAAAATCAGATTGTCAAAACCATTTCTCCACCATGGTTTCAGTGGAAAAATTTACAAGTTACTTTAATGACACTTTACTTTCGAATATCATTATTATTTTCACTTCACTTTTGTTGTTATTATTTATACTGGCACCACCTAGTCTCTTAGTCTGCAGGTAGATTTTAGCCTTTTAATTTCATTTACGTTTTCTGTGCACTTTCATTGACTTTTGAATATATGTATTCTGACCAACCATGTTATAATGGTTCTTTTAACTGAGTTTATATTTAATTCGGATACAATAATTCAAAGTGATAATAAAGTAGGCGAATAAAAATATTTTTTCGACCAGAAACTGTTCTTTTTACCTCATAAAAACTAATCCAGTAAAATTCATATAATAACCATAAAACGAAAATACTGAAGATGATCTTACCATAGTCTTTGATCCATAGACATTCAGCTCAACATCAAGAAAGTCTAAATATGGAGTATCATCTAACCAGGTATACTAAAAGCAAATAATTTTCAAAGGAAGATCAAATAAATATATGTTAACAAAGAAAACAAAATGCCTAAGCATAAAAGTATGAACATCTAAAATGGTGTATAAATTGTAACATCGCAAGTAAAATCTTTCCATTGTATATACTGGATAACTTCGCCTAAGTAACCAGTTCACTAGTCACTAGCCGGTCCTAAGCCCAAAAAAAATAGGGAAGGTCGGGCATATGGCTAACAACCCTGCACCAGAAAACCAATCCAAATGCTAAAAAAACTTCAAAGCACAAACAAAATATATAAAAGAAAAACAAACTTATTCCTCACTGGAATCGGAGAGGCGAAGTGACACCAGTTGGTGAAAGCCAATGGGAAGCCAATTGGCCAGTGTATCTTCTCTTCTCTCGATAAAAGCGAAAGAAAGGATGGGCACATAGAATATCCACACAATATTTGAATCTAGCAAGGTTGCCCAAATTGAGAAAGAGATGAGTAGATGAAGCATAGAAGGGTTAGGAATCTGCAGATGGAATGGAAGTGGACTCTCTAAACTGTCAACTGCAGAGTAAATAATCTGCTCCGATATTGTCACCCAGACGACAACCACGAGCACACTGGTTATCATGATGTCCCCGACAGTATTGCAAGCTCTCATGCAGCATCGTTTCAACTACAGGCGACCACCGCGGCACACATGAGGACATCAAAGCCAGCCACCATCCGAAAGACAGAAACACACGCCTCCCTTCATTTATCCAAAATCAGTGTGTAGATCAACTCCACTCCACTCCACTCCACTCCACTCCACTCCACTCCACTCCACTCCACTGTAGTGCACTGCACTCAGCATAAAGCCTGAACAACATCCGGATTTTCAACACTAATTCAGTCAAGTCAGTGCTTCCATGTGATGGATTGTTGGGAAACGTGGCGCGTTACGAGAAGCATTTCCAACAAACTACAGACATCCATCACCTGCCACCTGCCACCTACGCCCACGCCTACGCCCAAACCCACGCTCACTGGATACTGAAGATCAGATGAGATGGCCAGAATAATAAGAATAAGCAACAAGGAACTCTGGTTGGCTGGCTGGTTGGCTGTCTGACCGTCTGTCTGTCTGTCTGGCTCGCTGGCTGTCTGTCTGCCTGTCTTTCTGGCTGGCTGGCAACGAACCAATGAAGCAGAAACCCATCGCTCAACAAATATGCAGAGGAAAGTTAACATGGATTCAAGTCAGCATACACTGAGAAGGCTGACTGGGGACAACGTGCTAGGCCATACATACCCTCGAGTGGAACCTAAATGGGAAACGACGAGTTGGGCTGTTCATCCGAGGGTGACATGGAGGAGATTGTGTGAGGAAGAAATGAAAGCTTGTGGGCAGTCATGTAGCCATATTGTAAAGACTGCAGAGAAGAGAATGGAATGGCGACGTACTATGGCGAAGCCTTATGTTCTTCTAGGGACCTTAGGGACAAATAATAATTATATATATTGAATAAAGCTAATAAGTGACTGTGGATCTGCAGTTTGTTCTTAGTGTTATTGGCTTATTGAAGTACACACAAAATGATTATCTTTGTGAGTGAAGAACTAAACAGTGAGAAGCATCCATTTGATGTCTAGTTTCAGGTCGATAATAATTATGTAAACAGTTTCGTTTTCGGGCTTTGTTTCCATTTGTATGCGTAATCATATCCTCTCAATTTTTTAATAATCTCCTACAGTGGCGGCTAAACTTCGTTTACGTTTACAGAAACCTGAGTATTGTATTTTTTATCTCTTTCAATGTTAGCCAGTTGATAAGTAAGATTTAGACCCAACGCAGTGTGAACGAGATCTGATAGCCTGTCATAAGGTAATGGTTGTACGTGGATTAGTCACTGAAACGTAACCAATCGCATGTTGTCTATTCCAGCTAAATCCTATCTTTTACTTTGTAATGTGGTCATAATTTTTCCTGGCTACGAACCTCGGTTAACATTTAATGATTTGCTGCAAGTGGAAAGGAGTCAGCTTCATTGTTTGCTGGTACTTGCGAAAAATAGGAAACCTGGATCTGGGGCTTCAAACCGATTATCTTTAATGATTTTCTCACAAACTAGCTTCAAAAGAACTCTACGTCCTTTTGGTTTTGAATTACTTCAAATAAAATATAAGTGAGAAAAATCGAGAAATTCAACAACAGTTCGTAACTGACTGAATTTTACTTCTACACAAAATAGTTACAAACAGTACTAGAGCTGACACATTCATTTTTCAAGAAATCAAGCACTACTAGTAACTTAAAAAATCTTTATTCCAGCTTCTGTAAAGTTATCATATCTTTTTTCAAATTAGAATCAAACTTTTTGTGCACGGAAGTAACTAGCTTTGGTATATTAAATTTATAGATGAACATACTTGCATTCGAAATAATTTAACATTAATCTAATACAAAGAAAATGTTTTTTTACCTGAAGACACATAATTATTAATATACGGCCTAGATGAAATGTGGATGGATTTAATTCGGTCGAGACGAAATATTATCAGGCAATTAATGCGATGCATTGAGAAGAGTTTAATTCTATGAGACGAAGATAAGCTGGTCGAAGTAATCATTACGCATATCAGTGTTCATGTATATGTGGAAAGCATAACATAAAGCCAATTTAAATGTCAGACTATTTAGTTATATTCACAAGAAATAAGATATACTCTCCACGATGGAACCTTTATTTATTGAATACAAAGTCCGGTGTTATTTCTCTTAATCTTCCTAACCACGAGGAGAAAAGGGAAAAGAAAGGAAAAGGAAAGGGAAAAAGAAAGAAAAAATGGTTGGATTTAAACAGATTGTCTAGTCCTATTACATACACCTTTTTGATCTACTATTTTCATCAATTTTACACTACTTTCTGAGTCATATACATTCGATGAACCATAACATAATCCATTTTGTTATCTCTCATACTTCAAGTGCTGTCAAAAGTACATTTATGGTTATCATTATTATTATTATTTATTGAAGATATATTGTCTCATCTTCAAATATTCATCCTTCCAAACTAGTTATCTATTCTTCCTCACCCTTGATGTCTCACAACCCCATTGTACTTTTCATAGACGAACTAAAAAACTTCCCCACCCCACTTTTGTTCCACCTTATCCGCACAACGGAAAAACCTCTCTGACCGAGTTGCTTATTCACTCACCTGTATTACATCAATCTTTGCTCCATATCACTAAGTAATTGGATGATTGTAAAGATCACCACTTTCTGTACCAACACTTGAATATTAACCTGAAAACTTAGTGTCAGATTCATACTCTTGAAAAGGATCTTCCCAACAAGATCGAAACGTTGAGGAATAATACAAAATATTTGTTTATTTTGTTATTTGTTCTAATATACTACATCGGGATTACACAAGTAAAAATACATCCTATACAATGCCTGGAAATTTTTACAATTGGTTAATTCTGCCTTTTATCGATGCCAAAGCTAATCGAAAGAATTCTAACCATGGAAATAGTTTATATTTCTGTAAGTCACAACATGTTATCCCAAAGTTTCCCACAGAAGTCTAATTCTATCTTTTATCTTTTGGTTTTTGACTATTTCCCTTAAAAAGCTTAGACCAGACTTCCGTGAAAAAAGGGGGATTACTTTATTTCAAACAAGCTGTGAGTTACACAAATATAGACTTTACCAAATATCAACGCTTTACTCAGTGCGAACTCTTTGGTCAAATCTTAATCGTAGTTCATATGAAAAGAGTTTTTAGTTCCTAAACATGCTATTTAATTAGTTAAAGATTATTTAGAAATAAAGTCTCTCATGAATATATTATGTTATATTATTTTAAAAATTTGTATAAATATATTAATGGTAAAAGAAAAGCATGTGAATCAAGGCCAACACGTCAAAATTACTTTATGAATGAGTAATCTGGGTGGAAGTGCTCAATTGTTTCTAATACCAATAAGAGGCTATGTATTCAAAGAAAGTATGAGAAAACCACACAATCAGTCATGGTGACTTTAAAAATACGACATATATGATCGTACAATGTTTTAGGCTGAATTGTTTCATATCGCTACAATTTCACATGAAGGAAATAACCAATAAACGGATGCATATTATCTAATAAATAAAATATAGGATGTGCCATTTTTTGAAATTGTTTTCATGGTTTTATATCAATATAATAAGGAAGGCAATAGTATTGTTCACTTTCATAGGGTTTTATTTGAGAAAATATTGGTTGAAAACATGCATGAAAGTTAAGCAACCCAAAGTTAGGTTTACGACTTTCTGAATTTTTATTGATTTGGTTTACATTATTAAAATGCTACTTATTTTTTACTGTTACAGATAATTATATGTGTTATTAAACGACACCATTCTACCTAGAGAAGCTAGTGGAAGTTAATAGTCGCTCGTAATTGTCCTAGAATGAATCCTAACATTAACTTTACTGTAATAAAGAATGTCTGATTTAACATTTAATCGAGAATACTACACCAGAAATGTACGCCGTTATTAATTTTGCAGTAATTAGAACAGAATTCAAACATATAATATTTATTCCAGGTGTTAACTTGATGAGGTGACTCTTGATCAACACTAAAAAATGATTCTGTGGATACATGTTATGTGGTAATTAGGTGAATCTGTACAGATTATCAGACCGATAACTCATCAATAATATCTCTGATTTTCAGATATTCCTAACAGTTGAATATTACGAAGGAGGAAATCAGACCTTTTAGATTTGGGACTGACTGACTTTAGATATTCAATTAACCTTACTGCCAGAAGTAGTAGTAATAAGGTATCACAAAGTTTACAGTCATAAATTCCAAATGCAGATGTGATAGCACATTGTATATGCTTCAGAAATATATTTATATTTTAATGCAAAACAGTATGACATAAAAATTTCAGCCAGGAGATTACTATACAACTTACCTCAGGGACTAAACTTGGATGAAAAACTAAGTAGCCATTAGTATTGACAACGAATGCATACCCAACTGGAAAGAGCTAGATATTGGAAAAAAGTAAGTAATACTAGTAGTAGAAAGGAGACAGAAAAAAGAAACATTCTTATAGCATTGCTATAAATAATTGGTTTTTGGGTAGATCCTAGACTATTCTCAAAAAATACGAATATTCAACTGCTGAATACCATGTAAAAACAAACACACATATAAAAAAGTTTACAGTGACTTATCGGTTTCGGAACTAGTTACAGTTCTGTAACGTAACTGAACTGAATTACCATTTCAGCATTCTGTGATTATGACAATACTAAGTCAGTTTACTCTAACTCTAACTTCGGTCTCTACATTCTGATTGACTAGTTTAAACTGTTAACGGAGTTTAAATTTATCGCAGTAACTAAAAATTCTAAATTATATTTGTTTAGATAAAGCACTTAATCATAACACATTTCAGTCAAAATTGCATTAGGGCGTAAACAGTCAACTAATCAGCTTTGAAGTCCTATGTATAACCAAAGTTAGTTAACTGGATCCCAAATAGTATATTTCCTGGAAAAACGTAGCATTCCTATTAGGTAACTTCAGAAGAACTGTTTAGTTTAAGGGTATAGCGTATCACAAACTGACACGAGTTATATAACTATAGAATATTCAAGGATATTCGGGAGCTGTTTAGCCTCAGGTTGGTCCATAAGGTGTTTCAAGCTGTCTGTTGTATAATCAAAGACAGACTCTTCAAGATAATTTGTTCATCAGTTTGAATGTTGATGGTTGATAGCTATCAAACTGCGTCAACTCATGATAATAGCTCTGGTTTTCTTAATACCACATTTGAATACCTGTTTAAAATACCTATCAGATTTATTCTACATATTAACAATTTCAACTAGAAATACAGCTATATTCTATATAAAGTGGTTAGTGCAGGATTAAAGACGACAATTTTCAGGCATATTTTTGAGGGTCATATTCACATAAATTCCAAATCAGCTAAAATCAAAAAAAGTTGTTGATGATTAAAGCAAAGTGACACTTTAAACATAAAGAAATATCTGTGTATAATAAAACGGTCACCTTTGATTGAGGTAATCCAGTCGTCATTAAAGTGATAGGTAGTTCAGTACCCATTAGACCCAGAAATTCTAACTTTTTCTAAAATTCATTTTTAAGAAACGTTTAGTTTAATTGTATGCGTTGAAAATGAATGGAGATAAATAACTTTAGAAATATTTTGCACAATACTATTGCTATCTATTTGACGTAAAAAAGTAATACTGTGGACTGTACTGGTTAGTGATCACTGATCTCTTCGGATACCAACAGTGTAGGTTGCTTTTGATTGTGAGGATAATTTTGTAGAGGTGTATATTTACTTGTCAAAGACTACAATATATTTACTAAAATACTGTGAGACTGGTTAGTCTTCTGTAGTCAAATCTGGCGTATAATCTAACCTAAAGAAGGTTATTCACGGACAAAAAGACGGTAATACTGTTTCAAACTACGAGGGTTAGCAATGCATTGAGTTTCAACTAAGTAGAAAGATGATTTTTATAAAGATGAGGTGGAAGTAGTACAAATATTTGAGATCATATTTAATCATTATAATTATTCGATTCCATTTTTATCCTATCACCAGCGAGATATCTGACTGCTTATCACATGATGGGTAAACCGCATTGCAGTTTTCTCTGTGCTGTTACACGGCTGGGAAACATGCTCGTTAAAAGAAGAAGACATGTAACCATTACAGGCTTTAAATCTTAAGTATCTTCGTGGCACTGCTCCTCGCGTTTGGTGGAATCACCCTGTGAAGAATGCTGAGGTGAGGTGAAGGGTACTAAGCAAACTGACAGGTCGATTGATGAGGTTGTGAACCTTGGTCGACTGAAATGGCTTACATATGTACTGTGCATGCCAATCCAACGCCTACCTCAACGTACCATGTTAACGAAAGTCAGGCTAGATTAGGAGAGGATTTACGGTGATCAGATCAAGACGTGGCACCAGTTGATGAAGTCTCTTTACTATAAGAGCAAACTTTGAGCATTGTGGTGCAATTTAATTCTATTTAAGTTAATTTATTAGATTCATCACACAGTGGAACAGTATTATTTACTGGATCTAATCTCAGCGTCTAAGAGTTGTTTACTGATCTTGAAATAACTAGGGATAATAAATTGTTTGAAAAGTAGTCCAGCAAACAATACTGCTCGACTGCGTGATACACCTAATAAACCAACTGAAAGGGGATGAAGTCCCTGAGTGTTGCTCTAAGTCGTGTGAGGATGTAGACTATCTGGCTGGGGTCTCCGTGATGCATAGGATTCCGTGGTTGAAAACCTTTAAGGACATGGCTGAAAATTAGTCAGAATGATGCAGATGCATTTACCCCTTGACATCTAAAGCTTGAACTAACTGTTATCTCCAAAATGTTTACTCTCTCACACAACTCCGCCTACCTTGATTTCAGTCTTGTACCGTCCACCTATTCTCTAGGTACCAGTGATAGGTGCGGTAATTTGAACCGATGCACGCGTATGCGGGCTTCTGTGCTCAATTGTCAGTCAGTATCCTATCCACACTTCCCTTTCAGTTTGTATTTGTCGAAGATCAATTCATAACGATAAAGTATTTCTATGTGGTAAACAACGAACTGTCTTCAATAACCCAGTTATTCCTCTTGTCTTACTTTTGAAGATAGGACCTTTTTTTTTTACGTTGCTAAAGGTGTGACACCATAGAACAACAAATCAGCAGTGATAACCCAATCCAAAAGAGTTTTAATTTCGATAGCAAAAGATCGATGGTAAACTCCAACGTACTTAGTACTAAGCGATGCATTTTGTGATGTCAGAATAAATATGCGATCATTCAAAGCGACATATTCTGTTTAGTAATGAATGTTCGAAACTCGAAACTTAATCATTAGATCATTATAGACTGATTTTAAAAATATCACCCAAAACAAAGTGCAGAATGACATCGCTTTAACGCTGTATAGGTAATTGGTAGATTTTGATCCACCTGAAAAACTAGCTCCTGTACCTAATTTTTAATCAATTTACAGAAAGAATTTTCCGATTACTATGGTTTTCCAATTGTCCCTCTACTCTAATGAAATGGTCGGTTTTGTTGATACATGACCCCCTTATATGTAATACGTGACTTTAATTTCTCTGTTAAATGCGTTTATAACAGTACGACAAAACTGAAAAACAAATCAAATAATATTAATCACTTCAATTCAGTGACTTACTGTTCTGTTGTAAACAGGCATAGATATACTGACCATTAAACCAGTGCCCTGAAAACATTAGAAAGCAATAAGCACACTATGCATTTCTGTCTTCCTCTTAAAATTTTAACGTACATATCCAAATCAGACAGTCGTTTCATCAATTATACTTACCATATACCATCTTGGGTGCGAAGAATAAGAAGTGTATCAATGGTAATTTTTGTTGTTCTGTTAATATACCAAACTTAAGTACGATAATCTAAGAATCATCATAGAACAGAGTACAGAATGGCAGTCAATTCTCTGACTGAACTTCATCGACTTTGAAAAGGTTTTTGACAGCGTCGACCGAAAAGTCATTTGGCAGTTGCTTCAACACTACGGAGTGCCACAAATCTTTATCAACCTCATTTAACTGCTATATGACGACGCCAAATGCCAAGTGATTCACAATGGAAAGCTCAGCTCACTGATGCCTTTGAAGCGAAGACTAGAAGGAGTAAGACAAGGTTATCTACTACCACCTATCATCTTCCTGATTATAGTCGACTCAATTCAACTGGATCAATCAACAGACACACAAGATTAGTGAGAAGAGGGGCATACGCCTTTTGACAGATGAAAACACCCCAGAAGAAGATTTGGATGTCGCCGCCGATAATGATATATGTCTTATTTCTTGTCGCACAAACTCGAGGATGTATATGCAAAATCCAACAAGTTGACAGAAGAGACAGGGCAGGGCAGCGAACACAGAACTTTCTCCAGGTGAACATAGAGAAGACACAGGTGATGAAGATACCAAACCAACAACAACAAGCACCAATCAACATCAACAGGAGAAACTGAAAGCAAGTAGTCTCTCTCACCTACTCACCCACCTACCTACCTAGGCAGGCAGCATCCTTTCAATTACAAGCGACCACCGCGGCACACATGAGGACGTCAAAGCCAGCCACCATCCGAAAGACAACAACACAGGCCTCCCTTCATTTATCCAAAATCAGTGTGTAGATCTACTCCACTCCACTCCACTCCACTGTAGTGCACTGCACTCAGCATAAAGCCTGAACAACATCCGGATTTTCAACACTAATTCAGTCAAGTCAGTGCTTCCATGTGATGGATTGTTGGGAAACGTGGCGCGTTACGAGAGGCATTTCCAACAAACTACAGACATCCATCACCTGCCACCTGCCACCTACGCCCACGCCTACGCCCACACCCACACCCACGCTCACTGGATACTGAAGATCAGATGAGATGACCAGAATAATAAGAGTAAGCAACAAGGAACTCTGGTTGGCTGATTGGCTGGCTGGCTGGCAACGAACCAATGAAGCAGAAACCCATCGCCCAACAAATATGCAGAGGAAAGTTAACATGGATTCGACTTGGCATACACTGAGAAGATCGACTGGGTACATCACGCGCCAGGCCAGGCCAGACCCTCGAGTGGAAGCCAAATGGGAAACGACGAGTTTGGCTGGTCATCCGAGGGTGACATGGAGGAGATTATGTGAGGAAGAAATGAAAGCTTGTGATCTGTCATGGTGCTAAGTCCGAAAGACTGCAAAGAACAGAGTGGAATGGAGGCGTGCTACTGAAGCCCTGTGTTCCACTAGGAACCCAAAGGAAAAAGAGTAATAGTAATAATAAGTAAGATAATAATGCGCTAAACGAATATTATTTTTACTACTGAAAACAAACATTCAGTAGACAAACTTTCAGAATGTAGATGCAAAAATTAGGTGAAGTATCTATGTCAATTTGTTGTAAATATATTTTTAGTGCATGCTTAAACAGAAAATAATGCCGATTAGTGTGATTACGGGGAGTAATTTTGCTCAAATTATTACCAAGAATAAGTAACATCATTGTGTTTAAACATTCATTGAAAACATATTTAAAACAAATTGGTTCTTTCAAAAATGCAATATGGATATAATTATTTATCTGTCATTATGGATGCTGTTTGTGAAAAGTGTCATATTATTCTGAAGCACATAATAAAAGTTGTAAAGTACCACTGAAAAGAAGACCGCGGTAAAGAATTTGAGTAGCAACAATAAAGAATACTTCCCATTTTAAAAGATTATTACTATCTATCCACATGCTACTGGTTTTTTCAGGACTCTAAACCTTATTTACATTGGATTTTACACCAAACCTAGTCAATCAGTGGCACTTGTTATTAATTACTGTGAAAAAGTATTGCTGTGTTAGATTTTTCAAAACCGAAATTCCAAAGAGATAATTTAAAATTCCCTGTTTCTTATATTACACGTTGGGTAACTTAGTTGGACTGTAAAATCCCCAGACAATCAGTATGTATCTGATAAATGTGATGTAGTCGCGCAATGCATTTCGAACAGTCTTATCACATACTGACTTGCCAAGACATTTTTATTGAAGGATGAAAATAGGGTGGGGTAAAATAGATAAATTAAGATACTACATATTTGGAAAATATGGGGATAGTAAAGAGGAATAACACACTATCATACCTCCCTTTGAATTAAAATGAGATAAAGATTACCAAGGTAGGTTTGTGGTAAAGACAAACTCCTTTTCAATACACATGGGGGGGGGGGGTTGAACTTTCATATATCTAAGGCTCCAGTGAACCCAAGTAAACGGACTTGATGGCTCCTATACAATGGTCTAAAAGGTGTTTTAGGGTCAATCCTGTGACCTGTTTCTATAATATATTTACCTATTTACTTAGGTTCACTGGAGCCTTAGATATATGAAAGTTCAACCCCCCCCCATGTGTATTGAAAAGGAGTTTGTCTTTACCACAAACCTACCTTGGTAATCTTTATCTCATTTTAATTCAAAGGGAGGTATGATAGTGTGTTATTCCTCTTTACTATCCCCATATTTTCCAAATATGTAGTATCTTAATTTATCTATTTTACCCCACCCTATTTTCATCCTTCAATAAAAATGTCTTGGCAAGTCAGTATGTGATAAGACTGTTCGAAATGCATTGCGCGACTACATCACATTTATCAGATAACCTTTATCTTCTTATTACACTATGCAAATTCATCAGAGACTAACTGCTTTAAATTAAGAATGTTCCTTAGCTCGTTAATAAACTTGTTTTTTAAAATTGGGACATCAAAACATGAAGTTTCGTAAAAATTCCATGAAAATAAGAAGTGCTTTACTTGAAATCAAGTCACATTACCTTAAGCGAACCACGTAAAGGTTGCAATGCAGAAACATGACTCATCTAACATACAGAAATACAGTAAAAGATATACAACTCACAAATAGAATAAATTGTCAACTTAAATATCTCACCTACGGTTTGACATGCATAAGTAGAAGGCTGTATAGAGAAGAAAACTACCAGTAGTGTTATTCATAAAGGAATTGCATGCTGTTTATTCATGCTTAAGAATAAATCCCGAAATAACTGATCCTACTTTATACTGGTCTGTATGCAAAATATCTGATGCACCATGTAGAATAACTGCAGTTGGCAGTGGACTTTTATTTGGTCCAAAACGTATTTGCGTTGCTTTATCGTGAAAATCCTAAGTAATTCATCAAAACAGCATATGAATTCAGTACACAGTAAACTTAAAGCATGATGAAACATTATTAAAAATTTAAACAAATTAGTGCAAATAAACTTATTCCCATTGGACGCAAACTGATCGTCTTATGATGCATACATGAAACAATCAACCTAACCTTATTTCGACAAATCAGTGGCCAGCATACTGACGAATAATACTTGGGCATGGCACTTACTTTTACGGTGACTTTTGATCCCTTGAAAATGCAAGTCGTGGATGATATTCATGATCTTAGCATCTGCAGAATACTTACATATTGTAAAGAACTATTCCGCCTAAAGTTACTACAATAGTTAAACTTAGCAAATTCCTTCACTTATTCCATAAATCTCACTATATGAGAGTCTTAAAAAATGTGAGTAAACGTATGCAAAATTATACCGGGTGCAATCTTGCCTAAACTCTTCATACAAAAACCTATATGTATAAAGTGAGTTATGTATCACTATATAGCTCTGAAACAGATTCACTAAATGCTGACTTTACGAAAAGCAAAAGCACATCTAGGCTGTAACACTTTCACATATCCTAACAGTGCCAGCTCTTATGCTTGAATCTGTAGGTGAATAATACAGGTGTTAAGTGTATATTTATGCAAAGGAAAATTGATTAACTGATACTGCAAACCAAGATAACTAAAGAGTATGTTCTGTATCCCTAAAACGACAATGTACTTCTATGTAAAATAAAAACCTGCATTCTGTTGAAATATGGTAGAAAAGACAATATTGTGATAAGAACAGTACAAGTTGTCAACCTAAAAAGGTAATATCCTGAACAGAACCACAAAGGAAACTCACACCTTGCATGATGACGCGTCTCGTATGGCAACAGTCAGAGGTTGAGAAGGTGTAAATTATTTAAACCCATCATAAACACAATCACCATTTCTGCTACCTTGAAGTCTGAATAGTTTTATCACGTCGAAATCTATGTTTCCTCTCTCATCTTATTACTGTGCTCTTTGTTTCAGTATTTTACTCCACACCTTAAATTTCCCATTGTGGTCCTTTCTTCAGCTTGGAAAGATGGTACCAAGTGTGAATAAAATAAGGAATATCTACTTAGATCAACATTTAAGGAAATGTTTATACATAATGCCTAAAAATACTTCACAAACTCTCCTTTACTGAATCAAAAAACACCAATATTCTGTTACAATTTACAGTATAGGAAAAAGACCAGAAATATACCACAGAATCCTTTGAGTGGTTAGATAAAAATATTTTTTATAATAACTGAAGTAAGGGTCATCGCATTGAACTCAAACGTATATGTGGCTGTTGTTTACTTCAAAACAAGATCCTAGCACACCATTTACAGCTAGGAAGTGCAGTTTCTTAGGTAGTAAAATTTGATATATACATTTCCAGAAGGGGAAATATCTATCTATCTAGGTTTCCGCATAGCTTGAATAATTTTTAAAGTATTGTATGCCGATGAAGTCCCGATGTCCGATTACACTGTTGGGGATGACCGTGTTACCCATAGGTTGAATTTCCAAACTTTGCTGATTAGTTCAGTTTCGCTTCATGACAGATCGCCTTTCCATTTCTGAAAGTCCTTAGTCTAAAGATGCGCTTCTACTAAATGATTCTCAATATTAATGAACCTAAAATTTGTTTTCAGATGGCTAGTAACCGTTCAATCTTTGCATATATATATATATATATATATATATATATAATATATATATATATATATATATATATATATATATATATATATAGTATTTGGATGGATTGGAAAATCCTTGTAAGGCTAAGTTAAACAAATTCTTCGCTTGATAGTCATGTTTTAAACCATCGGCAAACCTTGAAAGGTAGGTAACAACCAGATCATACTTTATTTACCGGTTAATATTCTCCTCATCGATAAACCTAAGTTATTTAACAATAAATAATTATACAGTACAGCATCTGTAGTAGAAATTTCAGTTTTCAACGAAATAAACGACACCAAGTAATGAAATCCATTTACCTTCATTAAATTCGAAACTGCTCCAACTGTTGGTAAATACTGATAATAGTCTGAAAGAACAAGATATATATGAAAAAAAGAGAGTTCTGTAGATGCTTTGAACACTAATAATAGATAGATAAGTGGGATGAATGACTGCACTACATTTCTGAGAAAAATTTAATTAACGTCACAAAGTATACGCATACATCTCTTGGTTTACATTATATCACAGTACACAGTGATATAGTTATATTTACTGGATGCATTTCATCACCATGAAAATTCTTTGTATGAGAGCTATCGTCTGTTCATCAAAACCTTAATAAATAAAAAAGGGTTGTGACCTGTGATTTACTATCTATAATTTATGACTTTGAACCAGCGGGACACAACCCCAATATATATTGAATATAGTTTCAAACACAGTCTACCACCCAACATCATATGACTATGGACAATAAATTATGTCCAAAATGCAATCCAGTAAATGATACTCTTCCACTGTGTGATACGTCTAATAAATCAACTAAATGGAACTATGTTCTACCGCACTGCTCAAGTTTTACTTTTATACTAATGACACAGTGATGTAGAATTTGATTTGTTTTCAGTGTTTATAATATTTTTTTGATAACATGGATGGCTTTTGAATCCTTAGTACTACATATATCTAATAGTAATTACATAGACTAAGGTTTAGCTTTCAATAAGAAACTATATCTATATACATCAGTACTCAAAAGGTTGTTATTTAGAACACTGATTTTAAGGTAGTTTTCATCATTATTTGGTCTCAAATGGAGATTCATTGAAGTTCAGATAGCAGTAGACAGATGAGCAGTAACCTGTTCCACGTGACACTTAACGATCCTTGTCTCACCTGTTCAAAGCGGTTGTTGTTGGTAACAGCTAAAGCATTACAAAAGAGGGAAAATAGAATATTCTTCCAGTTCAACCCCATCTTTTGTGAAAACCTACTCAGAATCGAGGGTTTTGTAAAGAAACAAAGGGCCATTAGATACTCACCCTTAAATTCTTTATGTGGTTGAGATTAGATTAGAAACCCATAAATTAATCGAAAGAAGACAAAGTTCAGCAACCCTATGACTAATGTAAGCAAAAGTACTATTTCATGAAATGTCGAGTGATGATTTTGAACTAGAGCTTATTAAATAACTAACTGAAGTCGTTCAGAAAGGGAACTTCGATTCTCACGTAGTAGAGGTGTAGCCACTTTAGACATAACTACTTACTACTTTCTCCTGGCTTCCTAAGTACTGTTGGATTAGTTTGAGAACATAACTGTTCATTTTTTGTGTTCACATAATATAATTTCCTTTCATAACTAAATCATCCCCTTAGCATGTAATTTTAATGAGTTCGGATATATTCCAAATATATAGAAACATTTTTTGGACCATCACTTAAATCCATGTAGATAATATACTGCATTTGAAATGTTAGCAGGCCATTTTAAAAAAAATTAAAATAATGGTTTAAAATTGTCAGATAACTCTTTGACCACCAGTTTTAATCCCTCTGTCTGAAGCGTATTAGCTGGTAATCTCACATATTTCATGAGTTCACTGTTTTCATACTTGTAGAAAACGCTTAAGAATTATGCTCTGACAAATTTTAATAGGGTGGAGGATTATGAATATAACATATGTGAATGCAATTTCTACTTGATCTACTTCTAAGGAATAAGAATATTTTTATTAATTTAATAATTTCCATTGTAACATCAAGAACAAGATATTCAGCGAAGAGACTCTTATCAACGAATTTATTTTCAAGCTGTACAATCGTATATATATGATATTTGGAAAAAATTATATCCCGTGAGGAAAACTAAACACTATGTGGTGATGACAATAATAATAGAGCGGATGATGACATAGGCATTTGTGATTATGATAACAATTGAAGTGCGAATGATAACAAATAGATTATGTAATATATGGAATGGTACATAGAGAGTATATAACTCAGAATGGGATGCTAAATACTTTGATATCTCATATGTTGCGATATGTGGATGACACATTTACAGTGTTGAAATCGGAACACATCGACAGTTTCTTGACACACATAAACTCAGTAGTTAACGCAATCCAATTCACTTATGAAGTAGAAAATGAACAAGGAGAATTACCTATGTTGGATTGCAGAATAAAAAGAAGGACAGATAGTGGTTTAGATACTACCGTCTACAGAAAACCAACATATTCTAACAGGTATCTAGACTTCAACTCATCTCATCCAGTGTCAGTTAAAGCGGGTTTAGTCAAATGTCTAAATAACAGAGCTAAGAAACTCACTAGTCATTGTAAGAACTTAAATAAGGAATTGAAACACATAAAAGAAGCGTTAATAATTAATAATTATCCCCATCATTTTATTAACAAATTCACACAAACACATAAGAAGCAGAATAATATCACTAATACAAATACAAATAATAGCGACAACATAAGTAGAAAGGAAACCAACACCTCTATTATGATACCATACAAGGAAGGAACAACAGAAACCATACGCAGGATTCTCAACAAGGTTGGAATTAGGGTGGCATTTAATTCAACAAACTCACTTAGAGGTAAGCTTTGTCTGCTAAAAGATCCAATAGAACCAATTAGGCAAAATACCAAATTCCATGTAATGACTGTGAGGTCAAATACATAGGTCAGACTAGCCGGTCGGGGTCAGTTAGATTAGCAGAACAGGAATTTAGCTAAACATAGAACGACAGACCCCAATAAGACCAGTAATCTAGAAAAACACTCGGCCATTGCATTACATTCATTAGCACATAACCACACAATAGGGTGGGACGAAACCACTGTACTTAAGTCTAATATAGCTAGGTGGAGAGAGAGATTAATTACTGAATCTTTGTTCACCGAATCCACACCCAACACATGTAATAGGAATGACGCAACACCTATACCAGAGATATGGAAAACTTTACTACCAATCAAAAAACAAAGAAAAATCAGGTGACAGGACCATAAAATTAGATGTCGAAAGTGGAGTGTGATTACATTGATATGATTATGAGCAATAATTTATGCTCGAAACGTAATCAAGTAAATAATACTGTATCACTGTGCACTATATATCAAATAAACAAATCTAGTATGGAATTGCATTCTATCACAGTGCCCAAGTTTTACACTTATATTGACCTCATCTTGTCCAATTTGTCTAATGCCATTTTACATAATACTTAATTGATTTGCCATTTTCAACAATTTTTTCGTCCTCTTCTGAGTTATATACTCTTTATGTACCATTCCATATATTACATAATCTATTTGTTATCATTCGCACTTCAATTGTTATCATAATCACAAATGCCTATGTCATCATCCGCTCTATTATTATTGTCATCACCACATAGTGTTTAGTTTTCCTCACGGGATATAATTTTTTCCAAATATCATATATATACGATTGTACAGCTTGAAAATAAATTCGTTGAAATAAGAATATGTTGTAAATGTGAATAATTGAGATCAACTATTTTAACCAATCAGAATAAATCTTATAATTACCAGTAGTTTCGTATGCTTTTTAGATGGTGAAATATTTCAGGTTGATGTTCACCATGATCTGACCAGTTAGAAAACCACTGGAAACCTAGAAGCACTGAACATCTGTTCCGCCCTAGCATGCGACTTCTCAGAAGTACGCATACATGACCCGGTACCGTCAGCGGTCGATCACGTCAGGAATCGGATCCAGGACCTTCAGGAGGTAGGGTCAGAGGCGCACACGGCTGAGAAGCCCCATACTAGGCTGAAGAATTCGCCCAGTGCTCCTAGGTTTTCAGTGATCCTTCAATTGATGTCAGTCCTTGATGAATATCAGTCTGAAATCAACAAATAAATTACCCCCCAACTCCAGAATTAACATTTGTTTACGTAATCAGAAGTGACATTTTTATCCAATTTTAACATATAATCAAAATGATTCTGAATTCCATTAGATAATTTTTAAGAAATCTGACAAGTGTATCTCATTTCTAAACACGAATCCTCTCCTTCCCAGCAATGGGCGCATGTGATCTTTACCGAAACCTGAATCAAAGATATTCAGCAATACATATTTCTAATTGTATTATCATAATGACTTTTATAAAGATCATGGTAATAAAATAGGTGACAAACGTTTACAGATGAATGAAAAAATGGTTGTGCAAAAAATTATCTTTACCATTTGTCGCACATGCTTTCACTGTATGCTCATAGGCTGCACCAACAGGTTCACCAAGTGAGTAAATAAACGTAGTAATCTGTGCAGGAGAAAAACTTAATATGTTAATACATTATCCCCAGAATACAATTCTTCAGGTTTTTTCTAGACCAGATGATAAATAGTAACGATATAAAAAATTTAATACGAAGTTTTTTCTATTTCTTCGAGAGTATACAACAGGGTTCTAGGTGTAAAATGAACTTTGGAATTGAGACTTTGACCATAAATGAAGATTAGTTTGAGAAAAAACTAAAAAGCCAAATCAGCATACAGTAGGGAAAAGTATACCTCTTTATATATTAGTAGTTATAAAAACAGCCAGCAGCCACCTAAATAACCCATGAATATTGATAACAATAATTTTATCCCCAACAATATTCTTGAATCAATATAGGACATTTCAACAAATATACTCTTCGTAAAATATTTTCAGATATCAGTTTTAGCATCTAAATAGTGTTACTAATAACAGTATTATAAGAAATAAGATGTGAGGACCAGCTATTTTTAGGTTATATGGCTTGTAAGAACATCGTTGCAGGGGTGGAATGAATACAAAATCATGCGCAAGTTCAGTAGTGAAAGTTCATTAGGCTGGCAAAAAATTCTCAGCTCGACCTTATTGCCTGAGAATTAGTTATGTGATACATCGTTATGATCATAACAACCCACTGTCACTTACCTTAATATTCGCTCTTGGTTTTATTGTTGACTTTTAAAATGATACGCCAAAATTATTTCTGAGATAAAGTATGTAATAGAGTGTGAAGACAAAAGGTGATGATTAAAACAGCTTTAGAAGGAGTGATTTGTTGTAATGTATTCTGTAGAAAATGTTTGGTAGATGAAAGCTTAAGCATCATCCATCTAACAAGAAACCACGTCCGTCTTGGATTGGCAGTTCATCTACTACATGGTCTCCCAAAAGTACATGATTTGACTATCCACGTCCATCCAGTTTCAGATATTACCAGCTCACCACATCATGCTTTCGCCAAAGGATGACTAATGTTAGAAATTAGAAATTTATCTGCATTTATCAGTGTTTACAGTTTATTCGCTTCATCTAACTTAGTCAATTAATAAATAATGTCAATATGTATCGAATTAATGACGAATTTGTCTGAATATCACAACACCCTATACTGACATTCTACACACTGAAATAAGTTGTTTGCTGTGCGAAGACAGTAATTTCAGCATCGGTGTTTCAAATCATTCCTTAAAAGAAATACATCTGAGATGTACTTATAGCTTTTTGCTCAAATTGCATATGGAATTCTAAGGATCGACTTATGAAGTCCCAATGAGTTTGCCACATGACTGTCGACTGACAAGTTGTTCCCAGGTACACCTCTAGAAACCGTTTCACGTCTGATGAACGAGAGCTTTTATCTGTACAAGAAATACATTGGTGACATTTTCATCATACGTGACGAAGACAATTGCATTGAAGTCATTGTTGAAAGGCTTAATGGTTGTCACTGGTCAATCAAGTTTATATTAGAATTCGAGATAAATTGCAAATACCACTCTTTTGATGGATTAAGTAATTCTCTTCCGAAGTCGATAGAAAGCCGATATAAAATGCTGAACATATGCATTTTCAAAGTTGGACTCCCTACGCAGATAAAAAATCTAATCCATTTCCTTTTATCGCAAGTTATAAAGATTTGCACAGATTAAGCAACTTAAGATGAAAGGAAAAGGCTTTGACAAGTGTTCTTGCAAAATGAATATCTCTTCAGATTCATAACCAAAAATCCAAAAGTCGACAAACTCACTGAGATAACTTTCTCACTAACATAGAAAATTTTTTTGCAAATATCACTTTCAAAGGTGATAGAAGAGAAGAGATCATAAAGAACCATCTTTGGATTTTCTCCTCTAGTTAACAGCCGATTTTCCTGTGTTTTAAGTATAAGTGGCACTTTGGACCACATTAATATGTGTTTACAAGTTTAGTTGCTTCTGTGGAGTTGGTTGTGTAAGCAGAGCAAAGTGTTCACTCTTTAAATATATCTGTAAACATCATACTACATTAGCATCCAAAGATCAACTTAAATCCATAAAGACCTAGTCGATTAGGTCACCTCACTCTACCGGAATAAGCTTTCAGTAGCATTTAAAAACTAAGATCAAATACTTGAAAGGTAGTACAGTTCTATCATTGGTTCACGACAAAGTGAATGGTAGTCCGTCAATTCAAATCTCAATTCTGTGTAGAAGAAGATTTAACCTCTTCTCTAACTTTGGTTCTAATTTTTCTGTGCATTTATAATTGCAGAACCTGAAAAGAATTTACTGAAAAGAATATTCTTCGTTAAGATTGTTGCTTTTCATAAATATTATGGGAATCCTTAGTTGTTTGAAATCTTACAATTCTCCTGAGTACTCCATTGCGTTAAAGATACATAACGAGTTCCTGAAGTTCGACGTGAGACTCACTGAACCTAGAATACATGTCGAGTTCATTCAAGATTGTATAAAGAAGAATCAATATCCGAGAATGTACTGGAAAACCCTAAGAATGAACAGAATCCTAACTGATGTGAAATCTTTAAAACGGTATGCACTCAACCACCTTGAATCAATTCAGTCATATGTAACAGAATTCCAATTAAACATATCGCAAAGGAATTATTCACTACACGATATACCAGAAGATTTAAGACTGAAATTTGCTGAATACGTGAATAAAGTTGCACAATCCAAGTACGCTAAGAAACGAACATTACTACTGATGACTTTAGACAGTCAACTTACCCAATGCAAATTTCCGAAAAATTCAGAGAAGTATGTTCATAATTGTCCTAGTATTATAACCGACAAATTAAAAGTAGAAGTTTTACTCATTTAGACGAAGTTTTGTGACATCGGCAAGCAAATTAACCAGATCGATACATATGTAAAGTTCAGACACGAGCACACTGGCTATCATGATGTCCCCAAAAGCATCGAAGGCTCTCATGCAGTGAGAACCAGTCTCCTCCACTATCAGGATCATGACAGCGAGACTCAACTCAAAAGAAAGGAAAGTTACAAACATATAATGCCACGATACGCACTGACAACTAACTCAGATCAAGAGAAGAAGGAGGAATTCTACACACAACTGAAATTAGTACTAGACAAGACTCAAGTTGGCAACATCAAAATTCTCATGCGTGACACGAATGTCAAACTCGCAGTGCACAACACAGGAAGAGAACTCATCACGCATGAGGAAGCACTCGGTGATACGAAATTAACTTCACAAAACACCAGGACACACTACACCAAAAATCAGATCTACTTCTTCTCAATCTCAAGAAAGTCGAGACACAGTCTACTACACACAACATCAAGAAGAGGAACAGATGTAGGTTCACATCACTCACTATCTACTGCAAGGAACCTAACTTCAAAATCAAGTTGCAAGCCATCAAAGAAGGTGATGATAGACGACCACACTTCAAGTTCTACACCCAGAACTCAAACTCAACTCAAGGATGAAACGACATGCGACATCTGCACTCCAGTCATCAGGAAAAAATATGGGAGACACTAAGCAACATCGATGAAGAAACCTGAGAAGAAGAACACTGGAACTCTGTGAAAGCAACGTCGAAGGCAACCTGCATCACCGTGTTAGGAAGGAAGAAGAAAGAAGACAAGGAATGCATCTCGACGGACACATGGAAGCTGATAGAACAGGGAGAGGATGATGGTGATGGTGATGGTGAAGCAAAAGCAGAAGATGAACCAGTGCAGTGTAGTTCAGTACAGTGCAGGGATGAACAACAAAAAGAGGAACTCAACACAACCTATAAAACACTACAATGGACAAACAAGTGAAGAAGAGTGTGCACAAGGACTAAAGACACTTACTTCTACGACTCACACTTGCAAGTGAAGCACAAAAGTCTGCAGGCTGCAGGATAGACAGACACCTGACAACACCATATCAAATAACCAGGTTACTATCTCGGAGGGAAGATATCAACGCAGATTAAACTGATGAAAGATAGTGAAGGAAACTTAGTAGCCACCAAAGAGGATAAACAAAGGAAACCGTGACTCTGATCACTCCAAAAAACCCTTGAATCGATCACCAATACCAACACCACCACCACCACCACCACCACCACCAAATGCAACTCGTCCAGAAATGCAACCACCAACCGCAGAATTACAAGTGAACACAAGCCCTCCGACGAAACTAGAAGTCCTTCCTGAACGCCATAAAGTTGCTGAAAGACGTGAAAGCAGGAGGACCGGATGGAATTCCACCAGAAGCACTGAAAACAGACACACAGACAACAGACGACACGCTCATACCACTGTGATAAAAGGTTTGAAAGGAAGGAAGGAAAGGTACCTCCTGATTGGAAGAAGGGCTACCTTGTCAAACTACCAAAGAAGAGAGGCCTGAGTCCTTTCCAGAACTGGAGAGGAATCATGTTTCGCTCCTGTCCACGCCAAGCATATTGTTAAACCGTCTCATCCTGGAGAGACTAAGAAATGATTTCCATCCAAAATTAAGACCGGAACACACTGGCTGGCTGGCTTCAGGAAAAACAAATCATGTTCGGATCAAATTGCAACTCCGCGCTACGCTTCACAACATCATACAACAGAGCATGAATGACAGTCAACTGGATCTCTACCTCAACTTCATCGATTTTGAAAAGCCCCTCGACAGCGTCGACCAACAAGTCATTTGGCAGGCAGCTCCTTCAACATTAGGCTTTAGTGAAACAATCTTTTATCAATCTCATTCAACGGCACCCATATGCTTTATGATGCTACATGCCAAGTGATTCACAATGGAAAGCTCACCTCACTGATGCCTTTGAAGTGAAGACTGGAAAGAGTAAGAGAAGGTTGCCTACTACCATCGATAATTTTCCTGATCTTCCTAGAAGATTTGGATGTCGCCGCCGATAATCACTTGTGTCCTATTTCTTGTCATACAAACTCGAAGATCTATAGGCAAAATCCAACAAGTTGACAGAAGAGACAGGGCAGGGCAGCGAACACAGAACTTTCTCCAGGTGAACACAGAGAAGACACAGGTGATGAAGGTACCAAACCAACAACAACAAGCACCAATCAACATCAACGGGAGAAACTGAAAGCAAGTAGTCTCTCTCACCTACCAACCCACCTACCTACCTAGGCAGGCAGCATCCTTTCAATTACAAGCGACCACCGCGGCACACATGAGGACGTCAAAGCCAGCCACCATCCGAAAGACAACAACACAGGCCTCCCTTCATTTATCCAAAATCAGTGTGTAGATCTACTCCACTCCACTCCACTCCACTGTAGTGCACTGCACTCAGCATAAAGCCTGAACAACATCCGGATTTTCAACACTAATTCAGTCAAGTCAGTGCTTCCATGTGATGGATTGTTGGGAAACGTGGCGCGTTACGAGAGGCATTTCCAACAAACTACAGACATCCATCACCTGCCACCTGCCACCTACGCCCACGCCTACGCCCACACCCACACCCACGCTCACTGGATACTGAAGATCAGATGAGATGACCAGAATAATAAGAATAAGCAACAAGGAACTCTGGTTGGCTGACTGGCTGGCTGGCTGGCTGGCTGGCTGGCTGGCTGGCTGGCTGACTGGGTGACATGGAGGAGATTGTGTGAGGAAGAAATGAAAGCTTGTGGGCAGTCATGTAGCGATGTTGAAAAGACTGGAGAGAAGAGATTTGAGTGGCGACGTACTATAGCAAAGTCGTATGTTCCACTAGGAACCCAAGCTACAAATTATTATAATAATATTTCGGATTATTAACTTGAAAGTACTATTGCTATCATGTACAATAAATGTACAGTTCATCTTCAAAATTAATCTGTTCAGACAATTTGACGGAGGGGATATGGGATGTCCATTGGGCTCAATATTTGCAGACATATTTTTAGCTGCCTGTAAAAATGGTCGTTTGGAAGATTAAACTGCTAATTTGTACTTGCACTGTCGATACATTGAGGACTCTTCTTTAAATCTTTGACAGGTCGCTGGCTTTTAGAGTGAAATTGATTTGTTTCAAGGAGTGTGTGGAAAAAGAACTACTGTGTATCCATGATATTCTAAGTGAAAATGGATATCTGGACAAGTTCATCAAATCTAATATCAACTACATTGATCCTAAACGATGCGAAAGAAGCCCTTGTTTCTGCGATTACAGTTCAAAGGAGATGCTGCAAGTGGCATTCTATCACAACGCCTAGCTAGAGCAGTCAATAGGACGTTTTGAGCAGGTTTGATTTGCATATCATTCAGTACTCGGCCAATACTCAATCCGAAACTAAAGGATAGCCTACTAAATCATACATAAGTGCTTTTAAAACTGTCAGTGTCATCCATCAGCAAACTAAAAGCCACTTCTGTCACCTTTTTGTTCACCATCATATCTTTCTTCCGTGTAGGTATCATTCTAATATTGATTAGTTTGAAAAAGACGAATGGGTTTCCTTATAATCTCTAGACCTCACTCCATTTTAAAAATGCAACTGCCCACAACGTGTCTCATTTTTACGCTGTACAAATTTATTTTAGAATTGTCGAAACCGAAGAGAATGTATTGAAAAGAATATTCTTCGTTCAGATTGTTGCTTTTCATAAATTTTGTGTAATTCCTTTCTGTCTTTAGAAATAACATTCTGTTCTATTAGTTATCATTAAAGTAATAACGTGACCCACCCTAATTTTTCAGTAGCATTAATTGCTTTATTCCAAACAACGCATTTGGTACAGTATGGAATTCTCAGCATATCTAGTAGTCTAGCAGATTCCTTCCGCGTACAATATCTTTAAGCGAAATAATCACTTCATTTGAATAATGTTAATGATAACAGTAATAAAAACCACTATGTGATTGGCAATAGAAGGTTATGCGTCTGTGGTATGTTTAAATATAATCACCGTAAATAATCTCGTCGAAAAGAAACTTTTTCTCTGCTAAATTGTCATTCCCCTTCTTTGTGACTCACTTGGCATCTTTTCATGAAATATATATGTATGTCTATAAGTGATAATAAAAAACAATGATTTACTCACATTCGACTTTTGTTGTTTGAGTTGCGACAGCACAGATTCATCAAAGACGAATGCATTATCTGTCATTAGGACAAGAATTTTATTTCTCATCTCTTTACCGCGATCACCTCTTGCGCTTCCAGTTAGCTACAAAAAAATGGAAAATGAGATTTCTCAATTTATTTAGTCATACAGGTTCATATCTTCTAAAGGATAAATTGAATGCCGACTATAGTAGAAATTAGGTAGGGAGAAATTTTAATGGCATTATGGATTCACTATCCATAGGCTTTATTTCTAATTGGAGAGAAGTTATGAAGTAACAAGTTTTTCCTAACTTGATACGATTTCACATTTATTCAAAATATAACTGTGAAGTTAGAACGTAAGAAAGTAGCATATTCCACTAGGTTTCATACAAATATCTTCAGGCGTTATAAAAAGTTTAAGAATGTAGATGACTGTGAATTTAAAACAGAAGCAAACACAGCTGTACTAGACTGAATTAATTCAGGTTTAGAAATAAGTGGAAAACTCTGTATGACCTGCAGAAGTGTTAGTAAGATGATACTTCCCAGGTGGAAATTCAGCCTGAATATATTACAAGGTAGTGAATTCACTTGCTTCTATTTAATACAAATAAATATTTTCTGATCTTTATATAACTACTGAGTGAAATATGTCAGTCAATATCAACATCGGATCTAGTATTGCTAAGTAATGATACAAGTTACAGTCCTTAAGTCAGCACTATGAGATACAAGGGGACTAGATACTCGCGTTTTGTATTTTTTTTTCATTATTTGAGTGCCACACAACAAAATATAATGTTTATATAAGTTATTCAACAAAGGGTATACGTGAACCTGTAGTATCTGAAACCTAGTAGTGGAAAACAGGTTTGTAACAAACTCTGAGTAAACACAGTATTTATCAACGTTTCCCTCAATGAATTGATTATAAGGAAAACGCTTAACAAGTATCTGAAATTCTGTGAACAGACTGAATAAATATTTCAAAATTTCGGCAAATTTCTTTTCCTTTTCTATAGAACAGTTTATACAGAATCTAGATAGAACGTTAAGAGATAAAATATCAATGTTACTTACGTTACGAAACATTTCATAGGCAAATTTCAGTGATCCTGAGAAATCTGAATAACCTCGTGCCTTCAGAGTACTCATATCATGAAACAAACGCTTTTATTAGGAAATGGGAAAAAAGTAAAAAGGTTCAGAAGATAGACAGTTTATTTCATATATATATATATATATATATATATATATATATCCACACTTTAGGTGACCTTTTCGTTGTTAAACTTGTTAACAGGCTTTTGGGTTTCATATCTACTTGGTAAATGGTCTTGTCTGATCAGATTGTAGAAAGTATATGACTTACTTCTGCACCCCTCCGTATTACTCGTTTACAAGGATTAGAGAGTATGCGAGGTAGATAAAATTAAATAAAAGTAATTTGTTTTTTCTCAGTCTAAGTATTTCACGTTGTTGAGATTAGTACAAATAGCTGGAAGAAAGTCACATATAATAGAAATAGATCACAGCCTATATTGAAATAATCGTTATTATATCAGTGTTGCGAGAATTTTAACTTTACTAGGTTTGTCTGTTTAGGCAGTTAGACTGAAATTAGTGTGACTGGTCGATTTTATCAGTCAGCTGCTCTAGTAAGGTGATGCTGTAGATACCGAGAAGCATCAAGGAAATTTCTATCATTTTCATATGCTACATATTGTTCAAATAATTTTTAAATATCTTCTCGACAGCTTTTTCTGAATACTTACTATCTACTGTCTAGGTGCATAATGAGTATCACAACAGTAAGCGAAAATTCAGTACAAACATTCGTAATTTAAGCTGTGAAGTGGAACAACTGTGCCTAACTTATTTTTGGACACGTCTGATGCAACTAAAGTTAACCTGTTATAGTTATCCTTTTGGCAGCATACAGGTTTAGACTGTTGTAGTTGTCAACTTTGACCACACTACAAAGTCATAACGTTTACTCAAAAAAGTCATATGAAAATACTTTTATAGTCATATTGTCTACAAGACTATGGATGGAAAGATGATTTCAACGACCACTCTAGCAACGTTCGAACAACCAATTAGACTTTTCTGTCTTATGAAAAACTCCATTTCTAGCCTTAATGCAGTTACCTGATTGGTCATTTCAGCAGTTGCCAGGGTGGCTTTTAAAGTCACTCAAATAAGACCGTTAATGAAGTTCTGCACAGCTCTGATGACTGAATTTGCAAAAATACGTCAAATTTAAAATTTCAATGCCGAAAGCGTGTTTCATTCAAGTGATTTTAAAGGCCGCCCTAGCAACTGCTGAAGTGACCAATCAGGTAACTGCATTAAGGCTAGAAATTGAGTTTTTCATAAAACAGAGAAGTCTAATTGGTTATTCGATCGTTGCTAGGGTGGTCTTCAAAGCCTCCAGTCTTATTTAACTGTACTACGCGGTCAATTAAAATCATTCACGTGAAATACAAAACTTCGGGCTTAACTTAGATGACCAATAAGATACCATGCCTCGAAACAGCGCATATAGTTTTATAAACCAAATACAGGTCATAGGAAAGAAATATCGACAGAAAACAACTTTTCATTACGAAAATCTTTCTTTTCTCTTCTTTTCTAAGCTTGATATTTAAACCTGTATAAATTACCGAGAAGTAGCATTCATCATGATAATCAAAAAGTAAGCATTAGGGGACGTGTCATCCCCAGTGGAATAATCTTCAGAAATTAAGAAATACTGAATGGCATTATTAAAGCTTGAGGTAAAACTCAAAACTTTAAGATATTATGTCTCCTGTTGGCTTATCGTCAACCAAAAACTCTGAAGCATGCATAGTTAGAGGTATCGGTCAACTTTGAGCAACTGTAATTCTGGAACAAATGTCATTCAATAATTCCAGGCAGATATTTATCTTTCCTTACAACTTTATTAGCTTTGTTTAATAAATTCTATAGCTGATTACTTATGAATCTTACATACTGAAATGGAATTTCTAAAAACATTTGTTCAATACTTCTCAACTTTCAGCTCTTCTTCAAATGATATTATTTTTGGTGGTTACGCACAAAGGGACCTAGTCACTTCCAGTTAGAGGTCTTGCTGAGTAATTCGGAAAAAAATCTCCCTAATCATGCAGGAAAAAGTCACAATACAATAAATAGAACTTACCAACTTGTTGCGTTTAGTTGCTTGAACAAATGAGTTGAAACAAATAGGTTCACTTTCGTTATTTGCTGTCACTATCATGGGAGCGACATGATCTTTTGCCCCAGGGAACTGCATGTACACATAAAAACAGATAAATCTGATGTAAATCGTAATGAAAACCAGATAATGTCCTTAATTAGATGTTGAAAACCGTTTGGAACCTATTCTACAGATTCTAGGAACCTATTTCTGCTAGTTTGCAGTTAGTGTAAATATTTTGAAATTAGTTCCGATAATTATCTTCTATGGTAACAAAGGCACTAGCATTCAGTTATTTCGATGAAAAACAAAATACAATTGAATCCTTGAATTAATATATCAGTTCTTCTTTATCCTTTCAGTTCAGTTTGTTTTACAAGACAAGGAGCACTTAAATGTAAGCTACTTTCGATGTCATCAGGAATGAACGCCATCTCTTAAATATACTGTGGTACATTAAAAATCTTACTTATCCTTTTTAATGTTCTTTCCATTTCTATTGAAATTTTCCTGCGCATTGTTAGCTAGACTGATCAACAGTCACTTAGTCATAATAACTTGCATTGTTGTGAGGTGGCTAGTTAAAGGTAATCGGTCAACCTGATCAAAAGAATTCAGTCATCCTTACCAATTAATCAGGATACTTTTGAAAACACTTCGGTAACGTATCAACTGAATAGATCCAGTTCTATAAAACCAACATGTACAATGTCAAATATAATGTCTCTGCTTTTCATTCAAGTTTCTCAAGGAGTATGCTATGATCGACAGCACGACTTCACAGCCTAACAGCGATACGAGCCTAGCAGACTACGAACGATACGAACTTAACGTGTAAATGAATCAACCCCAATGCAAGTCAGAACGTTAACCATCATTACAACAATACCACCGACGCGCAAAGACAAGAAGAGAAGACACACCGTTAATAGAGAGCTTTTGCTGTCTCAAAAATTGTTAATATTGTTGACAGCGATGCTGAATATATACATTTCCAAATGACATTGACCAACACTTAATTCACGTATAGGGAGAAACAGGTAACTACCGATGAGAGTTCAGCCTTGAGAGAAAAGGGAAGAGAAACCAATAATGGTGTGAAAACAGCCATGTAGATTATTTTAGGGTCATGGGAAAAACAGCAGGCAAAAGCTATGCAAAATTAAGAGTAAATAGCACCTCCTCCTCAAAAAAAATGAACATGTACAACAACAAGATGTAGTACCTCTGTCTTTTCGAATCAATTTGGAAGTGTGTCATTCGAGTTCTTTTGGGCTCCGATCTTCACCTAGCCAGAAACTGCTTCTTGATCTTTGGCTTCCCCTGAGTTGATTCTGCATCGACTGGCGGTAGTTACAAGTAGCAATTCCAACGGTATCTTGGTTTCTGAGGTCGTGGTGTGGTGACGCCATATCTGATTTTCGTGTCCCATCCATTTTTCCTTCCCCAACTTTAACCTCGCACATTAAAGATCCTCTTTGACGTTCAGTCAGATCTTCTGCCTATTTTTATCTTCCTGGTGGATAATCGCGAGCATAAACCGGGTCCTCCTTGTGAAAAAAACCACACCGTATTTTCCCTTTGAACTGGTGAAGATGGCAACATGAAAAGATGATGGGTACGTAGGGTGCGTCCTATTATAAGCTCAGCTGGGCTTTTTCTATGCTCTGCCAGTGGTACCATGCAATATACGGAAAAGAAATTCTGTATGATTTATGGTGTAGCCCCTCCTCCTGCCTTCAATATGGCCCTTGTGAAGGTGTTCGCAAGTTGTTCCGCCTGGCCATTAGAATGAGGGTGGTATACTGGAGTCCGCACGCGTTTTATACCATTTCTCTGACAGAAATGTTAAAATACTTTGGACATGATATAGCTGCCACTGTCAGATACAATGCATTCTGGAATTCCATGGCATGCAAGAACTTTAGTGAAGGCTGATATGGTTCGGCTGCTGGAGGGTAGGGTAATCGGAACTACCACGAACCATTTTGAATAGGTGTCCACAAGAACCATGTAATACACACTATATACCAGCCCAGTCCAATCTAAGTGTAGTCGAGACTGTGATTGTGATGGAAGCCATGCTTGAGGTTTGTTCTTGGGGCAGATTGATGGCAGCGGCTTGACATGAGTGGCAATGGTTAACGAACTCTGTTACATCGGCGTCCATACTTGGCCAGCATACATAACTTCTGGCGATAGACTTCATGCGCGCAATACCTTGGTGTCCGTTACGGGACTCTTTTACGGCTGTTTTTCCCAGGGTGGCCGATACAGCCACTCGTTTTTGGAACATTAGGCACTCATTAACGATACTGAGGTCGTGATGGTGGTGAAATGATTGTTTGAGGTCCTGGTTCCACAATGATGTTGGTCAAGAGTTTTGGACGAACCTCATAGGTGGTTGCAAATTTTAACCTCTCTGCATGGTTTGCCTTATTTGCTCTGCTAGTGTGGGTAGCTGCTCGATGGCGCATGTTAACGAATTCTGAACATATCTTTCTGTCTTCAGAGTCCAAACAACTGTTTCTCCATTTGACGAGGGGTAGTCGCTCGTTAAGCGCGAGAGAGCATCTGTGAGGCCGAAATCTTTTGTCCGGTGATATTTGATGTTGAAGCTGTACCCTAGTAAGATCAACGCCCATCATCGTCATTTGTTTGCAGAATGGAGTGGGATGCTTATCTTTGAGCCAAATACGGAAAAGAGGGGCTTTTGGTCTGTTAGTAAAGTGAATCTTCTACCGCACACCACCTTATGAAACCTTTGAACTGCATAGACTAAAGCTAGAGCCTCCTTCTCTCTCTGTGCCTATCGCTTTTCTGCTGCGGAGAAGGAACGTGAGATATGAATAACAGCGTTTTGCGTCGCGTCAGGAAATTCATGCAATATAACAGCTCCGACTCCTGTAACTGAAGCGTCTGCTGCGACTATAAAGAGGAGTTTCGATTCATAATGTGCAAGTAACAATTAAGAAGCGAGGATCCCTTCCAGTCTTTGAACGGCTACATCCCACTCTTTACCTTACCACCGTGCTAAAAAAGATACTGTATATGAATCTCAACTTCAAAGTGATTCTGCCTCTGACACTCTGAAAAGAAGGATATCATACGCTCTAAGGGGGAATATTCTTTGCATCAACGCTGAAATTAGTATTTTCTTGTCGTCCAAAAATTTCTAACAACTCAAAAGAAAATCTTTTACATATGACCACTTCTATGTGCATATATTAATTCACCTGCTCTTGTGGAGCCAGTTATATAAGTGATCAGACGCGACTGTTATCGAAAAGGATTCAAAAAGGCTATCCTGCGTAGTTACAAAAAGGTAACAATGGAGCAATAGGGAGTGCTATGATTGAACACATCGTGAACACAAATCACCCTATCTCAAAAGCCTCCTCATTTTAGTCATCTATAAAGTGAAAAGAAACCTCGAGAAGGCTGTTTGTCTTCGTATTCTCTGCATCACCGAAGCTCTTGCCATCCAAATGGAGAAGCCTGATTTTTGTACACAGAAGAAGATTGCTCTCCTTTCATGGTCTTAGTTTTCAGTCTCTTCAACTCCCCCTTTTTTTATTCATTTTTCTGTTTTGACACTATTCACTTCTTAAGTAATTTGTTACTCACTCTTCTTGCTACGATCTGCCTGATGACAATTCAGTTTCCGATTGTCGTTATGTTACGAAACTTCTTGCTCAAACTTATTTTGACAGATATTTGCTACTCATCAGTTCTTGGTATTTTGGTTATTTTGATTTTAATGACAAGTTATTTATTTTGACACTATTTGTGTTGCTATACTTGACAAATCGATTTTAACTATCAAATCCTTACACTAGAAAAATATATAAATTTGCCACTGTACAACTTTGAAAATGAATTTGCCGAAAAGAGAATCTTCACTGAAATAACTGTTCTTCCTTGGAATCGGTTAGTAATCATGGGTTGTAGTTTGTATAACAGAAAGCAAGCGCGGTTATCAGCAGGCCTAGACATACGTTTTCTGACAGCTCTAATCATCCTTCCGTTTGTACATTAAGATCATTCTACTAAGTGATGGCTACCTAATGCAACAGCATAATTTTAACAATAAAAATTTAGTGGCCAATAAAGAGTGTACAAAAAATTAGTAGTTGGTGAGATGTATAGCATTATTATTATTACATATGTCCCTTGGATTCCCAATGGAACATAAGGATTCAGTAGCACGTCTACAATGCACTCTGTTCTCTGAAATCTTTTGAACCTGGTTCCACGACAGCCCACAAGCTCTCATTTACTCCTCGCATGATCCCCTCCATGTCACCCTCAACTTGGACGACCAACTCGTCGCTTCCCATCCCGGTTCCACTCAAGCAACTGGTCTGGCTTGACGCGTCATGTCCCCAGTCGGCCTTCTCACTGTATGCCAAATCCAATCCACCTCCACTTCCTTCCACTGCATATCTGTTGACTGATGGGTTCTTGGTTGGTTTGTTGCTAGCCAGAGTTCCCTGTTGCTTATTCTTTCTGGCTATCTCAACTGATCTTCAGTATCGAGTCAGCGTAGGCAGTTGTTGATGAATATCTGTAGTTCGTTGGAAATCCCTTTCGTAACGCGCCAAGTCTCTGAGCCATACAGAAACACCGACTCGACATTAGTGTTGAAAATCTGGATATTATTCCACATGCTGAGTGCAGAAGATCTCCACACTGGTTTCAGGCTAATGAGAACCTGTCTTGCTTTTCCGATCCTGACTTTGACATCCTCGTCTGCGTCTGTGCCACCTGTAGTTGAAACAGTGATGCCCAGATAGATGAAGGAGGCTACTTCCTTTAGGTTTCTCCTATTGATAGTGATTGGAGCTTGTTGTTGTTGTTGGAGTTGGTGTTGGTTGGGCATCTTTATCACTTCTGTCTTCTCTATATTCACATGAAGTCCCGTCTTCGCTGCCTCGCCTCTTCTATCAACTTGTTAGTTTTCGCCTGTAGATCTTCAAGTTTGTGTGACATCAGACACAAGTCATCACTGGCGAAATCCAAATCTCCTAGGTTCTTTTCCGCAGTCCAGCCAGGGTATCCCCTCTTCTCACAGCTCCTCACTGTTTGTTGCATGATCCAGTCCAGTCGACCACAATCAGGAATATCATGGGTGATAGTAGACAGCAGCCTTGTTTCACTCCTGTCTTCACTTCACTGCAAAGGCATCACTGAGCTGCCCATTGTGAATTACTTGGATGGTATGTGGCGTCTTCATATAGGTAGCTGTTGAATGAGGCTGATAATGGTTTGTGGTATTCGGTAGTGTTGAAGCAGCTGCCTGCCAAATTACTTGTCGGTCAACGCTGTCAAAGGCCTTCTCAAAATCGATAAAGTTGAGGTAGAGTGTTGACTGCCATTCTGTACTCTGTTCCATGATGATGAGAAGTGTTGCAATTTGGTCTGCACATGATTTTTACTTCCTGAATCCAGACAGCCTGCCTGTTCTGGTCGTAGCTTTGAATCCAGTGCATCCTTTAGTCTCCCCAGGATGATGCGACATAATATTTTGCTTGTTATAGACATCAGCATGATTCCGCGCCAGTTCTTGCAAACACTGAGGTCTCCCTTCTTCAACAGTCTGAAAAGGCCACCCCCCTTCCAATCGCCAGGTACCTTCCCTTCCTTCCACACCTTCTGCAATAGTGGTGTGAGCATGTCCGCTGTTATCTCTGCGTCAGTTTTCAGTGCTTCTGGCGGGATCCCATCTGGTCCTGCCGCTTTCCCACATTTCAGTAGCTTTATGGCGCTCAGGACTTCCATTTTCTTTGGAGGATTTATGTTCACTTGTAGTTCAACGGCTGCAGGTGTTGGTCAATTCAAGAGCTTCTTGAAGTGGTCGGCCCATTGTTTTCTTTGTTTCTCTTCTTTCGTAATTAAATTTCCTTCATCATCTTTTATTGGTTTCGTCTGCGTTGACCTCTTCCCAGATAGCAACCTGGTTTTTTGATACAATGTTGTCAGGTCTCTCTTACCTGTAGTCTGTTCTGCAGCGATATTTGTTTTGACTAGCATATAATAAGATCAAATTTAAGAAATAATGTTGGAAAAAATTTTCTTACATGAGCTACTGTAAAGTAGTCATCGACATCAAGAGATTCAATCAACTTTTGAGCTGATAAGTTAGCCAGTTTTAACGATTGACCGGTCATGCTTCCACTCCTGAAATAATACAATAAAGATAAGGTCATTCAAAAATATCTTCAAATGAATTTTAATACAGCTGTGTACTTGCATTTTTGCCTGCTAGAATGCAAATAACTTCGTACTGTTGAGTCAAATGAACTGTAAATAACTTACTGTAGAAATGTATTCTGTTCTAAACCTAAATACACAAAAAGGTGTGAATTTCGTAGAAGGATACAGACAAATAAGATTTATGAATGCGAATGGGCGTAAAATAAGCGTGTATAATTTCCTCCGACCTGTATATTCTATCCGATCCCAAACACAATGTACCACATCACTATTTCAGATGTAATGGTAGAAACATCAAACTTAATTTCTGACAGCATTTAATCAGCTTTGTGAAACAGAGCACTAAGAGAGATGGGTTAATGTTTCATGGGTTCGTTGCCAGCCTGCCAGCCAGCCAGCCAGCCAGCCAGCCAGCCAGCCAGCCAGCCAGCCAGCTAACCAGCCAGCCAGACAGACAGACAGACAGCCAGTCAGCCAGCCAACCAGTCAGCCAACCAGAGTTCCTTGTTGCTTATTCTTATTATTCTGGTCATCTCATCTGATCTTCAGTATCCAGTGAGCGTGGGTGTGGGTGTGGGCGTAGGCGTGGGCGTAGGTGGCAGGTGGCAGGTGATGGATGTCTGTAGTTTGTTGGAAATGCCTCTCGTAACGCGCCACGTTTCCCAACAATCCATCACATGGAAGCACTGACTTGACTGAATTAGTGTTGAAAATCCGGATGTTGTTCAGGCTTTATGCTGAGTGCAGTGAACTACAGTGGAGTGGAGTGGAGTGGAGTGGAGTGGAGTAGATCTACACACTGATTTTGGATAAATGAAGGGAGGCCTGTGTTGTTGTCTTTCGGATGGTGGCTGGCTTTGACGTCCTCATGTGTGCCGCGGTGGTCGCTTGTAATTGAAAGGATGCTGCCTGCCTAGGTAGGTAGGTGGGTTGGTAGGTGAGAGAGACTACTTGCTTTCAGTTTCTCCTGTTGATGTTGATTGGTGCTTGTTGTTGTTGATGATGTTGTTGGTTTGGTATCTTCATCACCTGTGTCTTCTCTGTGTTCACCTGGAGAAAGTTCTGTGTTCGCTGCCCTGCCCTGTCTCTTCTGTCAACTTGTTGGATTTTGCCTATAGATGTTCGAGTTTGTGCGACAAGATATAAGACATAAATCATCGACGAAAACTTCTTTTGCATAGAAATCAGAAAGGTTCTTTTAAGAGGTAGGTCACAGGTGATAATTTTCTTCTGCAAATAGATTATGCCGGAAATTGCATGAATGCGGAATTTGTTAACAGACCAATTTATTACTTGTTTGAATAGAGTTTTGCTTCGGCGGTCTATTTGTCTATCAATTAGATTCATTCGTTGATTATTCCCATCTCAGCTTGACACTGTAAGATGTCTTGAAAACGAGCTATTCATGAAGGTAGATCACCTGTTTGCATAACATGAAAATCCTAAATAACTCCTACATTAATCTCATAGTTTGTGAGTCTACACTCTGTATATAGGGATTCTTGGAAATTTCTTTTTAGTTGGGATAATTTGAATTTAAGTGAGAATAAACTAAAGATGAAAGAACTTGATGATCTTCACCAAGGAAAGTACACATAGCAGTTAGGTAGCTGATGAACTTATAAAGACCTTTTTGTATTAGAGAGAAATTAAAATAGGAATAGTTGATAGAAGAACATAAGAAAGGCAAAACTCACATACTTTGTTTTGTATCACGAAATTAATTTGAAAATGAAGGGAACGGAAAATGGATACGACATGAAAAATAAAGAAACTGGAATGACAGTGAGCATACATTCTACCAAATGTTTAGATGTATCCTTAAAATACACTTCCAACTTCTTCCGAATCAAAGTCAGAATATATATATATATATATATATATATATATATATATATATATATATATATATATATATATATATATATATATATATATATATATTTCAACCAAATATTTCAGTCACAACCAGCTTACACCAAAGTCTGGTGGACCAAGTTTAAATACGGAGAAAGGATAGAGGATATGAGATGCTATAAAATCCCAATCCTGCTATCTCTAGTTTTCACAATTTATTGGACAGACACTAATGTGTACCGAGTTGCCTTCAAATCAACCAAATCCCCAATAGCAAAGAGTTGTATATCTTTTGATATTCACACCATAGAAGTAAGAACAAGATCAAAATTTGCAAAAATTATATTGTAGAGCGATAAACTGTAATAATAAATACGAATACATTTCTATAATAAATTATCCAACTTACGTGTCAAGTAATATGAATAAATCTTTGGGAACGGAAGAACCTTGTATAAACCTATAAAAAAGACGTCAAAAACGCCCGTGAAAATTTCGATTTAAATGGAAGACAAAGGATCAGGAATCCTGAAACACGATTATTGTTTGTTTGGAACTTTTCACTCTGTTTCATGAATTGTCTAAATTAGTAGTGTAAAGCTATCAGTCATTATTGTGCTAAACATTGTATGTTTAAATAAAATTTAATCAAATATGTTTCAGATCATCTTATATAGCATTGATAGATTTGTTTAACAGTGTTATTTTCCTCTTTACGTAGAAAAAAGTAACCCAATTCAGTAACAAATTTCAGACTCAAACACTATATTATATGCTATAATAAAGTTTGGAGACATTCACAAGAAACTACTTTATACTGCTAACACATACTTCTAGATTAAAGAGTCAAATACTAACTGAACTATCTTATAAAAAACTTCAATGTTATATACAATGTGATTACAATTCATATGAATAACATAACAATTGACCCCGAAATTTATCACTGTTTGTTCATCCCTTACATTGACGGTGTTCACACTGATTATTTCCCACTGCAAAATGACTTGTATTGTTGAAACTCTGTATATCATATCATCTGCATGCCTAACATGGATATCTTAGATATTTTAGTCTGTATATAATCAAGTAACCTTCATCCTTCAAATCAGGTCGACCATAGGTAAATCGAAAAACAGCGATGCAACTATTGTGACAAAAAAAAATAGTTACGCTCTTCATATTAAGATGAACGTTGATCAAGAAGAGAAAAAGAAATGAATTCAACAGTTAGGTATTGTAGCTAAGTTATCAGAGACGTGGAATGGTAGCGTGTAAACCTAAAATACATATCATGTAAAGGATAAAGTTTCCTTTGAGCTTCACTCGTCGTTTGCAATATATATGCATAGAAGTCAACGTTTCAACCTAAGCATCCTGAAACAAAATACAACTTCTGACAATACCATAACGATGTTATGCCTTTCGACTTTTAAAACAATTCCTCTTCATTCATTTCGAATATTATTCTACAGCTGATAAGAAATACCCACTAGCAAATGTAAAGATATTCGTTGAACTATCCAAAAATTCTTGTGTCGTTAAAGTCTACAGCATGAAAAACAACACAACTTCATAGTCAGTAATAGACGCATCTTTGGAAATCACATAGTGTCTGTAAATGAGCTGAAACAGTTGCTATTCCAGGCAATACTTCTTCCATTAAAAGGAGTACATACTCATTCTAAAAAGCTATTCGATAAATTTTCATTACGTATCCATGTATGAGACATGAATCAGTATGAACAGACAGTGAAATTAAAATTAGGGCAGCGAAATGCAGTGGATGCAGACTTTGAAAAAACTGATCTGTGAAGTTATGCTACATCATACGACCTAAAGCATGGGTCGACAGGCAATCAGTGAAATGAATGAGAATGGAAAACTATTTGCAGACTACTGAGCCTTCAACGATTTGGTGATTGGAGGCGAGTCAGTGTATACAAACACAAGGATATTCACATGGCAGCAACAGGGATTTCATTTCACCAAACACCAGAACACACTACACCAAAAATCAGATCTACTTCTTCTCAATCTCAAGGAAGTCGAGACACAGTCTACTACACACAACATCAAGAAGAGGAACAGATGTAGGTTCACACCACTCACTATCCACTGCAAGGAACCTAACTTCAAAATCAAGTGGCAAGCCATCAAAGAAGATGGTGATAGACGACCACACTTCAAGTTCTACACCCAGAACTCAAACTCAACTCAAGGACGAAACGACATGCGACATCTTCACCTCAGTCATCAGGAAAAAATATGGGAGACACTAAGCAACATTGCTGAAGAAACCTGAGAAGAAGAACACTGGAACTCTGTGAAAGCAGCGTCGACCGACAAGTCATTTGGCAGGCAGCTCCTTCAACATTAGGCTTTAGTGAAACAATCTTTTATCAATCTCATTCAACGGCACCCATATGCTATATGATGCTACATGCCAAGTGATTCACAACAGAAAGTTCAGCTCACTGACTCCTTTGAAGTGAAGACTGGAAGGAGTAAGACAAGGTTGCCTACCATCACCGATCATCTTCCTGATTATAGTCGATTCAATTCGACTGGATCAGTCAACAGACACCCGAGGGGAGCGAGAAGAGGGGCATACGCCTTTTGACCGATGAAAACACCCCAGAAGAAGACTTCGATGTTGCCGCCGATAATGATATATATATCTTATTTCTTGTCGCACAAACTCGAACATCTATAGGCAAAATCCAACAAGTTGACAGAAGAGACAGGGCAGGGCAGCGAACACAGAACTTTCTCCAGGTGAACACAGAGAAGACACAGGTGATGAAGATACCAAACCAACAACATCATCAACAACAACAAGCACCAATCAACATCAACAGGAGAAACTGAAAGCAAGTAGTCTCTCTCACCTACCAACCCACCTACCTACCTAGGCAGGCAGCATCCTTTCAATTACAAGCGACCACCGCGGCACACATGAGGACGTCAAAGCCAGCCACCATCCGAAAGACAACAACACAGGCCTCCCTTCATTTATCCAAAATCAGTGTGTAGATCTACTCCACTCCACTCCACTCCACTCCACTCCACTCCACTCCACTCCACTCCACTGTAGTTCACTGCACTCAGCATAAAGCCTGAACAACATCCGGATTTTCAACACTAATTCAGTCAAGTCAGTGCTTCCATGTGATGGATTGTTGGGAAACGTGGCGCGTTACGAGAGGCATTTCCAACAAACTACAGACATCCATCACCTGCCACCTGCCACCTACGCCCACGCCTACGCCCACACCCACACCCACGCTCACTGGATACTGAAGATCAGATGAGATGACCAGAATAATAAGAATAAGCAACAAGGAACTCTGGTTGGCTGACTGGTTGGCTGGCTGACTGGCTGTCTGTCTGTCTGTCTGGCTGGCTGGTTAGCTGGCTGGCTGGCTGGCTGGCTGGCTGGCTGGCTGGCTGGCTGGCTGGCTGGCTGGCTGGCTGGCTGGCTGGCTGGCTGGCTGGCTGGCTGGCTGGCTGGCTGGCTGGCTGGCTGGTTGGCTGGCTGGCTGGCTGGCTGGCTGGCTGGCTGGCTGGCTGGCTGGCTGGCTGGCTGGCAACGAACCAATGAAGCAAGAACCCATAGCTCAACAAATATGCAGAGGAAAGTTAACATGGATTCGACTGGGCATACACTGAGAATGCTGACTGGGGACAACGTGCTGGGTCATACTTACCCTCAAGTGGAACCTAAATGGGAAACGACGAGTTGGGCTGTTCATCCGAGGGTGACATGGAGGAGATTGTGTGAGGAAGAAATGAAAGCTTATGGGCAGTCATGTAGCGATGTTGAAAAGACTGGAGAGAAGAGAGTTGAGTGGTGACTTACTATGGCGAAGCTGTATGTTCCACCAGAACCCCAGGGCAAATGATAATAATTATAATGAAAAGCAAATTTTAAACTCTCGTGGAAGCTGGCTAGGACTGACTAGGAAATTCTTGTTGAAATGCTTACCAGGATCGTTTACGAACGTCGAACATGTCAACAGTTTTTTCTCTCCAAGGGAATGCTGGAAGAAAAATTGAAGAGATTTATATAAAACGCAGTTCAGTATATGTGTGATTGGAAGTTTGATTACTATAAATCATTTGTTTGCGTTCAACATATATCTACGTATATACACGGCTTTTATCTTAAGAGGAAGATTTATAATACTACAACCACTCATTTATTTAATCAAAAATGAAACCAGTAGGGTCGCATAAAACTAAGTTATGTGTATCTTAGCCGGAGCTCAATAATGAGATCTAGATGAATTTAATATGCACTCAGAATTAAGCTCAGTATGTATCAAGTGTTAGAGTATTATCTACTAGGTTTGCAGGTAAAGATGGATAATGGCTGGCAGTGGAATCCAGGGTGTGCATTTCGTCCTATTTCGAATTCGTCAGCTGGATGTACCTGTCTTCCAGTGAGTGATGTTTTCCACACCTGGATTCGGACTCGGGATCGATCGCTTCAAACGCCACAGCATTACCCACTACACCAGCGAGCCACGATAGCCACTTCTTGTGCGATGGGTATAGTTTTAGTATATTGTATTATGCTGTCGTCAACTGGATCGAACTGATCGGTCTCTATGGGCATATGGACCCCCGTGTGGATGCCTCGATATTACCTGTGTTTTAACTCTAGTAATGATGGATAGTGGTTAGCAGTGGAATCCAAGTGGAATGCCGAGTTCGAATTCCAGTTGGAACAACATCACTCACTGGGAGGCGGGTACATCCAGCTGACGAGTCCCAAATAGGACGAAATGCGCATCCCGGATTCCACTGCTAGCCAGTATCATTACTAGGATTAAAACACAGATGATACCCAGGCATCCACACATGAGCCTATATGCCAATACAGACCGGTCAATTCGGTGCAATCAACAACGGTATAATACAAGCAATTTTACTAAAAACAAATATGCTTTTTAAAGTTGTTTCCATAATGGATTTATATCAGTTAGAAAACCAAGGAAAACCGGGATAGTCAGTTTGTCGTAGTTCAGGAATTCATAAAATTTTATATCTTAAACCATCTGAGGGATCAATCCCATAATCGTCACATCTTAAAATGAGCACACTATCATTCAGCCACAGTTGGTATTCAACAACCAACATATTACAACTTCTGTCAATTCACAGTATAGCACAATCATCACTCAGTGCGATTCTGGGAGTACTATTGGGAACCCATGACTTTTAGGGTCTACCAAGTTGGGTGTGAGAAAAAAAAACTCACCGACTCCACTGAATATATTCTTGCTATGCAGCAAATAGCCAACCATTATTATTATTTCTTTAGGGGAACCTTTAAATCTGCTTTCTTTTTCACTAGCTTGAAGTTATCAGTCTAACATTTCTACCCTTTTTGACAGTAACTCAACTTCTCAATAAATGTTCTTATCTTGACATGTAGATGTGATGTTTCTTGATCTTTGTATGAGTCAGTGTCTTACCTTGAAGAGACTTTAAGGCAAATTTAGGTATCGTTGTTTGCATAAACTTATGAGCAAAACTTTAGACCTGCACTAAAGTAATATCTAAATCTACCATGAACATAAATGATAAGATCATGAATTTCACAGTTTCAGTTATACAATAACCTAATCTACATATATTTCTCTCACAATATAAAGTAATAAAACTGATATACATCAACTTTTATACTTGTTAAACATGTTTCTAGTACACTAACATATGTTTAGTTCGATAATAGTGAAGAAACCATATTTAGTAAGCAAATAAAAATTGTCAGTACTCAATTTCTCTCAAACTAGAATTGATTATCGTCATCTGTAGGTCTGATATTTACTGGGAGAGTTTCTGAAAACTGTCAGTGATATACGAAGAGATAGTTTTATTTGTCGCAAAGCAACACATGTGCGCGTAAAAAAATATACTATGACGAAACGCTTGTGAAAAATTACAATCTTACACTAATGAAACATGATTTATCTAGTCAAATTAAGTGGATAAATCCTAGTACAAGTACTGTTTAGATTTTTCATCAGTTAGAAAGAAAATGACTGGTAGGTGAAACTAAGCCTTTTTTATGTTCAACTAACAAATACAGACAGTCTACCATCTTTTAAAATGAGTATAAGTCTTAGTATTCATATTGTCAAAGGTACGATGCACTTTTCTTATTATCGAACTAACATTGAAAAAGCAACATACCTGGATACACACGAAGAATTCCAGTTAAACTTGCAAAATAAGTAAAATGTAAGTTTGGTTCAGTTGGAAATATAGAATCTAATACTTCAGTCCATCGTAGAGTATGAAAAACTGTAGGATCTGATAAATAAAAATTAACATTTAAAAACAAAAATCCAAGATTAACGACTCCTTTTGACTCATACCAATATGAAATTATCTGCAAATCATAAAGTATGTAATGCACACGATGGATAGCATCAACCTAAAAATACGTGATTGTGAACACTGGCATACATGTACCTTTCTAAGAATAAACTGTAATTGAAATATATTATATCCGATGCTTTTGAAAATAACGACTACTAAATTTTCACTTGAAACATGATTGTGTAAAAGTGGGAACATATATGAAAAATGAAAGGAGAACAGTTAGCTAAGATAAAATCAGATATATCTCCAAAGTTACATATTTCTATGTAACTGCAAACACTGACAATGTCAGTCTGTATCACATAAAGCTGTATTAATCTAGCGAAAATTGTTAACTTCATCCACAATCATAGTTATTTAAACTTAGAAGAAACTACGTGGATTTTATCAGTTCCAACATGAGTAAGATATATGAATATTAACACAGTACTCCAGAAGGGTGGGAGATACAGAAGTGAGTAAGAATTCACTCGATATTCAATGAACCAGTAAAGTAAAACATTATTTTATTCATCTTTTTACTGATTATTCTGAAAACTGTAGAAATTTCCATATTGTTTGTTGTATCATTTTAACATCAAGCAACTGCATAGAGTGATGAGTGCCAGATTCTCTGACATATGATCATCTAACAGAATATTCACTCATCTCCCCATCTGTTAAGGGTACACACATATGGGTTGGTAGATGCAATTGGAGGTGATGTCCGATGTTCATTCACTGATTCTCAACTAAAATATAGTGGTTAAATTGTTTCGCAAGGGAATAAGCCTGGCAGCCGTTAACGTCCTTATTAGAGTGACCTATAATTTTCTCTCTTGTTAGAAACATTATAATAAATCGTAGAGGGTTTTGACATGAGAAAAACACAAACATCTAATTCGGCATTTTTTTAAATTTAGTATTGAACTGAATAAAATGTTAACGTGCCTACTTAGATGTTTGTGTTTTTCTCATGTCAAAACCCTCTACGATTTATTATAATGTTTCTAACAAGAGAGAAAATTATAGGTCACTCTAATAAGGACGTTAACGGCTGCCAGGCTTATTCCCTTGCGAAACAATTTAACCACTATATTTTAGTTGAGAATCAGTGAATGAACATCGGACATCACCTCCAATTGCATCTACCAACCCATATGTGTGTACCCTTAACAGATGGGGAGATGAGTGAATATTCTGTTAGATGATCATATGTCAGAGAATCTGGCACTCATCACTCGATGCAGTTGCTTGATGTTAAAATGATACAACAAACAATATGGAAATTTCTACAGTTTTCAGAATAATCAGTAAAAAGATGAATAAAATAATGTTTTACTTTACTGGTTCATTGAATATCAAGTGAATTCTTACTCACTTCTGTATCTCCCACCCTTCTGGAGTACTCTGATCATATTTTTCGACTGCCTTTCAACTTTTCAACCAATGTTCATTCACTTCCTTATTTTATTTTCCATATCATTCATCAAACTTTCTTGTTTATATGCTCTTTATTCTCATATTTTTATTAATTTCAATATTTCTCAACTCTTTTTTAGCAAACAATCTTATTTCCGACCCAACTTAGTTGAAAAGTGTTTTAATTTATTATTTGTAAGGACCATAACTTACTACATTTCTTATTTCTTACTCAGCAAAATTCCTTAAGGTCATTCTTGCACTATTACAACAGTATGCTACTGCTTTTACTCTATAATGACTCTTTGTCTATTTCAAGCTATTTGCAGGTAAAATGAAACCACAAGTTCAATAAGTGAGCTTTTTACTTTCTACAAATCTTTTTTTTCACCTTCGTATAGCTGTATGGGGAAGTAAGGACAAACATTATTCAGTAGCACCATCAGTCAACTACCTATTATTAATTGGATATTAGAAATGCATCAAATATTCTAGGTCCATTCACCAGAATTATTTCTTCTCTATTAGTCTGTCTGTCTGTGCACATAGTGAAACAGTATTCATTACTGGATAAAGTTTTCGATATAATTTGTCTATATTCATTTATATCATTCATGATCTGGCATGAATATGGATAGTAAATTATGTCCGAAACATCCAATAAATGTTACTGTTTTACCAGGTAGATTGTAATTCTCTTCTAGTCTGTTTTAGCAAACAGACTTATTCGGAAAACATGTTGTAATATCATGATTCAATATATTCTAAATAAGCTTTCAGTACTACTCTTTATTGTTGGACTGATCAAATTGTTGGAAAGGTCTACCTGACCAACGCTTTGTGCTAGTTAATGTACATGGTCAAAGTGAAGTCATAGCCCAACAAAAAAATTATCCTTCTATTCATTTTCTGTACCGAAAACGAAATTGTTGATAATTGCCTGCTTTCCTTTGCAAAGATCTTAAACTTTCTATTCATTACTGTGGTACAAAGTAAATTAAAATGGAATTACAGGGGAAGGTAAGCGAGAGATACATACAAACGAAAACACAGATTTATGACATTTTCGATCCTCTGTTGGACCGACTTCCAATTTGATTGGATAATATGAAATATAAAAGTTTGCAAATCATAATTTCAGCTTGAAAAGCAAAGTTTGTCCATCAGGCTGCGAACAAATTCAGTTCAGTACATTTGTAGAATATTTCACATAACATATATGAATTCAAAGGAAGATTAACAGTTTATGAGGCAGATTTTCAACGAAGTTTGCTAAAGAGTAATTTCAATAGCAGGTGCTTTAGTGATCAAACTCTTGTCAATTTCAGTGCTACCTAAAGGTCAACCTTGTGAATTTCCTAAATAATTTTGGAATGACATCTGTTAAGAAGTATATCTTCTTACCCTTGCAGCATACTGTCAATGACTTACACTATCCTAGGAGAAATATCATGGGAAACAGAAATGATTTTCAAAGGTAGCAAAAATTTAATGTTAATTTAAAATGATCCAGATGTATGTGAAACAATAATGACCGAAAGTAGAATGGGTGCACTTACCTCCACCATATACTTCCACTGGTAGATGAACACCAGACTTGTTCAGCATTACTTTAAATTGATAACCAGGTTGATCAGTTAATCGGTCATCATCTGGCTTCAATTCACGAAGATCGTTATACTTCATGCCCTTTGACTACAGAATAAATAATGCAAAATATTTAATTCAAGTAAGGAAGCAAATAGTTTTAATTATCACCAACTAACACCAGTTAGAGAGCCACTGGAATCCTATGGTAGCATTGAACAGCCATTTCGTCCTAGTATGGAATTTCTCAGTAGTGTGTACCCTCGACCCACCAGTGGTCTAGCCTAGGGCAATTAGATCTCGTGGTGATCACACTGACAATGAACCACTGGGTCTAAGCCTAACGATCCACATTTTTCTAATCCTATTAATTTGCAACTTAGTGCCAAGGAGTTTCATACTTGGGCGAAAAGGATGTCTAGTGCTCCCAGATTCTCAGTATTTCTCTAACTGATGTTAGCCCATAATCAGAAATACCTTGAAACTAATCAATCTGCACAAACCAGTAAAATGAATTCAACAAGTAGTCATCAATTGAGAAAACCATTTTTTTAAGCAGAGTGAATCCATTTCTGTGTTTAATTAATATTTCAAATATGATTATTCATACATTCCTACGCTGTTGCTCAAAATAAACTGTAAATGCTTTCAAGTTTCGATGATTTTTCAAAGGTAATCTAGTTCAGAAAATTGCAGTTAACTTTTGTATAAATCAACCCTCACTGGCAAGAATTGTCTTTGATTCAAAAGGAATCCATATTACTCTTCAGATTCGAAACCTGTATCATTCAGAACCATGAATAACAGTGTACCACAAATTCCCCACTCTAAGACTAGTTCACTTAAACGGCTAGGCTTTGATACTGCAGTCAACATGATAATCTGAAAGAAAACATGGTTTTCTTCAAGGCTATACGATACACAATGAAGATGAAAATGACTGCCTACTAAATTGACATAAAAATCTTTCTGTGGACTGCAGGTAAACATTTCAAATTTTTAAGTATTAGATGATTAGTTTTCGTTTCATCCTGTTCAGTAATCATTTCTAGACGAGTTTGCTTTCAAAACAGGAAATCATCGAAACGTTTCCAGTAGAAAGTTGACATACATATTTCGAGATGATAGTCGAAAACTCTGTTCAATTTTTTCATTAAAAAACAGTAAAACAAAATCATCCTCGTGAATTCCGGATACATCTTTAATATTTCGCTGGTTAGATTGAAATTGAATAACGGGATCAATAGGATCTCAATAAACTGTAGCAGCTTATAAAGCACTCGCTGTGCAACAATTTAATTACCTGTCACATCCTTCTCAGGTCTGACAGTTCACAACTCCCTATTCTTCACATTCATTTCACCTCCACTGATATAGCTTATTGACATTTCTGATGTCAATAGACAAAGTTCAAATGCATTTACAATGATAAACTTCATTACATGATTATTGCTGAATCACATCAAATTTGTAAGAACATACTACTTTTATTAAATAAGTAGATATTTACTGACATGATTTTTAAACAAGCTCAAAAGGTGCACTTTTCAGGTATAATGATTGTAGTTGCAAAAACAACAAAAATAATGTTAAGCTGCTTTAGTTGATCTGTAATGGATATTTTGTAGGGTACACAAAAATGATAAATCACATTAAATGATCTATACTTCATAAAATGTGTCAAATGAAACTCAAACATTTGGATTAGGATAATTAAAAAATCACAGAAGTGCTCATTATTGGATCTGAAGGTCATGTTGAATCTCTCGAGCGCCCACAGGTAATAAATAATAGCAACATCTTGAAGAGATATTCATTAATTTAAAATTTACAAGTAATTCCCTTGGCCAAATTTCGTTTGTAACTAGTGTCTTATATTAGAACAATTCTCACAAAACAGTTAGGCTTTAAGCGAGTTGCTTTAGACAAAGACAAATTAACCAAATTAAGTTACTTTTGTATGGATCACTGGTAAAATGAATAGGATTTTGTTGCACTTCATAGCTTACAAAAACTTTAAATGAACAAAACAAAGATAATTATAAGAAATGTTCATTTGATTTACCAATAACTTCGGGTTCCAAGAATACTTTGAGATTTCTTCTTCTGTCCAAGAAACAAGCATCTAGAATTTGGAAGAAAAGAGAAAACTAAACAAACCAGGATTTCCCGGAAAAAAATTATTCAACTGCATAACTCGACCTTACGTACTAAAACATGTAATCACTTTTTTAAGATTCATTGAACTTTGTATATCGCATAAAAGGTTTTAATGTATTCGTTGGTATAGTTTCAGTCTGTTTTCAGTGCTTAACAGCAGCTATTTCAAAGTTGTTTCTTCAACAGCTAAAATCTCTTTCTCCTCCTTTAATATCCAACTTTTAGATATGTCATTGGTGTATATTTTCAGCACACTAGTTTGTTTTAGTATTCAATCACATCTTAGTGTAGATTATTAACAACCATCAAATAAGTTCATGGGTAAGAAATCGAAAAAAATTGAAGTCCACTCAGTAGTCTTTAATGAAATGATGCGCTGGATAATCAGCCACACCTAATGTGTGTATGCTGTCTAGATCTTGGTAGAGGGAGCTGAACTTGAACTCGCTACATATCGACAGGAAGTCAGTGAACCACAGCTCCGAATTCCCTGGTTTCACGGTTCAACTGCAGCATATTATTGTGATTTGTAGTTTAAAAAGGTTGTCACATAGAGTTTCTTGATGAGAAAATCTAAGCACACGCTAAGTATTAGACTGTTCATTTAAATACAGTCAGAAGTCAATCCTATTCAGTGTATATTTTGCACATATGAGCGTGAAAACGCAGTCAACTTTGTGTCTAATAAGCTAATAGTGTGAAAGACAACGGCCAATTGCATATTTTTAAGTCACATAACATATGGACAAAGCACCTAAGTCAAATTAAGGTGCGGTTAGTGGTGAATTCTCGAATCTCAGGTGAAAAATTGAATCTGTATTCGACAAACATCCATTTAGAAATCTACAACGATCTGTGTGTTATTTGGAATTAGGGCATCATACCTCGACATACTTGGATTTTCTAAGTTTAGATGAAATTTGCTATGAAGCAACACTTTTGGAGAAAACAGTTAACTAGCATTTAAACACTTTACGATTTAAATCTTAAGAAAGTAGTTGAATCCAGTGTAAATAATTCATTTATGTTTTTTTCAGGGAAACTAGTTCAAGTATGATAGCTAATATAATGGAAGATGTCTTCTCTCATAACTACTTTTGTTCTTCTTTCTGACATATACCACAGCACTGTGTTGGAATCATAACTTCAAGGTCAGCCTGTTTCTGTTTAGGAAAAATCAATGGATCTAGCGGACAGGGAAACTGAACAGCATCACACATAGTAAAAAATCTGACAGAACCTATCGATTTTTTTCACCTACAGAAATCATACTGATAATAACAACCAAAGAAAATGTGCATAGGTAAAACCAGCTTTGATTTAACACTGTATCTTCCCTAAAGACTAATTGTTTCAATCACCGTGACAGATGCCTGAATTTAAAATTTACGTCAGTATTATTCACAGCCTTGTGCATTATTTCAGGTCGCTACCTAAATAATTTGCGAATGATGAAAACTTGCTGAATGGTTAGGGAAGTAATGGGTGTGATAAGATTTTCAATGTCTAAAAACATGAAACTGTGGTCTTAAGCGTCCTGTAGCAAATCTCCAAATATGCAAAATATGCTACAGAATCAAATCACTTAGTTTACTGATGTTGTAAACGTGATCTACAAGATTCAGTGAATACTGAATACTAGTGAAAATTGTGCCAATTTCAGTACACATAACACAAGTTTCTTCATGAACACCCTTTACTAGTATGGTACTAGATGATCATAAAAGTTAGGTCGTACATACCTGTAGTTGACGTATTTTAGTTTCTTTATAAAATGGTCATATTTCTAATGTCCATAGTAAAAACAATTTTTCACTTCATGGGTTCAGCAGTCAGTAAGTGATAAAGCTAAAGAGCAAAACTCGAAACTTTTGTGACTAAATATGATGCATACCCACTAGAAATATTGCTTACACGTTGAATATTTTTAACTTCAAGCTATTATATTAAGAAGTGCTTCGCGGTCCACTTACTTTGGTTTGCGTAGCCTTTTATTATTGTTAAGCATTCTATCGAATACTTACCTTACACTCTTAAACACGATTCCATTTATGGGATTAGATTTTTAGAGAACTGCACAATGACTGACTCAGTAAAATTCAAAAACTTAAATCATACCTGAGCTAATAAACTGTAGAAATTAAATCATGAGGTTATTTTGTCTACAAAAACAGAAAGCATGACAGTTTACTGCATCCTCACAGAACTAGAATAAAGATTATTTTTGGATTTTTAAAACACTGACCAAGTAATTTACTAGGTTGTCAGTCAATGTCTAATATCTGTCTAAGTTTATATTATCGTGCACGCATTCACGAGTTATAAATTGCTATTCGTAGTTCCATCGTATAGTTCGTATGCCTCGGTATCACGGCTTCTACTTCACTAACATGCTTTTAAAAAGGCTAAGCTTTCTTTCCATAAATAATTCCTGATTTTAGACTGCTGAAAATATTGCAATTATAAGGGGTCTTAACTGCTTAAACATTATGTTTTGCGTTATAAGCAGTGCGTTTAGGGTTATCAAGGTAATTCTCAAGTTTATAGAATCCAATATAACCAGTTATTTTTCATGTGAAAATAGCGTAATCACAGTTTCACATAACTATCTTGGATTTCCTTGTATTAAATAAAATAAAAAGATTTAAGAATAATAACAAAGGAATGAATAAACGTTGAAATATAATCGGACATTTTATTCAACCAAGTAAAGGGGCCAATAAAATTTTAGTTTTCCTGCGACTGATTTAGAGATATGTAGTGTAGTAAAGACTCCGAAAGAAGGGAGACCTCAGTGTTTGCAAGAACTGGCGCGGAATCATGCTGATGTCTATAACAAGCAAAATATTATGTCACATCATCCTGGAGAGACTAAAGGATGCACTGGATCCAAAATTACGACCGGAACAGGCTGTCTGGATTCAGGAAGTAAAAATCATGTGCAGACCAAATTGCAACGCTTCGCATCATCATAGAACAGAGTGCAGAATGGCAGTCAACACTCTACCTCAATTTTATCGACTTTGAGAAGGCCTTTGACAGCGTTGACCGACAAGTAATTTGGCAGGCAGCTGCTTCAACACTATCGAATACCACAAACCATTATCAGCCTCATTCAACAGCTACCTATATGAAGACGCCACATACCATCCAAGTAATTCACAATGGGCAGCTCAGTGATGCCTTTGCAGTGAAGTGAAGACAGGAGTGAAACAAGGCTGCTGTCTACTATCACCCATGATATTCCTGATTGTGGTCGACTGGACTGGATCATGCAACAAACAGTGAGGAGCTGTGAGAAGAGGGTGATACCCTGGCTGGACTGCGGAAAAGAACCTAGAAGATTTGGATTTCGCCAGTGATGACTTGTGTCTGATGTCACACAAACTTGAAGATCTACAGGCGAAAACTAACAAGTTGATAGAAGAGGCGAGGCAGCGAAGACGGGACTTCAGGTGAATATAGAGAAGACAGAGGTGATAAAGATGCCCAACCAACACCAACAACAACAAGAACAAGAATCTCCAGTCACTATCAATAGGAGGAATCTAAAGGAAGTAGCCTCCTTCATCTACCTGGGCATCACTGTTTCAACTACAGGTGGCACAGACACAGATGAGGATGTCAATGTCAGCATCGGAAAAGCAAGACAGGTTCTCATTAGCCTGAAACCAGTGTGGAGATCTTCTGCACTCAGCATGTGGAATAATATCCAGATTTCCAACACTAATGTCGAGTCGGTGTTTCTATATGGCTCAGAGACTTGGCGCGTTACGAAAGGGATTTCCAACAAACTACAGATATTCATCAACAACTGCTGACGCTGACTCGATACTGAAGATCAGTTGAGATGGCCAGAAAGAATAAGCAACAGGGAACTCTGGCTAGCAACAAACCAACCAAGAACCCATCAGTCAACAGATATGCAGTGGAAGGAAGTGGAGGTGGATTGGATTGGGCATACAGTGAGAAGGCCGACTGGGGACATGACGCGTCAAGCCAGACCAGTTGCTTGAGTGGAACCGGGATGGGAAGCAAAGCGTTGGTCGTCCAAGTTGAGGGTGACATGGAGGGGATCATGCGAGGAGTAAATGAGAGCTTGTGGGCTGTCGTGGAACCAGGTTCAAAATATTTCACAGAAGAGAGTGGAGTCGAGACGTGCTACTGAATCCCTATGTTCCATTGGGAACCCAAGGAACAAATAATAATAATAACAGTGTAGTAAAGATGCATTATACATTATTTCTCGATATATTTCTGCATATATGATGAGTTAATAAGTATCATACTATTGATAAAAGCTGTTCTCACTCAGTGCATAGCAATCAAGCCTAGTGGATTACTACTGTAATTACTTGTTCAGATTTTGATTGAAATTAAAGACAAACTGTGATGAACTCCTCAAGACCACTTATCTTGTGGTCAACCGTAATTAACGGTCAGCACAAATTGTTATTTCCAACGTCATAATTACGCTATGCAGCAAGTTCGTAAATGACGAAGTACAATATATTTGTAATAATCCAAACTTTAACTTTCACAAAAATGCTTCTCGTCTGTCATAAACTTCATCTTTGATAACCTAATATATTTGCTAGCTGTTAAGAACAACACCCTTTCCCGGATTTTCCACTCTTATTCTTACATTCACTCCAGCACACTTTAGTATCATCTTCATTTACATTTAAATTGTTGCACTACTCACTGTGTACTATTTCAGGCTGACTGGTATATCATATAAACTGTTGTCTTGTAAATTGATTCAGTTATTTAAGCTGCTGTTTCTCAAGTTAAACTGGTTTCCTAGATTGCAGTGATTAGTTACTTAATGCTTTGAAGCAGAATTTAAAAAAATGTGAACCGAATTCGGCTTCTAAGTTTTCATTTATTTTAATCTAGTGTTCTCTAATTCGATTTTTAGTCAAGGAAATGTTACCTATGTAAGTACCACCACCAAAAGAGTAC